AAATTAATATATATTTTTTTTTAAGTTGTATTGTAAAATAAAGTTACCGTTTAAAAATTAAAAGTAAATACTGAATACATATTATTTTAAGGTACAATAACAGGTAACGATAAATTATTATTATAAGGGTAACAAATCGAAAATGGTATTAAAATAAAGCTTGACCAATTGCATATAATGATTGAAAAAAAAACAGAAATCGAATTTACCTGCTTAAAACTGTCCGAGAAAATCGATAAATCACGATGAAAAAAAAATCGGTCCTAATAAAATATCCCGAGCCCTACTCCTACTAGTAACAATATCGACAATCTATAACGGGTGCGAATACGGAATAAAATAATATCTTCCACCCATTTTGCAAAATACCTTAGCAATGTAAAATAAAAATGTTACAACATAAATTATATTTGCGCAGCGATTTCTTCGTCGAGTAATCAAAACTGTACGGTATGCATCTACAGTAGCGCCCGTACCATGTAATACCAATATGATTTATTGCATTGCATTGCATGTACCGAACCGCACGCCCGGTTTTAAAATTGCGTACGTTTTGGACCAATTGCATATTATATAGAATACTCGCCAATGATTAAAAACGACTAGCGAAAACATTTTCAATACAGAAATACACACCGCACTAAACGCGACGTCCACGTGTATATTATATTTCGTTATTCGTCAATGTCGAATAATGCACGAGTGTGTTTAAATATTTTTACGGCGCTTCGTTTTGCACGAATCGCGTCAAATAGTGGTGCCTATCTAATAGCGCGGATACGTGTGTAGTATGATGTGAAATTTCAAAAAAAAACTAAAAATATTTACATAACATCACGACCTAGTCCTACTGGATGTACTCGACGAGAGGCAAACAAACGTATACACTGTAGGCTTAAGATAGGTAGGTGCAATTTAAGCCTTTCGGCGAGACATCATATTCGGATTTATTTTAGTTTTGCACCTACCTCGTCCAATTTGAGCTGAATTCAATTCAGCCCTATCGAAATTTAACGTCCCGGTACGCGTTACGCTGAGTACCTGTATGCAAAATATTATATAATATACTTACCTGACGGTAAACCTTGCGGCACGACGCATAGACAATATGTATAAGGCGGACATTACTTATAGGTATACGTTTATTATAAATACCGAACACGTAATGCGTAGGTATCAATTTGTTGCATAACATATAGGTAGTTTTTTAGCCTACAGCTATTAGTCGTTTCATAATTGGCATCAGAGCAAGATAAATTGTTGGGTTGTTTTTTTTTTTTTTTTTTTAATTATTTCATTTGTTTAATCAGGTAATTTAAGTAGGTCTCGGGTGCCTATCAAAAATTTGACCTATATATTTATTCACGTACAGAGCCAATAGCTCAATAATTTCATAGTTCCGTACGGTTGTATTCCCATACGTTCAAGTTTGGTAGTCAAAAGTGTGCGGATACAATTCATAATTTTTTTTTTTTTTGTGTTCAATGCTTTAACGCCAACGATTTAATCAAACCCGGTGTTAAAATACGCCGGTACTAATACACAATAGAAATTCTGGTTTTCGCCGAGGTGTCCTATATGGCCGTACCGTTAACGGGCTCGGGTTTAGGCTACATCGTATAAGCCTCCAAGACCGTTGGACTTCGTACACTGCCCGGTGATTTTTGTTTCAACGATGACCAATCGTTTCAGCAACGATACACATTCCCGAAAACGGACTTCCGGTTTCAGCTACGCAATCCCGCGGCGCACCAGCCGTCAAATACGTTTTGGGCCGAGACGCTTGTTTCCAGCGCAGACGAATAGAAACGTGACACTGTTCGCGGTACATTATAAACAATATTGTTTACGTTCATTCGCGCCCGTGCCGTATCAATTACCGATCCGGTAACGGTTCGTTATTACATTAATAATGCCGGATCCCGGGTATAATAATGGCGTAACGGTTATTGCCGAATGGTTAAACAATAATTAAATGCCCCGTTAAATACGTATACTTTGTTTAACGTTGACCGGACTGTAGGCGAAACGCGTTTCGTTATGAGAACGCGTTTCGCCGATACGCAAATGTTTACGGGAGCGACACTACTCGGGGCGGACCGGCCCACTCTATTTAGCGTACCGTTGGCGCACATCAATACCGTTGCGTATCCATCCGCGTTATCCGCTGTCACGGCGATAACGCACGAATCGCAGTTATTGTTATCACCACTCCCATATATAAGACGTGGCGCGTAACGTACACTTGTAATTATCATTATTCGTTAGTATCCATTGTATTGCGACGGTGTACACGGTGCAACGTCTTTTGATAAATGCACTCGAGACAACAATGTAACATTACGCTGGTCGCCATCGTAATTATGGCATATCTGTTTTTGTTATATCGTTTAACGCGAACAATTTGTGTTCGGGCCTCGCGTGTCTAAAAATAGACTATTCTCGGCAAAAATCTCCCGCGGAGACCGGTCGACGAATTTCGGGCTAAAATACGAACGTCACGCGGAATCACTCGGTTTCGGTTCCGAGAGGAAGGAGAATTTTACGTCATAATCGAAAAACAACGGTTTCCGTTAGTAAATTCTTTAATTCCAGGTAGGCATTCTACTTCTCGTTGGAATATCCCGCGGTCGTCGACCCCAATGATGTCTACAGCTGGTTCACACCGGGCCAGTATCCAATCAGCTGTTGCCGAGAACCGATCTGCATCAGCGCAGACGAAATGAAAACAGCGCACCGTAATAATATCATTTAGAACTGTTCGTGTTCACAGTATAATCACAACCCCTAAGTAGTGATGTACTTTTACCGGTAATTTATTTTTAGTCCCAGTCCGTCCCTGGATAATTCATTGAGTTCTCAACTACATGGTTGAGAAGTTGGAAGAATGACATTGTTAATATCAGCTCTATTAGAATCCGTATTCGATTTTTAAATATCTTTCTAACGCTAGGGTACGTGGCCTAACCTGTGGAGGGTTTTGATGGTTCACCTCATCCCTCCCCCTCCCCCCCCCGATTGTTCGTTATATTATATCGTGGGCAAATAATTATTTCAGTAAATAAAATTAAAACGCCACGCATTTTTCAGTTTAAAATCCCCTCCCCCAAAATTCCAATTATTCCAATTACGGACTTGGATACCTCTGGAATTTATTCAAAACCGATCAACAAATGGTTTTACCGTTTTACCTATAATTTTCTATTCGGTTTTTCATAATTATTTTGAAAACCCGTTGGAAAATCAAAAAAAAAAAAACCCCGACTGTGCGCCAACCAGATAAAATTTCATTTTTAGAAAAAATACTATTTCCTAGACATCAGAGCAACTTTTCGAAAAGTTGTTTACAGGCAGAAAAAATTTTAAAAAATTAAAAATATCACATATCATAGTAAAACCAATAGATTAATTCTATTTTCGTCCTAAAAATACCAGAATTCCGTTTCGTCAACACTTCGGGAATTGAATTATTTTTAAGTAGCATAGGTATAGTGTAGGCAAAGTTCATCGAAATATAAAATATAACATAGACAGAATTAGTTTTGGATTTTTAATATTAAGTAAGGCTATAAGGACTATTATTATTGTATCCAGTACCTATATTAGGTATACCGTCATATGGCATAAGTTCGAATAATTTTTAAATTATTTCATTCATAAAAAATTAATTTATAGCTTAATTTGAATTATTCCGATGCCAATTTTTAGGTGTCGATACTCCTAGTACACTAAGAAAAATTTCGATTTTGCTAACTTTAAATGCATATATGTATATAATATATACTATATTCATATAGCTGTCCGAAAATTAAACTTCATTTGTTTAACTTCAGACATCCCATTTATTTTACGTGTTATACAATATAAGATGAATTTTGAAAAGTAAAATTTAGGTTCGGACACTATAGTATGTTTTCTAAAAATAAATTGTTTAATATCAAAAATTATTGTAATTAAAAAAAAAATAAAAATATTTTTCTTCAATGTCGTCTTTCTTGACAAAAACAGTTTATTAAAATATAAAAAAAGCAGGACCTAAAATACTACGTCCCCTGACACGCTTTGTATCGGATATGTATGTATGGAGATGTCGAGATTATTCTAAGAATTCACTTAAAAAAAAGTAAATTTTAAAACTTTATTAAATATTTTGTTATTAATAACAATAACAATAACAATAATTTGACGTTATAATCGTTGTATTAATTTCAACATGCCCTTCAGCTCTCCTCCCATCAGGGTTTTTTTTTTTTTTTATTATTATTATTATTTTGACCTCAGTTTGTAGAAAAAATAAAATAGTATTAAATAAACTATATTCTTCCATCGCATTTTACGTGATGTTTATGTATCCATAAGAAAGAATACATTTTTCTACTATTTCTTCAAAACCAAAAAATATTAGTTAGTTCTGATTCAACAAAAAACTTCTTTATGTTATTACACACTAAATGAATAAAAAAAGTCCAAAATATCAATATTGATTTACTTTAATATGCAAATGTTTGCAATAACATTATAATTAGGTTTTTTATAGGTATAACTTCTAACCATAACTTCCAAATGAAGTTTGAACGAATTTGTTTGAAAGCATCATCAAAATTAAGCATGTAAAAATACTTATTTTGGAAAAAAAATTCCAAAAAATCACTTGAGAGCTAAACTACATTCGTTCCTTTTGTGTATTATTAGTCCAAACATCATATAAATGATATCAATGTATACGACAAGTGGTATATAAAAGGGAGAAAGTTTTTTTTTTTTGATATGGGAATCTGTTAAAGATGACAATTGAATTAAAAAGTGTATACCCTGAAATCAGATGTATTTTAGGTCCTGAAAATAGGTGTAATATAATAAAACAATACATTTTATTATTAAGAATAAAATTGAATAATTTCCTTTTTATATAGGTAGATAAAATAAAATGTTTCCTTATACCTACCAACATAAGCAAATATTAATAAATCAGTCAAAACGTAAAAATTAAAATCTATAAAACATCTTCAGCAAACGTGTAAAGGCCTCTTCTTATAAAAGGTTTTGAAAGTTTCTTAATGATTGATCGCTACACATATTGTGTAATATAATAGTCAAAATAATTTTAAAAAATGATTACCGATTATCTTATAATTATACTAAATTATATTATTTGAGTATCCAAGAAGGGGGCTTAATTCTTGCAAGCTTTGTCTGTGTAGCCACATTAGATACAAAATTTCATGACAAATATGTTGCACACAAATCAAAATAATAGATATAATAAAAAAATCATGTTTACACAAAATGAGAAAAAAAACTCTCATTATAGAAATAACATTTTAGTACTAAAAAAATATACATGAAAATGCATTTATACAATAGTAAATAAATTTACTCAATAATAATAACTAATAAGGAATAAATTATTGAACATTATTTCCCCGTTATTCCAAATAATGAAAACCAATCAGCACATTTGACTGTCACAATTACTTACAGGCAAATTAATGTGGATAGACAATTTAGGTTCCCAAAGACGAACTCGTGGAAACCCATATTACAAGTCATATTGAGTTGCTTATAAACCTTTACAGTTAAACAATTAAATAATAAACACTAAATACACTAATTCTCATTAAGTAAATCCATGACACAAATAAGTACTTTTAAAGTATACCAGTAAATACAAAATACTAAGTACTTTATACATACCTAATACACTTTAATGAACAATGTACAATAGATTTTTGAACAGTTATTGAAGTTTTTGAAACTTAAAATTTAATATTTTTAATAAATTTTTTTTAAATAACATTTACATATTAAATGCATAGTGATAACATTAACATTGTATCATTCAAAAATAATCAGTGTTTTCATTGATAATTCAATAAATTTGCCAATGCAAACTAATTTTAAACACGGTTGATCAAACTATTATCAGTGATATTATATTTATAATTTACACTGGTAAAGCTGGATTTTAAAATACTCGAGGAGTTAAAACATTGTTAACCTAACCTATTATAATTTAGTTATGTGAAGAAACCTAAACAAATTAAAAATCATGCATTTTTAAATTCTTCAAGTACTACTTAACAGTTAACAAATCTCCATTTATTACTTTAGTAGATTTAGATAAAGCATTTGACAATGTGAATTGGACAAAGCTTTTTAAAATCATGGAGAATATTGATACAGACTAGGTATAACGATAGAAAGATGATAATTAATCTCTACATCAACGAAATTTCCGTTATAAAAACAGAGAAAGATAATAATTAGAAGAAAGCCATAATCACTAAGAGTGTAAGACAGGGGTGCAATTTATTGCCTACCATATTTAATCTGTATATATTTGAAAGAAATGAAGGAAGTGAATTTGGAGCAATAAAGATTGGTGAAATGTCTGTACAAATACTACTTTTTGCCGATTATATTGCAGTAATTACAGACAGAGAATTGTCTTTATCATACATACAATAACAATTATAGTATTCTATTATCAAATTTTCAATAAAATTTCTCTTAGGCATACAAAAAATCAGTTTTAAAAACACCCTTTATAATGCCCTACTTTAAGGTTAATTGCAAAGCTAATAAAATATCGATTTGCATCAAACTTGGACCATTATAAGTAAATAATTTTATTCTTAGATGAAACAGTTATTATAAATACACATACAACATAAATCTTTAGAATATTATAATTTATACAATATAATTTTACTTGTAAAAAAATGTTACAAGATTCAGATTATTAACCACCAAATTCAAGTGATATATTCTAGTGATTAGAACATACCCATTATCCATAATATATTACCTATTTAAGTTTATAATAATAAATTTCAAACAATTATTTTTATCATTTGTTAGCAGTAGTATCACTTTCAGTTATTTGAAGGGCATCTATCGCTTCTGCAGTTGGGAAATAATCATCAGACTTGAAAATTACTGGTGGCTCATAAGCAGGCAATTGTCTTGATAATGAATGATCTTCTTGTTTTTTCTAAATAAAATTATTGGATAAAATAGAATTTAAAATAAAAAATCCTATACACATGCCAAGATATAATTTATTCTTACAAAAAAAGGTTTGAAAATTGAATTTAGTGGACCATCCTTATTGATAGGCATGCAAGCTTCAGCTTCAGTCAATTGTTGATCGACCAATTCAACATCTTCGCCAACTTTATTGACTAATTTTTCTAATTTGTTCACAGTTTCTGTCAGTTCGGTAACCTTGGATTTCATTTCTTTTATCGTATTATAATGCATACTAGTACTTTCAACCCTAAGTGCACGTACCTAGAGTAAATATTAAAATTTAAATTCAATGAACGCAATTGAGAATGATATATCAACAAAAGCTATTTGCTAGTTACCATTTCCATAAACGTCTGAAATTCTTCTAAACGGGTAAGCATGTCTTCAACGACATCTTTGAGTGCATTGACCTAAAATACAAATTAACTTGATTACCTACCTGAATAAGTAGCTATGCTTATTACATTTTTGGAATTTTAAAATAATTTACCTCGTTTTCATTGTCCACCTTCAAGTACTCTGAATAATCAATTGCCAGCTCGTCCAACATCATTAACTATAGGTAAGTGCACAACAGAAACTAAATGTTTTTTAATGGAATTGAAACGATTATTTACCACACGTTAGGGTGACGATGGCTATAAATTTTATAAAAATAAAACAATTCTGTTAATCTGTCGTATACGAGACGTGTTGTGCTTATCAATCGAAGAATACATAAACAATAGACTTATAATTCTATGGTATAAGCTGAAGCGCAAGTTCCGCTGGCAATATTTGATAAGAGAGTCCAGTGGTTCCTTAAATGTGTAAACATTGAAATTTAGGCGGTAGATAGGTAATAAATACGCAAAAATGCACAAGTGGAAATCAGAAAAAATGACACTAATAAACAAATCTTATGCAATACGATCTCTTACAACTTAACTGAATTTAACGAACTGTACATTTTTTTATTATTGACAATACCTTGATGAGTACCTACATATTAAGAGATAATAGTGACTACCATCAACTACCTGTTGATATAAAATATAAAATTGAACATCGGCAATAGAATTTTAAAAAAATCGTTAAAAAAATATATTTTCTGGTACTGGGTAGATTGTGGATTAATCCACTTTGATCTTTAATCTATGGTTGATGAAGAATATATTACTTTTACTTTATCGATATTCGACAAGCACATTGTTTTGTTTGAAGCTGAACTCAATAGGTGGCAAGTATTGAAGTACACCAATCATTCTGAATTGTTGCCGAAATTTCTGTGCGACTGTATCTGAATTTTTTTTTTTCGATAACTTTGGTTATGTTGTGGTAATTTGACATCCGAAATATTAATTCTTGTAAGAGTTCATATCAACAATTTCAACGATTTTTGTACTCCTGGTACACATTTTTAAAATTTGTACTTAATTAAAACCAGTATAAAAATAAGAACCGATACTGTGAATGGGAGCGGCCACTGTTGTGGGTGAGAAGTTGGGAAGGTAGGATACATAAGGTTATTATTTCATTTATATCTGTTAGCAACGATATACCATTGATTGACGAAAAACGATTCCGAGGGCAGTTCGATAATACATAAATTAAAGTGCCGTAACTTTTTTGCGATTTTCGTTTAAATTTGATTTCAAAAAAAGCTCATTAAGAAAAAAATAAGGTCGTCCAATGATGTTGGAAATTTTACCACATCTAGGTAAGTCCAATATAAGTATTATTACCAAGTTTCAAGTCCCTACGTGTATTTATAACCAAATTACAGCAAAAAACTCCCAAAAATTAAAATTCCCTTTATGGTCAAAAATGGCTCAAAAGTTTTGGCGATGATACCGTAAGAAAGTAAATTAAAAAGGCAACAAAAGAGTTGGCTTATGATTTTTTGATTAAATCATTTTTTCTAGTAGAAAACCGTTGTCCGTTTTTATAAAATAATAAAATCGTGAAATTGTACATTTTCCCAAGCTTTTCCTACCTTAGTGCTTTTATTTAAAAAACGGTGTCAAAAATCAAAAAATGACCAGTCTAAAGTACAATTTAGATAACTTGAGCTTTTTAAAAGCCGCTACTCGTAAAAATCGGAGCAAGTTTACTAGGAAAAAACGAGTTCACAGACTAGAACAAAGAGAAAAAAAATATAAACAGCATTGTAAAACCTATAGCTCCCTCGCTATGCTCGGAATCTAAAGAATAGAAATATAGAATACTGCTATAGGTGGGAAGGAAGTATTTATAAGGGTAATTTAGTTTATAACTTTATAAATAAATAATAATATTAATAAATCATTGCAAACAAATTCATTAACCATTGTAGTGGGAGTAAGGATGATCAATATACAACACTCCAATTAGCCTAAGTAAAATATATATTTGATTTATTATAGTTATTATTACTCATACATAATCGTAAATATAATTTTAATGTACACATAAATAAAACGTTAGTTGGCTCATTCTATGTTAAAAAAAAAAATAAATATATATTTTTCAATTTTTTTTTTTTTATTAAACACTATAAACTATATCAGTCATCAATACACACTTTGGAACCCAAAAAAAAAATTAAAAAAAAAAAAAAATACTAAATTTACTAAGATAAAAAAAGAGAAGAAAAAGGCGAGAAAACCAAATAAATAATATTGTACCAATGATAATCATACATTAAATTAAATCATAATTAATAATACAAAAATACCCGTTAAAAATCATTATTGACAAAAACAATATTGTTAAGGGTATAAATAAACTAAATAATACCAAGACTTAGCAAATCAAAAAGAAAGACAATTATGCAGTAAATAAATACGATTTTCCAAATAAGTCAAAAAATATAATAAAACCATGTGCACAATTCGCACATAGAATGAGAGGGGCTGAATAAAATTATAAAATGTTGGCGATCATTAAATCATCAGTTCTGTAATATCTTTGGCAATATTAATTTCGTAAATGAAATATACATCTATGACTATGACTATGTTACATTATTTATTGCTTAAGAATATAAATCAAAATACTATAAAGTTTAAGATTGATTAAAGTGAACAAAAATTTGTTCACAATCATCTTTTGGTTATGAACTAAAATACAATTCAACGGTAATATATGTTTAATAATATTATGATTTCTCGTTTGTTTTTCAGTCTTAGACTCGTTTGGCCTTTAAAATAGATAGCTGCTATAATAAGTAAACTTCATTAATAAATATGAATTTATACAATATACAATTGATTTGATTGTTTCTTTTTCATTACTTATTATCATTATTGGCACACTACATAATATAATATATACATGTACATATATATATATATATATATATATATATATATGTATATTAAAAATGTTTATCAGTTAAGATATTTCAATAAAAAATTTTTGGAGCAACAAAGAAAAATCAATATCAATAAAAATTAACCAAACCCTTTCTCCCCCCATTAGAAACAAAACTTTATTATATAAATTATTTCTTTTTATAGTAGTAATTAGACATAAGTTAATACAAGGTTCAGTTAAGTCCATTGTAATGTAGGCACACTTTTGTGCGACACACTTAAACTTCCAAATTAGTCATGCGCTCGAAGCACATTCCATGATGTCAAAAAATTCACCGGCTGATGCTGGTGGAAATAGTGGTTAAAGTGGAGACAGTGGGGGTCCAGAAGTGGCCTGGTTTGTTAATTGATATGGAGATGGGAGATCCAACGAGATTTTGTTTAGGAACGGCGAAGTGGGTGGTTGCTGTATGATATAGCCACCTGATGTCGTTGTAGTGGCATTTGGAGACATTTGATTAAAACATGCCACAGACGACGAACCAGTCAAATATGATCCGGCAGAGTTGTTGAGGCTAGCAGACTGCTGGGTTGACTGCTGTTGATGTTGTAGTAGCTGCTGTTGCTGTTGCTGTTGCTGTTGCTGTTGCTGCTGCTGTTGCTGCTGACCAACAGCATTATTGTTGTACACTTGATACGCACCTTGGTTACTATTATTTGTAGTACTGGCAGGGTTATTATGCTCTTTGTGGTAGATATTAATGTGTGCTCGCAGACTGTATTTGTTTTTGAAAACCTTGCTACACACATTACAGCCTGCAGGATTGTATTCGTCGCTATGCCTGATGCGCATGTGTTTCAATAAATTAGACTTATTGGAGATCACTTTGTGGCACAAAGGGCAGGGCCGACGGCCTAAACGGTCTGAAAAAAAATTAACCAATTGTTAGTATGAACAATTTATATATGCATCAGTGAAAACTTGTATGACAAATAAAAATTGGACATCGTGCGACATGATTCGTGCGATTATCAATGTGGTTTTAACACCAAAATATAGATATATCATTTCACCAACAGAAAATTAATAAAAAAGTTTTGTGTAAATAAGTCATTAAAAATGAGTGGTCAGTTTTGAATTTATGTGTTTAAATAAATAGTTATGTATTACATAATATAATTTGATAACACTTAAAATCACCAGAAATAAGTTAGGATGGTAGGGATTTTTTTTTTTTTTAAAGTTTAAAAAGTATTCTTTAGTATTTATTCTTATATATTGAAATAGTTTTAATAATTATTATTACAATAGTTATCTAGTTTTAATAATCTATCGGAAGGAGATTGGAAAGTTTGGCAGGTTCAAAAAAATATTAGTAATAACATAGCTTATTTAATTTATATTCTTCAAACTATATCAACCCTTGTCTTGCAAGGAACTAATGCATAATTTATATTATTATTTAAAATATAATGAAATAAATATTATGTCAACACAAATAACAGCTAACTAAAATAACTATTCCAATAAAATAAGTATTTGCATCAGTTAATCATCATTCATTATTAATATAAATTATAATTATAATGTTGGATTTGATAAAAAAATGTTACACATGTATTTCAAAATCAATAATCACATTACATTGTTCATAGCTTCTATAATGAAACACTCACTCAACCATTCCCTATTTCTCACTCAATATTCGATAATTAACAGTTTGATTATAGCACAATGTAATTGAAATACAAAATATTAAATATGGTAAATAAATATATAGTTAAACAATTTATTTATAAAAATAAAATAAATAAAAGAATAAATGTGTCGTAATAATAAAAGTGTATTATACGATCAGTTTCAAATTGAAAATTCATCAGGTATATCACAGTCAAAATGTTACTTTTTTAAAACAAGATATAAAAAACACATTTCTGAAATAAAATTTAAAAAACTGACCCTAAATCAAATTTTGCTAAATGTATTTTAGCAAATAACCATAATATAAGTTTTTATATTAATACACTAAGAAATATTAAATACTCAAAATATAATTTACATTAATTCAGTTCTAGAAGAATTGCACATATACAATGAAATAAAGAAAACAAATTTGTAATAATATTTTAAATGTTCAAACCGATTTTAAAAATAATATCTTATATCAATACATTTTAGATAATAAATAATAATCAGATAATTTATATTTCTTAACATGTTTATCTAATAATAACTAATTTTAAATAATCTCTCCAAATAAAATAAATTATTTCTATATTTTATATAAAACGATTAATTTGCATAATTTTTTTTTTCTATGTATGCCTTCTTTGATTTTTAAATTCGCGTTTTAGATTTTGACTGTGATATACCCGATGATAAATTTTGAATTTGAAACCGGTCGTATAATACACGTATCATAATACTCCAGGCGACGCATTGATTCATTTATTTAATTTTTATACATACATTTTTTATTTATATATTTATTTTACAATCGTGACAGCTAACGTTATTTTGTTATTTCTGATGTACTATTGCCATCGATAAAAAATATCTGTAGTGTTTGATTTTTATTAGAAACCCAGAAGGATATAAACATAACTTGCTTGTAAAATAAATTGTATTTGTTGATCATTATTATCAAAATGCCGATAAATGATCATACAAATAATAGAATCAAAAATAAAAATATTCTCAAATCTTTCTTAAATTCTTTAAATCTCAATTAATACTTTAATATTAAATATTATCTAAACCCTAAAATATGATTTTTAATGCAAAATAAATTTTTTTCTCCGAATTCTATGTTTCATGAATTGTGAAAATTTCTCACTCCCATTTAAATAATTATGCTAGAAACAAATAAGTTAAATCATAAAAAACTGACCTCTACTTTTCATAATACTCCAGAAAATGCATTCATTTATTTAATTTATTATTATATATACATTTTTTATGATTATTAATCATTTTAATAATTTTGTTTTTACTTCATTATTATATAAATTAAGTGTGAACCTATTAAATTAATTAAAATATAAATGCTATGTAAAACAGAGAAATTTTAATGCTGCCCATAGATTAAAAATTTAAAAATACAGGTGAAACTTAAAAAATAAAAAAATATGGATACACTTCACACAATGGGCCACTGTTGTAGGTGAGAAATTGGGAAGGTAAGAGGGGAATTTAATGTATATCTGTATATAACGATTAATCATTACTAAAAAAAATTCTGAGCAGAGTTTGTTTATGCATATTTTAAAAGGCCCTAATATTTACAATTTGAAAATAATAAATTTCATCAATTTCCCATTTGTTATGAAAAAGAAAACCCCAGGGACAATCAAGGATTTCCTTTTAGAAAAATACTATTGTTAAAAATCTGAGTAAGTTTCTAAAAAAGTTTTTCACAGATAATAAAAATAGATAAATAAACATCATTGTAAAAACAAAAACATTCCTCACTCCACTCAGAATCTAAAATATATTACAATAATATTATTGAAGACGCGTTAATATTACATTATTACTTCTAACTCAAAAACTGGGAATCAGCTACTAACAAATAGTAAAAGTAAAGCTAAACAAAATATGAAATGTATTTACTATGTTTTGCGATGCGTTTTTTGTTTGTTTTGTATATAAATAACTTTCTAATCAAATGTATTTGATTTCTTCGATTTCCTAGTCTAGCATATTATTTTCCCAAAGCAAATTATGCCTAATTAATTTGCAAGTTACTTTTTGATTATGAAAAAACCGGGAAAACAAGGGAAATACTGGAAAATTTATAAAATTTAGGGTTACATTTTTATACTACATAAATTTTGTTTTTTTATTGTAATTCTGATAAAAATAATTGTAGAGCTCTGGAATTTTCTAGACATGATGACATTTTCAAAATAGGTGGTGATTTTTAAGATAATTTCGAGTTTATATTGGTTTTAATTTAGTTTGATGTCAATAAAATTTTTCTAGCCAATCAGAAATGATTCAAATTTTTACATGAGGTTAACCATAAGTTTTATTCTGTATTAAAACAAAATAATTAGTTTGTTCTGTGAACAATATTTAAATTTAATAATTGATTAAAATAAATAGATATTAAATAATAACTTTTACTTTATTTATTGTTAATCCATGTTTAACAAGTCATACAATTAATTAATAATAATTTTAATAAAAAGACAATAGCACTAACACAGCATAAATTATACACTATGGTACATTATTACTAAAATTTAGAGTTTAACATAACGATAAATATGCCTTTTATTTAACAGATGATAAATTAGAATATAAATTATATTTGACCAGAGTAAAATTATAAAAATTAATAAAATATAACAGTTGTTATGTTCTACACATTTATAATTAGTAATTTGATCAAAATTTAGTTGGCAAAAATGAAAAGATAAACCTATTAAGTAGAACTCAACGTTACATTTACCATTAAATCTAACATGAAATTAACTTTGTTTTGTTTTTCCAAGCATTTGTATTCGGTAAATCAATTTTATTCACATAAAACCAAAATAAAGAATTAAAAACTTGAAACTGCTAAAAAAACAAAAAAAAAATGAAACATGATTACTGTAAATTCTATCATTGTTTACCAATTATCAAGAAATTAAAAAAAAAATTTTTAGTTTGGGAAACGTTTCTGATACAAAAGAATAGAAAGCACACATTATAGTAAAACCAATACATATCTCCCTGAACTCAGAATCTAAACATTGATACTGCTCACGGATAGCCCATTATTGTAGGTGGGTAGGTAGTTGGGAAGGTTGGATACAAAATGTAATTTAGATTATACACTGTATGCAATAATTAATAATTTTAAATTTAAAAAAAAATTCTGTGTAGAGTAATATTAGTAGTATAAGTATTAGTTGTATTTTTTGTCCCTCAACTGATGTATCCATCTCTGAAATCAACAAAATAAAACTGATGAATAAACATTTGTTGTTATTCAATTTTAAAGAAAAACTATTGGAAATCTATATGTTATTTTATAAATTAAGTACTAATGGTCATAAAATCCGATTCTATTAAAGTACAATACAAATAATTTGGAATACAAGAAAAATAATCAAAATGGTGAATTGTTGAAAATGTCAATAAATGTTTCAAATAAAGTACATATAGTAATAAATTAGGCAAAGAATCTGCATCTTTTGATGATACTAGGTTTTTACTGTTTTCTAAAAAAAAAACCTGCAATACTAAACTACAATCTAAAATAAGATTTTAAAAATGTAAAATATTAGAATATAGAATGTTTATAATAATAACTACATATAATCATAAGAAATATTTTAAACATATTATTTATAGTATTTTCTGGTACTATAATCCTTAGAACATATCTAATGTATGATATATTTGGTATATTATATCATATCCATTATACATATGATATATATAATAATTACATTTTTTTTGAGAAAAATAAATTAGGACCGTAATTATTTTTAAAAAAGGAAAGCTAATTGTCATATGTTTAAATTTAATTTTGTCAAAATTATATGATTCAAAAAATTTCACATGCGTCTAATAGTATTGCATTAAAATGCCTGTCTATTTTATGGGCAGCAAAAATTACAGCATAAAAAGGAAACGGGAATGGCCAATTATTCTTAATATTAATGACCCTTTAAAATCCAATCGTACAAAAATAATGTTTAGACAGTAGTTATTTTAAAAGAAGTTTATTTATTAACTTTAGAAAATATTAAAAATAATATCAATGTAAGAACAATTTGAAATAAGTACATAGTTTATATACTAATGAATTTAAATGATTTAAAGTAAATTGAATTTATATTAATAATCTGTGAAAACAATATTATACTTATTGTAAGTACAATTAAATATAATTCAAGATTGAAGTGTAAAGTCATGATTACAGTAAATTATAAAATTTCATGTTAAAAAAAAAGGTAAAAAGCACTTTAGTATCCAATGCTATTTCATTCTCAATATTTATAACTTATAATTTCATATTCATTAAATAACAAATTATCATTTATTTTTATACTGTTAATTATACATAAACCTTAAACTCATAGAAGGGGCAGGATGCAAGTGGGTGGTATGACACTGCAGTGATTTGCCTAACTGCCGGAACTTGTGCACATGCATAGAGTAGTCCCAGTAGTCATCAGCACATTCTAGTAGCCCATTGGAACTACATACTTGCTCAGTCTATTAGTACAAGGTCCATGCGAGGGTCTATGCAATACCAAGTACTATTGTATTAAACAATTTTATACAAATTATCAATAATATATGATTATAGAAAATTATAAAATCATATTATTTTAATGAAATAATTACCAAATTTAGAGAAAATCCAAAAAAGTCAATTCATGAAACAAACTATAAAAACAATACTTTATTTTATAACAAAATATAAACTTAAATAAAATAAAATAATATTTTTTCATTTATTTTGGTGATTTATTTAAATATAATGAGATTTTAAAAATATGCCATGTTAACATTATTGTATAAGATAGTTATAAGATTCAACTTATAGAAAGAGCTGACACTGGTGATGGGAGCAGCAAATGTTGTAGGTGAGAAGTTGGGAAGATAGGATACATAAGGTTATTATTTCATTTATATCTGTTAGCAACGATATACCATTGATTGACGAAAGTTGATTCCGAGCGCAGTTCAGTAATACATAATTAAAAGTGTCATAATTTTTTTTGCGATTTTTGTTTAAATTTGATTTCAAAACGATTGTAAAGAAAAAAAAGGTCGTCTAATGAAAATTTTACCACGTCCAGGTAAGACCAATATAAATATTATTAACAGGTTTCAAGTCTCTATGTATATTTATACCCAAATTACAGCCAAAATTAAAATTCCTTAAAAGCTCAAAAGTGACTCAAAAGTTTTGGTGATAAAACTGTAAGAAATTAAATCAAAAAGGCAACAAAAAAGGTTTCTTGTGATTTTTCGATTAAATTATTTCTTCTGGTAGAAAACGTTTTCTGAATTTTAACAATATAATGGAATCGTGAAATTCTACATTTTTCAATGTTTATTCCCACTAAAGACCATTTATTTAAAAATGGGGTCAAAAATTAAAAATAAAAGTATATTCAAGGAAACTTGAGCTTTCAAAAAAATTGTTAGTAAAATTCAGAGCAAGTTTACTAAAAAAAACGTGTCCACAGACTAGAACAAAGAAAAAAAAATAAACAGCATTGTAAAACCAATAGCTCCCTCGCTACACTCGGAATCTACAATATTTAGATGTCGGAGAAGTTTAAACTTACACTAATCCACTTAACTGTTACTTAGATTGTGGTCAGATTTTATTAATTAAATTTACACACAACTAAAATATAAATATAATATAGAAAGAAATAATATAACCCAAAATGTAAAAATAGTTTATTGTTTATTAATTGTATTATCATTTAATATTTATTGTCAATATATTATTATTATTATTATTGTTATTATTATGAAATGTTCAGATTATTGTTTTTAACAAAGTAAACTTCTATATCTTTAATAGTATAATATATATATATATTTTTTTTTTTTTATTGTAAATTAATATTAAAATATTAATATACTAATTTTTTGATTAAATACATTTGTAGATTCATTGTAGAACTTTAATTACAATTATTTTGTTCCCATGAAACCAAAAGAAATAAAAAAATGAAACATTTTTCCTTTCAAATGAAAAATGTATGCATAATAATACATATATTATAGAACATGCTAGAAACTTATAATATAAATAATAATAGTTTGAATAAATGATTTTCAGGTAAAATTAAATAATAAACAAAAATCTATTTCCGTACAACACCGTTTAAAGTTGTTATACACCTATATGTATATATGGAATGTCCACAGGGTTCATAAATAGATTTGCATTGTTATTTTAAACAAGTGTGTGCATATTTCATCAACCAACACTTACATATAGTATGATTTCTCAATAATGTTAGGCAATTAACATAAAGCCGAAGTTAATAAATATTATGTTGCCATTAGCAATCGATATTATATAAAAATAATATTAATAAATTGGTGTTATATTTGTTTTAAGATTGTTAATATTAAGGAATTTATACATATTTGAAATGTTTTAGTGTTCGAGACTTCCCCCATCAAAAACAATACACCATGCTCCGATCGACCGACAACCATATTTGTCCACTTACATCAAATATAATTCACTCGGATATTAATCACAATCTGACATTGTGCTCTTGTCGCATGTGCGTTTTGTACGCCTCGCGATACACAAATGAACTGGGACAAAGGTAACAACACAGCCGGCGCATCAAGTCCGAATGCATTAAACGCACATGATACTTCAGCGACGACTGGTTGTTGTACATCTGTCCGCAATGGGGGCAGTCCCCACACTGGGCCAGGTGGGATCCTGCAAAAATATGTGCGTTGCCTGCACGGTCCATAAGCCGTGAAATATATATTTATTTCCAATATAGAAGAACAATATAGATTTTTCTCATCAAATCAATAAAGCACACTTGCATTCTAGTATTTATTTATTTAAGTATAAAATGGTTATAATACCTGCAGTCGCTAATGATTGGTCAGAAGTACACTGATTTGTTGGTGTTGAAGCTACACCAAAATCATTACTACTGGATGTACTCGTGCGGATCTCTGAATAAATAATTTTAAATTAATGTAGATAATAAATAAAATAAAATAAATACAATAATCACCTTTAGGGTCATTTAGCATACGAGAAGCTATCAATGATTTATCAAACATTGTGTTAGAATGTGAACCATCGTCTTCTTTATCTAAATCAACATCTTCAAATTCATCGTCAGGTCCTTGCCCATAATGATCATCACCAAACTCATCCTTTGATCCATCTTCATCAATATAACAGTCAGTATCTACATTACCGTCATCGATATCATCAACTTTTAATCTACTCAAAATATCAGTTTCACTACTGGTAGTTTCATCCTATAATATTTTTAATGATTAAACATTGCTATCTTTTGGAAATGTGTTTTAACTTTATTTTCACCATGAACTCTGTGCTATCATCAAACTGCTTTTTCAATTTTACTGGAAGACATTTCTTTCGTTTTGCAGAAACTTTACCATTGGGGGAATCAGGTGATTGGTTAGGTTTCATTGTAGAAGTGGATGTATCTTGTTTTTCAACTTTATTGTTATTAGTAGACAACTGTTGTAATGCAGGCAAAGAATTTTTTTCTAAACTAGTTCGAGTTGATTCCTTAATAATGAAATATTAAAAATCAACCATAAAATAAGGTATTAGATAATGAGGTACTTTTCTGTAATCCGATACTAACAACTTTTCTAACAGTTTTACAGTCCGATTATATCAGACTACCAAAATTTACCAATTTACTAAGATCAAACTCACTTAGCATTAATGTTAAAAGAATTGGACAGTAAATATAGTAAACATAAAGAAGTTATCTACAAAAGATAAACTTAAATAAATTAAAGTATTTTGTACAATGATGTGGGTCACAATAATGGAGGTAGTCTTGGGAATAGTTATATTCTCGTAAAACAGAGAAGTACCAATTACTATCAATAAGTGAAAAAATATCAATTTCAAATTAATAGTGTACTTACTAAATCAGTATTAATAGTTGAAGCTGCACCAGCAAGACCTCTAATCTGAAGTAGCTCAGCAGTACGTAAAAATGATGCTAATTTCTTCTCTGATATGTATACAGTGCCTTGATATACAAAATTGAGCAATGCTTTCACATCATCTTGATTAACATCTTTCAAAATCACAACCGGATGTTTACAAGGATTATCCTATAAATACAATTAGTATAAAAACTATATGTTTACAAACATCCAATAGATGAGTATTGCATAAAAAAAAATGTTTGTTCATACAAAAATTAAACATTGAATTTGTCTTACCTTAAACACATTGCGAAAGTAAGAACTGCACATGGACAACACTACTTTATGGGCTTTAAATAATTGTCCGTCACACGACAGAGTGACATCTACTAAGTCTTCACTGGTACGGAGGCTATCCAATTCGGTTACCATGTTCAATGGATAGTTGTTCCATTTTAAGCAAAAGTGATCAGCAGTCATTGTGAACCTTAATCGAACACTGATGATAGTAAATCACCAAGATCTAATACAAAAAACATAATTATGCTGTCATAAATTACCAAAGATGAATTTTGTACCCAAGCACGGTTGAGTATATTTAAATTTAATTTTAAGCATATTTACAAGCATACAAACAATTTACATAAAGTATAATATATTATGTAGCCATATTATTCGCGCGTATATGTATATTATGGAAAACATAGCACAGGACTTACCGTACTTGTGAATTATTCCGAGACATTCGTAGGTAATGGAAGCCAGAACGTTATTCACGTTTGACGGGGTAAATCGCAAGCAAAAGACGAGGCCATTAATATACCATTCTAACAATCAATGTTCTATTTAAGTAAATAATTATTTCTTTTTATTATTATTATTATTATGATTATTATTATTATTAATATTAACAATTAATTAAAATGTTTCTTATCTTAGGTGACTAATTCAACACAGGATGACCAATAGGCTGACAAATTCAAATACAACGACACACTGGACACACACGTTTTTCTCCATGGATGATAAGACTATACGATAACAGTTCGAAAGCATAATTTTTTTTACCTATATTTAAATTCGTAAAATCTGAATTCTTAATAATAAATACCATGTACCATATTATGCAATTGTAGGAAATGGATGAAAATAAATCTCGATTTGTTATGCAAATGATTTTATGATTCTATTTCATGAGTATGCAACTGCTTATCACTCAGTGCCGTGATTCAGTCCATGATATTCATTCAATAATAATCTCATTTTATCAAATTTAAAGATTCGTGCTGTACTGAAGGCTGTTGGAGATTGCAATAATAAACATTAGTCATTAGTTGAGCGACGATATTCTCCAAGAATTTGCAATTCGAAAATTTCTTTATTCCAGTATTCCATGTGAGACGCAATATTATAAAATAACTATTAACCATTAAAACTGTATAGTGTATAGAAAATAAACATTATCGTTAGAAATTATAATTGTGTGAATACTTTGAGTATTAGGGACTAACACAATAATATATTAGATAATATTGATTGTATTATTATGAAAAATAATTTTTATTTTAAAAACAAATTGTTTTTTTTTCTAGGATAATTTCAAAATGCCCCCACTAGACTTGGATGAAGAGTTACTTAAAGATGAAGAATTGGTAACAAATATTTGCAATTTGGATAATTCAATTATGGATATTGAAACATTACTTGAATCAAAAATGAGTGTCGATTATAACTCTCTATCTATTGAAGATAAAATAAAACATGATCTACTTTTTGCTTTTGCATTGAATAGTTTATATTGGATGTACCTGCGATTAGATGGCGTTGATCCAATAACTCATAATATTAAACGTGAATTGGAGCGGATAAAAACCTCAATAAATATGGCTAAGGGTGCTCTAGCCAAAAAGAATATGCTAAGGGTTGATAAAGAAGCTGCTGAACGAATTGTTGAACATGCTCTTTGGACACCGGAAAATAACAAACGTGGAACATTCGATATAAAAAGGCAAAATAAAAAAATTAAATTTGATAACGATTATAACCCATCAACATGAAATTATGTAATGTAACCTTACATTTTTGTACATTTATTATAAGTTTACAGTAAACTTAACTTTAAAAAACTAAAGATGACCAAAGTACTTGAAATATATCACTCTTTTAAATACACATCCTTCAACATTCTTGAATTGTCTTTTTTAATATTCTTTCTTCAATCAAATTAATGTCATATTCTGTTTACTCGTTAATACATAATCCAAACTTGTCCACTGTCACTATCAGTTCAACTTCTACATGGGTATTCCTCATTAGTGCATTGCATTGCAGCTTAGAAAATTAGCTGCTGCAAGTGTATCTCCCATCTTACATTATAAACTATGTTCTATCTATAACAGTCTTGCTTTAAACACGCAACAAACAATCACCATTTGGATTATTTTAAATCTTTAACTTCATACCAATTATTTTGGGTCAACTACTCTTATCCAGAACTTCGCTTGACTTAATATCCCACATTGTGTACACTAGCTGTTCTCATGTCATTCTCATTAGCATCCAACCACCTCTTTTTCGGTCTTCCTCCTTCCTATATTTTTTTTTATCCTAATTTCTTTCTCCTCATGACATGCCCTTACCATTTCACTTTATTTTGTCTACAATCAAAACCTAAGCTACCTCTTATGTATTCATTCTATTTTCTCTTTACTTCATTCATCCACCGAAGAATTCTCATCTCTGCTACACCCATTCTCTGTTCTATTTTTATGTATACTGCCCAACACTCCAACAACTATTTAATAAAGCATTTCTCTCTACACATTCTTGTAGAACTTACCTTTAAGCCTCATTGGAATTTTCTTGTCACATAAAACACTTGATACTCTATTCAACCACATTTATTCCTATTTTTTACATCCTCATAGAAACCACTGTTTAATATCATCAATTGTTATAAAAAAAAAAGATCTCGAGCGATTTCTTAAAAGGAAAATGTTAATGACTTCGAAGTACAGGACAATTTCCATTCTATCCTATATACATCATCAAAGATACTCCTAAATAGCATAAAACATTGATTGAAAAGTAAAATAGAAAACCAAAAAGGATGATAAATTTGGATTCAGAAATGATAGGACAGGAGAAGTGATTTAATCATGTAAGTCAAATTCTTAATAGAAAACCAGATCTATAAAAAACATTTGACAAAATCCGGTCAAGGGTTGTGGGAGCCCATAATAATAAGGGGACTTATATTCTATTAAAATGTAATAAATTAGCAAAAAGAAAAATTCTCAAATATTTGATTCAACTTATAATATAGTCTATGTGGACGTAGTCTTCTTCACTTAATTTGAGCCTGGATAAATAAATTGGAGGTGTAGGTGTTTATTTAGAACATTAAAAACAAGAAAATTGATTGGAGAGATAGAAAATTGATCTGAAAACTTAGCTACGATTTATATTAAAGGAACAATAAAATTTGCTATTGAAGCATTAAGACGAGCTTCAAAATATGACAATAAAAATAAAAATTAATAGACGAAAATTGGTTCACAGCATACAATTTTCTGATGATGTATTACTGCTAATCTCAAAGTGATGATTAAAATAATTAATACCTTTGTAGATATATTAGATTAATATCAATTGTAGATCAACAAATCAATGTTGATAAGTAAAGTAAATAATTATAATAAAGTACATATCAAACTAAAGAAACAATCCTATACAAGTTAATGAGTTTTAATACCTGGGAAGCATAATTAAGAATAAAAACCAGTCATCAGCTGATATAAAAAGAATAGCTCTCATTAAACAAACTTTCCTCAAGATTTAATATACTAAGTATAGGCATCTCATAGTTGAAACTTATAAAAGTTTATTAAGACTTGTAAATATTGTTTTATTAAGGATGTGAAACATAATCAATGACGCAAAAGATAAAAATAAATTACAAGGAATGATGATGTAATTGTGGAGGAATTTGAATAAGAGCTATTGGATGGAATGCAAATCAAATGAAAGAACAAGTCTAAAGATTAACATAATAGAAAGGAAAATTAAGTTTATTGGACACAATGATTTTTTTAGTAATAAATTTGAAGGAAGAATGAAGGCAGCATAGGTAGCTAATTCGATAAGGCATTGCTTTTAGAACATATTTTTTAAAAGTATAAAAAGTGGAACAATTTCTAAATTATAACAATATTTTAACTGCAATAAAACTATTTTTATATGTTTGAAATTTCAGATTCTTTAGAAATTTATATCTCGTGTTATTACAATAATCTATAACATTAAGTATTAACAAGTTCAATAAAACAATAAGATTATGTTTGTTTTATTATATTCAAGTATTATACATTTTGTTGTGGTCGTTCTATTTTCTTCAATGAATATAAAATGTTTTCTTTAGCATCTCCGATTACTGACTATTTAGTTTTACATGAAAAAAAAAAAACCAATAATAAAACGTATAAGTCTAGAAAATGTAATAATACAGCATATTTTTTTTATTATGAACGAGAAATTTGAAGTAAATTTAATTTTTTTTAAAAATGGTAAAAAAATTCACTCTGTAGATAACTACTCAGATTTAGACATTTATTTGATTTTCATTAAATGATTCACAAGTTTCATTAGTTATTGGCATAAAAAGAGGATATGTTATGTTAAACTTGATGATTATAGCACCATACTGTGTTAGGTTATACATATTGGGCATTCCTTCGTTATTTATTATTTTAACATAATCTGGTCTAAAATAATTAAAATAAATTATGACATTTCATTATTGCACTAAAATGAAATTAATATCTTACGTTATAACTTGTGTAATATTTACTCTTATCACTTTGTGACATAATGTTTTAATATTGATTTTTATACCAAATAATGCTTGTTTTAATGAAACATTTTTAATCATTATTAAATTCATATTATCTCGTTTGTAATCTTTATGGGGTATATCCTCTGTCGTAAACATGTATGAAGCTATTAAATATTACATTATTACATCAGTTATTCAAATCTATAAATATATAATTATATAATACGTTGATTAGGTTCAAGTATAGTGTTAACATTGGAAATTTCCGATTTTAATATCCCTCCAGTTGGAAACCCACGCGGTACTTTTACTTTCACAATTTGTGTTTGATTTGATTTCGAATCACCAGTATGTGTTAATTTTTTTTCAACAGAAACAAATTTTATGAGCCCATAAAAAATCTTAAAATTGTTTAAAATGTATTAAATTAAATTTATTATTATTAAATAATAGTATGTAAATAAGTACCTACCTCATTCAATGTTAGTTTGAGGGGAAACTTTAAAATTTCAGAGCAGCATTCTTTTTTCTTTAAATCTATTAATAGAGAACCATTTGATTTTATAAACAAGCACGATATTGGATTTGTAAGTACACAATACTCTCTATAATATAAATTGATGAATATTTAACAAATATATCTGAGAAACAGATATTTATGTCATTTAGTTCTCACGAATATGTTTTTATCACGTCACCATGATAAATCCATGGATCTATAGTTATTTTGTCAGATTTTACACCTTTTTTTATTCCTTCTTTGCCATATTTATCATACACAGCTCTGCACAAAGAATCAGATAATACTTCATAGGCTTCACATAAAATAATTAAATTGATATTTTTAACTTGATAAAATATTGAATATGTTGATATTAGTTTGCCAAATCTAAAATTATAGTATATTATATAATTAAAAATTATTATTTAATGTGAGAACTATCATACGCTTTCTGTATATCATCCTTAGTACAATGTCTTTTTAAATTTAATATCGAATAGTAGTCAATATGCATGTTTAATAAATAGTTAAAATATTACAGTAAGCATAAACCAAAAGTAGAAATTGTAAACAACTATAGTTTCTATAGATATTTTATTTATGTTATATCTGTACAGCTGTTAAACTGTACACACAAATAAACTACAAGGTTATCATTTTCTTTTTCCAATTTACATAATATAATAAATTTTGACATCATATTATTTGAATAACTAATCCTAGATATGTAATTGTATATAGAAATTATCGTACAGGAACCCATTCCTTGAATAATTCACCAACTTTCTTGCGCTCTAAAACAAAACATATAATTTTAACATACCAATGATATTATTTGATGAATGTAATGTATGTAGTGATTTAAGATATAATGTTAAAAATTTAAGAAGGCACAATTTTAGTAAAAATTGTACAAACCTAACGGTATACAGAAAAAAAAAAGAGCTGATACTGGGGATGGGAGCGGCCACTTATAGGTGAGAAGTTGGGAAGGTAGGATATATATGGTTAATTCATTTATATCTGTAAGCAACGATAAATCATTCCGAGCGTAGTTCAGTAATACATAATTAAAAGTGCCACAATTTTTTTCGTGATTTTCGTTTAAATTTGATTTCTAAACATTTATTAAAAAAAAAAGGTCTTCCAATGATTTTAGAAATTTCACCGTCTAGGTTAAGTTTAATGTAAGTATTATTACCATGTTTCAAATCTACATGTATTTATAACCAAATTACAGCCAGAAAACTCCTAAAAATTAAAATTCTTTAAAAGCTCATAAGTTTTGGGGATGATACCATAAAAAAGTAAATCAAAAGGCAACAAATAATTTGTCTTGTGATTTTTTGATTAAATCATTTTTTTTTGTAGAAAAATTCTATGTTTTATAAAATAATAAAATCATGAAATTGTATGTTTTCCCACTTAAGAGCTTTTATTTAAAAAAATTTAAAAATGACCTTTTAATGTACAATCTAGACAACTTGAACTATCAGAAAAGTTGCTACACGTAAAAATCAAAGCAAGTTTACTAGGAAAAATGTGTCCATAGACTGGAAGAAAAAATAATAATAATGAACATTGTAGTAAAACCAATAGCTCACTTGCTACGCTTGAAATCTAAAACCAACAGAAAAAATACCAAAATGATAATATAATCAATATAATATAAATAATAAATAAATATAATTATCAGTCTATTTGCTATGTTATTAACATTAAGTTATAAAGTAAATAAGTTTATTATATATTTTTGGTCTTATATATAAGTAAGTAGATTGAGTTAGGTTTCTGTTCATTAAGGGAACAGTAATGTTTGATAATTGTCTTGTTATATCCATGATCAATACTAGGTGTTAGATTATTTTTAATTATAAAAATTACTGATGTCTTATGAAACAAATTTTTAACGATAGAACATTTAGTTCTTTTTACAGATATTCTGTGTGATACAACAAGTGATTATTTTTTAAAATTATTTTTATTATTTTTAATGAATTTAGTGTTGTATTATAGGCGCCTCCCCAAATAGTAATACCATAGTTAATTATGGATTCTACTAGAGCTTGGTAAACAATTCTAATTTTCTTAATTTCAAGTGAATTAGCTAAATTTTTGAAAGCATAGATTATTTTTCCTAGTTATGTCGTTTTCTGGTTAATGTGGTCATTCCATTGGAGGTCATGGCACATTTCAATGCTCGAAGATTTACACGATTTTATTATTTTTAATGAAGTTTGATATGTACAAGATTTTGGATTTGAACAGTTGTGTTTGTGAATACACATGCTAATTATATCAGGTTTGTTTGTATTAGTTATATAGTGTGGTAATAAATAAGTTTTATCTAAATTTAAGACTAGGTTATTTGCACAAAATCAATTATTGATTTTTTTCAGGTCATCTTGTATGGATGAAAATACCTCGTCTCAAGTTACAATCAACAAAATGAACAGTACCATCAGCATAACAGACTAGTTTAACATGCATCTTTAGATCGTTTATTTGGTTAATTTGAATATTAAATAGGGTGGAAAAGAGGTTAGTACCTTGAGATACTCCACATATTGATAATGTTTTTATTCAAACCCTTTGTTTCCTATTTTTTAAATACGAGCTTAATATGTCATAGGCTGGATGGACCTTGGATACCAAATTTATTAAAATTATTTAATGATATTAAATGATCTATATTATATTAAAAAAATATATGATGTATATAATATTTATATTGAAAAACATTTATCTATCAACATCTGTTATGTGATTATATATATATATTATTATATTATATATAAATATTATATTATATATAATATATATATTCTCTGATTATATTATCATTTTGGTTTTTTTTTCCGGAATTAAAACCTAACACGTTTTATGAGCAAACTCAAAAATTAATATGCAAACAAGTAAGTAAAGAATACTTTAATTCATTAGTTTAAAATACATTTTGTTATATTGATTGGTTGCAAACAATTATAATTAAGTAATTAAAATGTATCAAATTTTGTAAATCATAAACATATTTTATAGTTTAATTAATTGATTCCAATTTCTAATAATCAATAAATATAACATAAAATGTATAATAAATAAATATTCAAATAAAAATATTTGTAAATACAATTCCTAGTGGAAATTGCATATATGTTAGTATTACTAACTAAACTTAATAATACTAATATACAAGTAAACTGCATTGTTACAATACAGTTAATAATCAAACCTGGAGGTTCGAAATATTCAGGATGTAATTGAATGTAATGTCTATACATAGCATCCTTGTCAGCTAGATATGCATTTCTGTGTTGTTTAATATAATAAAAAGCAACAGCACCAAGAATTCCTGCACCCAACTTCATGTGCAGACCTATGAAAAATAATTTATTCAACCAAAATAATATTTAAAATGTTGCAAAAACTCACAAGCATAGTAAGGTCTTCTATTTTGCACTGAATAGTAATACCAAGATGATCCAGCACCTAAGAAGGATCCCATGAAAGGAAACCACTTATCTTCAAGCCATGATGTATGGTATTTTTGGAAATCTGGATTAGGTGTTAAGAGTTTTATTGGTGTAGGATCTGCCGTAGTAGCTTTTTCATATTCTACTAAAGGCTTCATTTTTAGTTGACGAAAATAGTGTTGTAAAACGAGAGAAACATGAAATTATAATTTGACCTCTTATCAATGTTATCAACGTAATTTGTACTCTTCCCATACGATTGCAAAAACCAGTATTGCCAATACCAAAAATATTATTAACATTCAAAAACTGAACTACGATGTAAGAAATTGCTTATCTATAACCCTTCCCTACTCCTCCGGTATAAACTTTCAACTTTTATAACCATAGGTAACAACTCATAAACGGTAAATCTGATATGTATGTTATGTATAGCTAAATAACTGTTATTTAGCCATAGTTTATAAGTTTCTCATGAATTTTTCATATTAATAATTTTTATATTAAGTACTCTTGCTTTTCGATACGAGGTTTACATCAGTGAAAAGCAATGCTAGTTTTTCTCTTTCGTATACACCTTTATTTGTACATTTTGAACTAGCAATAAAAATATTATTATTATAAAGTATATCAAAATTTTTAGAAAAATATCTACTCAAATCTGTGTTCATAAGGGGGTTCGAAATCAAAAGTATGTACTTATTTGAGGTATATAGAGTAGGGGTAAAAAATTAAAAAATGGTTTTAAAATAAAGCTTAAATGATAATCATTGGAAAAAATCAGAAATCAAATTCACTTAAATTTAAATCCTCTGAGATAATTGTCCGTTAATGTTTCAGTAGTGCGTGAATGATTGATCAAACGCACAGAGTACAGATTTTAGCATACATCTTAAACCATGCCCACGACCCACGAAATCGTAATGATTGCCTAAACAAAAACAATTCCATTCAAAAACTATTGTTCTCGAACAGTTCGACTCCATAGACATTATGTCTATGCTCGACTCAAGCATACTTCTCGACCACGGTACATAATTCATTCGTGGCTTATTATAACTATTATCTGTCTTCGTTTATTTCATTTAATATGTGTTATGTTTTTTTTACATTTACCGTTTTACAGAAATGTTTTACTCGGTATGCCCAGAGGTGCTGGGAAATCACGTCGGAAACCAGGTGCGGATCCAGCCTTCATAAACGGGAGGGGCGGATCATAAATAAGTATAAAATTTTTAGATACCTATAGGTAAATACGAATATATATTGTATATATCAGTGTCGGCCTGACCAAAGCAGCTAGACAGCAATCGCTGCCCGGGCCCCAAGTTTTTTTTGTTCTACCATAGATACGCGAAGTACATAGGTACGTTCTAATTTACAAATAATCGACATACCAACAATCGGATTTTACCCAAATAAACGAGCAATAGTCGATAAGATAAAATCTCGTGGTTTTGAAGAACTATAGGCAGGTACCTATATAATACAAACTCCTGCCACCAAACACCAAAGAACTGTGCGGTGACGTGCAAGTATAATAATGTATTTCGACAATAATCAGAAAAGTTCGGAAATAAACTGCCTGTTCCCATAATATAATTAATTATATCGTAATATAGTCACGTAAATTCCATGCACTATTCGTTTTTTTTCTATTTACGATAATTGTTGTAATATGATCACTTTTATAGTGTAATTTTTCTAAAAGGAAATTCGACTGGGTAGGTCCGGTAAAGAGGTCATTTATCGATGTTCTCAGGAGTTTTCTCATCAAATGTGAAAAACCGGAAAAAAAAATGAGGAAAAACAGAAAAATATACGAAATATATTATTAAAATATAACGATTTATTTTTCTGTGCAAAACTTTTTAACAGCAATTTTGCTCAAATTTATAATGATAACAATTTTTTTTAAAAGGAAATTTAACCGAGAAGGTACTTTAGGGAGATCATTTTTCGATTTTCCAAAGAGTTTTCCCAGCAAATGTGAAAATCGTAAGAAATCGTAAAATATTGAAAAAATATGTAAAGCCTATTCAATTATTTTACTATAATATGACTTATATATTATTAGTATTGATTAATCACTTCACTACTTATCACAAATATGAATAATGAAAACAATAATGCGTGAGTGGTCAGTTAGATTGGGCCCCTAAAAAAAAAAATCCTGCCCGGGATCTTCGATGACTAGGCCGACATTGATTTATATATAGATAACCTTTTTGTCAATCAAATTATTTTCTTAAAATAAATTAACACATTTTTTAAAAAAAAGAGCTGATACTGGGGATAGGTGCAGCCACTGTTGTAGATGGAAAGTTGGAATTTTGGGAAGGTATGGCACATGAAGTTATTTAATTTAAATTTGTATGTAACGATAAACCATTGTTAATGAAAAACGATTGGGAGCAAAGTTCGGTAAGACAAATTTTAAAATGCCGTAATTTGATCTTAAAACGCCTATCATAAAATCACTAAAGCATTCAACTAAAATTTATTTTTTTGATCACTAAGTAAAGCTTATAATAAACCTTATGTTCTTGAAAAGTATTCTGTTTAAGAATATACAAGGTTTTTATCATAAAATTACTTACCCCCCCCCCTTCAATGCACACGTAGAGGAAATCCTCAAGGAAAAGACCCGCTGCCTCACGCTTGGAAATTACTTGAGGATTTTGTCTGTACCTACTGGTATATCTATATAGTATATATAAGATACAATATTCTACGCCTACTACCTACTCGTGTGAACTAAATCACGTGCTATGTGTGTGTGTGTGTAATATTTGTATTATATTATGTTCTTATATCATTTTATAAAATTATTATTATTAAAAATTTTTATGAAAATATTGTTTTATTATTATTTAAATTTTGTTATTTGTTGTAATTAAGTTAAAATTATTTGTAGAGGCTTAAAAATTGGATAGAAAGTTTATATTTGCCTTTTATAGACATGGTTAAATGTTCAAAAAATTTAAGCCATTTTTAAGCTATTTATAAACATTTTAATTTTGCGAGTTTTGTACATAATTTTTATTCAGTAGGTACTTGGTGGTAAAATTTTTAGATTTAACAGAAATGCTTGAAAATTTAACAAGTTAATTAAAAGTTTTACTTTGTTGTCAGAATTAAAATTTGAGGTGAATGTAGAATTTTTTTTTATAAGACAATTTTAACAAAAATTTAAAAAAAAAAACCCAAAAGTTCCAAGAGAGCTAAACTAGAATTATGACCATAATACATTTCGTTAATTTTTCTAGGAAAAAAGTCCGTAATATTTTTGGTTTTTTTTAAGTTTTTAGGAACTCTTAGGAAAAGCAAAAATTGACCTCCCTAAAGTATCTCCTCAATCTAGATTTCTTTTCAGAAGAAGTGCTATAATTATACATTCATTGCTTCAATCAGAATCTAAAATATATACATACTACTTTATAAGAACATGTATATATATATAAAACATATATTACTTTAAAAACTCATTTAACAACTGGGAATTTATTTTATGTATCAAAGATGCATTAAATAAAATACATAATAATAGGTATATAAACTTTTTAAAAACAATTTACATAAAAAAAAAACAAGTTCACCACATCTTAAAGTTCTATTTTAGACAATTTTTTATTTTCTTCATTTTCTGTTTCTTTTTCTGTAGAATCTACAGTTCTTTTTTCTGTAAAGTCATCCAATTTTGGATCTGTGTTGTCTTCAAATTTATATTTTAATATATTATCAGACTTCTTATCTTTCACTTTAAATAATCCATATTCATCTATTGGTCCATTTATTAGTTCACAGAGTGATGGTGATTCTATTGTTAATACGTATTTACATGTTTTTGGTTCATACAAATAAAGTGCTACTGTATCTTCATTATATTGACCGATTTTACATTTGTACCGAACCTAAAAAAGTGTTAATCAACAACATATTAATATTAACCAACAGTTCATAAAACTCTACAATACATTATATTGTATTGATTGTAATTTTGATTTTGTCATCAATTATATACCTAGGGTTGCTACAGATGTTAAATTTCAAAATTCCCTAATTTTCTAGGATATTTTCTGTGAGATACAACACATACCTATAAAAAACCTGTATCATAATAAATAATTTTACTCAATCTCTTCTTTAAATCATACAATATTTATTCAATCTCTGTGAAATAAAACAATAAATAAAAGTTCTAAAATGCAATTTTTTACAATTAATACTATTTGATAAATTATACAATCATGCCTAGGGGGACGCAAGACGCACTTATAGAGGTGCTATGACTATAACAGAGCACAGAGAAGTAATACAAATTTTAACCAGACAGGTTTAGCATAAAACATCACTTTTTTGGTCTATCTGTAAATTTTTCTAGCACCAAGCATTTCACCATGCATATCATTATGATACATATTAGAATAGTCCTTATTTATAGGGGAAAAATAATTTCATACTTTTATCAGGATGCCCCTCAATATTTTTGAGAAGCATATAAAAATAAAGTCTACAAAGTTTGGCCATGACAAGTCAATTAAAACACGCAGCATAAGGGGGTTGACAATTGTCCAAAGGGTAGTATTTTGTAATATTTTAGTTTATTAAAATTTATGTTAAAACTATAACACTTAGAGTAAAAGTTGATAGATCCTTAATTGTAGAGCATGACAATACCTAAAAAATTATAATTAAACATTTTCTTATAAATCTGTTATTTTCCAAGAAAAACAATAAAGTATACATAAATAATTAATTATGTTAATTATATTTGTCAATAAAAATGTAATGAGCAAAAATTTAATAATAGAATATTATCGTTTTTGATAACGTTTAAAATTATAAATACGTTGATATTTGATTAGTATTAACAATAAATTTATTTTATCCTGGATTTAATTTGAACATTACAACTCACGACTTCAATTATTGCTTTTAACTACACAGTGTCGAGTTTATTTTGTATATCCAATATTATTTTAACGTTTTTCTAGTGTTTAAGTTTATATATACATTATACAGTTGTATTTATTAATTAAAATATTTACCGGACATAGAGACAAGAATGATAGATCAGATTTATTCAATTGGATATGCTGAAAGCCAAATTGTGGTTGGTAAACTACCATCAAATATTCAAGTTAATTCGAATACTCTTTTCTAACATGAGGAAAATGAAGTTTAACTAGTTAAAGTGCAACTTTAGTTTTTAAAGGAAGTTTAAATATTTTGTTAAGTGTCCCTTGCATAAAATCAGAAATGGGTTAAAACCAAAATTTAGCAGTTTATAATACATTTGTAGAATTAAATCTTATAGAAAATGTTCAGGGTACTTGTTGTGATACGAGATCTTCATATATGGGAAGATTGCAAGCAGCGTGCATTCTTTTAGAACAAAAGCTTTTAAAGGATCTTCTCTTTTTACCATGTAGACACAATATATTTAAAATCATTCTTAGAAGTATAATATAGCTCAATCTATTATCACCAATATACCTTTATTTAAAAAATTTCAGAAAAGTTGGTCTCAAATTAAATCTAAGAATATAAAATTAGGCTATGAGGGTAAATATGTAAAATTGAAATTAAATGATGCAATAAAAGATATTAAATATTGTATTGCAAGAATAGCCAAAAATCAACCAAGAGAAGATTACCTCAAATTATTAAACTTATTAATTATATTTCTCGGCAGTAATTCTTATTATGGTAATTCTATTCGAGCTTTAAGTGCCTTTCATCATACACCGATGGATGGCAAAAGCAATATATTGCTTAAAAATATTTTTATTTTCATTAACAAAATCAATGTAGCAATTGATTAAAAGATATTTGTTAAGAAAACAAACAATCAATGAATTTATTTATCCAAATTCAGTAAATTGTTTAGACAATTTGATATTAAAACTAGTTATTTAATAGAGATCCTCAGTTTTGGAATACTAATGAAGATTATCAAGATGCTAAAAGAAAATTACAGGCTTTGAAAGTGGTAAATGATAGTGCCGAAAATGCAATTAAACTAATTGAAGATTTCAATTTTATTCTAACCAAAAACAAAGAAAAATAATATCTTTTACAAATCGTGGCTGACTATTAGAAAAATCACCGTGATTCAAGAAAAAGTACTTTAATGGAATGATAAAATAAAATATGTAAAATAATAATTAAAATATAATAGAAATTTTAAATGTAATAATAGTAAATAATTATAAAAAATGAATTTCGCTAAAAAAAATTAATTATTTGTGTGTTTTATTGTTTTCCTTCAAAAATAATAGATTTACATGACAATTTTTAACTTTAAATTTATTTTTTTTTACATATTATAATGCTCAACAATTAAGGATTTATCAATTTCTACTCCAAGTGCTGTAGTTTTAACATAAACTTTAATAAACTTAAAAATTACAAAATACTACCCTTAGGACAATTTCAAACCCTTTTGCTGCATCTTAGAATTCACTTATTATGGCCAAACTTTGTAGACATTTTTATATGCTTCTCAAAAATATTGAGAGGCGTCCCGACAGAAATATGAATTTTTTTTTCCTCATAAATAAGGACCACTCAAATACATATATATATATATAATTTTTGTTTTTATTATTTCCATGACAAATTCTAAATTACCTGAAATTTTCATGTTTCCTAAATAGCGTAGCAACCCTGTAGACCAATATATCATTAATTAGTTATAATAAGTAATATAATGTTTACCTCAGTCACTCGTTTTTCTCCGGTTTTTTGACAAACAGATCCAGAAGAGTAAAAATGAAATAAAACATTTCTCGTACCTTTTGCATCAAACTTTGGTTTTTTTTCTTCGTTTTCATTTAACCAATTAATATGGTCTTGTTTATTAAACAAGCCCAAAGTAACAATTTCATCGGGTTTTCCCTTTTCTCTATGCACTTGTTGTATGTAATCATTATAACATATTTCATATGTCCACCAACCAGAACCCTATAGTAAAAATATATTATTAAATACAAATCATAATATTCATTAAAATATATTTTCTTAAAATACTCACTCCATGTAAACATACATCTCCAAACACAAATTCATTAATTTCATTAATTTCAATATTTGGTGTTTTAGCATGCATTATTAAAGACTTTTCTTTTGGCGCAATTTGTTCTGTTTCTGCAGATGGTTGTATTTTAACCTGTATTTTAGTTTCTCCATTCTTCAAAAAAAAAAAATATATAAATGTACAAGAAATACATTTTTTTTTATAATATTACAACAGTCTAGATGAAAAAAACAAGCAAAAATAAAAATAATAAAAATAATGAAAAAAAAAAAAATAAACCTTATCTATTGAAACAGCTAGTATGAAGTTTTCCTTTTTATTGAGAGGGTCCTTCATTAATCATAAAACAAAAATTAAAGAACTTTTTCAAAAATAAAAAAAAAAAATATCTTATTAGTAAACAAACTGTATTTATTGCTAGTTCATTACTGCAATAATTACTGTTAATTACTTAAACTTACTGTGAGCATTTTTATTTGCTTCTTCAATTTAGAAGTATCAGATTGAAGGACTTTTAAGTTATGAGGTTTGCGTGGTGAATTGTCCACTGAAAGACAGTCAATGTTTAATTCATCACTATTTGGTGGTCTACAAAATTAAAATTTAATAATTATTCAAAAAACCATTTATTTTATGAAGTTAATTTTTAATTAATAATATTTTAAAATTCTAATACTCACTTGTACCAAGGATGAGTACATAAAAATGATGTTAAAATGATAACTTCATATTGACAAGTAGAGGTTTCTTTTACAGAATACACATTATGTTTACTTTGAGGATAACAAACATACAACACATTTGTTTGTCGTGGACGGCCATTGAGATCACAAACTGTGCCATCAGACATGTTCATTTCAAAATATGGTAAATTAACACCATCGACTTTCCTTGTTTTTGTAGGTCCAGGATAATTTAAACTTGCCAATCTTTTCAGTTCTTCCTCTACAAATAAAATCATAAACAAAAAACAAAGACAAATTTTGTACAAGGATGTGAACACTACTTTATTGCAAATTTCAATACAAAAAATTTGGTTACATTTTTATTAGTAGGTATATCTCTAATGAATATTCATTAGTTGTTATTAATTTGGTTACTTTACCTAATTTGAAACCTTCAAAAACCTGCCATCTACCCAAATAATACTCTTGCTCCTTCTGTGTTTTTCCTTCACGTTCGTTATGATATTGTCTAACATATCGGTAATGGCATACTTCATAAATCCAATAAGTATCGACCTATTTCAATATATGTAGACATAAACTATAGCAAATAAAGTATTTATAATGCTGAATATATAATATATTTACTCTGTAAGAACAAGCTTGTTTTGAGAATAATGGTGATAATAGTTCTAATGGACTAGGTCCAATATATGATGAATCGGATTCTTTATTCACTTCATCTTGGTCAGGTAGAAAACACCGATATGATTCACCAATAGCTGTTTTCACAGTCAAAGTATTTTCATTGGGTTCCTGATGAATCAATAATAAATTAAAGTAAAATCTTAGAGAAATATAAAAATATCATTCAATTTCTTAAATAGTTAAATATATTAAAATTAATACATGTTTTTTTGACCATAAAACTGAAATAATTAGTATTACCGATACATAAAGTAAGAAATTTAAGATATTTTTCTTAGGTACAATGAATATATTTACTTAGGTTACTTTAAAAGCTAGACAACAATATTAATATAATTTCACTTTTAAGTATTAATTTTTATTACCCAAAAGTAATAACCTACCACATAAAAGATATGAGAAGTTAAATTTATATGTTACTATAATTATTCTACTTTATAACAAAAAATAACATTGTTCATTTTGTAACATAAATTGATTAGGCAACTCAACAATTTCTTTTTGCTCTCAAACTTTTATAAAATGTACAATTTTTAGACTAAATACAGAACCCTCCAAGCTATAAGTTTAGTAATTGTGATTTTACTGTTTAATATTATGCAGCCATGTAATTGTAAATAATTTAAATACATATTACTTTAAACTTTTCATTGTGTTTAACTTACCTTCCCTAATCTTTCAGCTACCTCTTTACCTGGCCAATTTATTTTGTACAAAATCGTGTCATCAAACCCTTTGAACTCTTGCGAGTGACCAATATTAATAATAAATACCAAAGCCAGGAATTTTGATTCAATACTGCACGAAATCATAATTTATTATATGTATAGATTAAATTAAAAATGCAAGAACATATGGATGTTCAAATAAAATATTTTGCAGACATTAGCTTTGTAGAGATCACTATTTTCAAAAAAAATATATAGTGTGAACGCAATAAATATTACATTTAAATGCCTAATTATTAAATGTATGATGTCAACATTTTCACAGCAATTTAGTATAGTGTTTACTTTATAATATATTGTAGGTACGTAATCTACATTATATGAGTACTATCATGAGATAATATATCATAAGTACTATAAACTCCAAAAAATTATGACATTTTATAGGCATATCAGCAAGATAACAGTGCGCATAAAACGCGACTATTGACCAGATAGTAAAACAAAACGGATTATATCACTAATAAGATAAACGGTTCTTATCAGTACCTGCCTACTTCAAATAAACGTTACAATTACTTAATAGATTGAAAATTAATTTTTAACAGTTGTTGCTGCTTACTGCAGCTACTCCTACCATTAATTAGGCATACTTAATCAATGCTGCTACTAATTGTGACTGGCGACTACTATCAATCTGAGAAACTGTTGAAATATAATGTATTATATTATTATGTCCACATTAAATCATTAAAATAGCCATCTCTAATAATAATCAGGTAACTGTGTAATTTATTTCAGATAGGCAAGTACTGATAAAAATCGTTTATTTTATTAGTGATATCATACAATACCCCTTGACAACTACATTTAAATCGATACAATATGGCCGACACTGGCGAACAATGCACAGTGTAATTTGGTTATTTTGCTAACATACCTGTATATTTATGCCATGAAAAAACTGTAGATAAATAAACCTATCAAGGTGAATACTTTAGATCACGGTTTTAGAAGCTAATTGTGCTTTAAATGTATTGATAATTTTATTAAATCATATGATTATAAGTAGGATCCACGCAAGGTTTATCGGTAATATAGTTCGCCTCAGTAAGCGTCTAGGGTTAGAGAGTCAAAAGGAATTAAAATGGCGGATTATTATCGTTAATTTACATTTCGATAATAAAATACATAATTACTTTGATAACAACTTAATCATATTCATTATCACATATATATTATTTTACATTTTAGTTATTTTTTTGTTATTTTATAGTCTCTTGATATTATATTATACAAATTCAGTTATACTCATTAACAAAAAATATTACACAAATAAAAAAATACATTCTTTGGTTCACTCAGATTCTAAAATCAACTGTCAAGTTAATATTATTGTATAATAAAAAAAAAATAAAATAAATTTATAATTTAGTTAGTTCAAGTCAATCTATAAATAAAAAATATTACTTATATAAAATAAAAAATCAATTTTTGTCAACTTAAAAAATGTATAAATAGGTGAGAATAATTAAGTATTATTTCCTAATATTAATGATGTACTGAAATTCAGAATATTATTATTAATACTAGTAATTTAATTTATTTTTATTATATTATTATTGTACGTTAAATAATTTTATGTACAATTTGCGTTATTATTTTAAGGTTTATTACTACATATGAGTACCTATCATTATAGCTAATATTTTAAAACTTGAGATTTGTATTAAATTATTATAAAAATGACAAGCAAACGTTCTTTCCAAACAGGCCAGTTGTTCTTTTAAGTAATTTTACTTTAGTAATAGTAAACACAATAAAATAAATTAAAAAGAAAAATCAATTTTAAAGAGAGTAGGTATCCAATATTTTATATTTTATTAATAACAAAATAAATAAGAATACATTTAAATTGTAACATTTTGTAACAATTTAAGATGTCAATTTTTTCCCATCACTAGGCCAATTGTTAAAAAAACGAGGAGACGTCACCACAAACTAATGTCTGAAATAGTTTTTATTAAAATGTGGATATCTATTGTTGTCAATTATATAACGAATTTTATTATTTTTGATATTAGTTTGATATTATCATCTTTTTTATGGTCTTACATTTTTTTGCCGTATTTTAGGTGTATCGATATTTTATCACACGAATTTTAGCATTTTTTTTTTTTTTTGTTAACGCTTTTCTGCGGATAATGGATGTTACTACCATTAGAGAGTAATTGCTCTAAGATAACCACATGGTCAATAATAAATTCAACTATGCGGTATCGTTTGATTATTGTAGTATCGTGTGATAAAATATCATCAGGATATAATATTCATATAATTTTTATTTTCTACTACAACATGTGGGATGTAAATATTGCTATCAAATTATGTTTGGAATTTTAATATTTGTAGCTAAAAAGTGGTATTCAAAATGCTGGTAAAGTGGAACTGTGGAGGGGGGAGCGAAGTCCCCCACGGGTCTGCGTTAAGTGATTGTGTACTTGGAACGCAGTTTTTAAATCGTTGGATTGAGCTCCTCTACTTAATTGTTTCCAATTCGAGCACTGTACATTTAAAATCATAAGATCATTCAGCTTGTTATCTCCCATCGTAGTGCGTAAGTAAGTTTTAACATTTGGATGAAAAGAATCGTTCGTTTGAAGCAGCGAAAATCGGAAATCTTTATTACAGAAATAATTTTTAAAGTTTCAAAAAAGGCTGCCGGAAGTTGTGACAAAGAGGATACAACAGAATCAAAATTATGTGATAATAATAATAACCATAGGTAGTAAAGATCTTATTTATCTACCGCATAGAGCCATAGACCTTGAAAAGTCTATGGCAAGGTTACGTTGAGAAGCTAAACAACTACTTCGAAACAGTTTTTATTAAAATTCAAATAGATGAATTTTCAATTTTAAATTCATTATTTAACCTTGCGTTTTGTCACCTTCGTATTGATAAATAATAATAATAATAATAATAGCTGTTATTTTTGTTTCTCAATTGTTTAAAATCTGAATGTTTTTATTAGGCATCGCGTTTTTTTTCCCAAACTGGATTGCTTATTGATTTAGTAGACATTTTTTAAGAAAATATATTTTTGTTTTATCACGATTAATTTTCGAATATGTTGCAGCATAATAATATATACACAGATCTTATCGGTAGCCATGAAACAAAGACAGTGCAGTATTATCAAGCCATAGTATGTATATATGTTCGCAGAAATCCTAAAACTGCAAGTTTTATTTGAAAATTCTACTTATATTTATTGCTTTCGCACTGGAAATCTATTGGTTAAATAGATACGTATCACAATTTATAAGTACAAAAAGAATTCATAGTTTGTAATAAAGTACAAAGGTACAAATGATGAAGTCCCAACAAACACTATAACAAAATAGTATTATTTTCAAAATTTACTAGTTGGACAAATTGACTAAATGGACAGAGAAAGGATAGTTTTTATGATATCCTGATCCAATCTATTTACATTAAGCGCTATCGTAAGAATATTTGTCGACTTCTGAATATCTGCTTTTTACATAAATACATTTTCAATATATTTTTTGGGATAAACAAATCACATAAAAGAGATTTTTTATGGGTTGCAAAATTACTTAATATACATGATGAACACCTATTCATGATCGCCTAATATAGTTATAACTATCTATGATTCTAACTTAACGATGAGATAATTTGATATTTATGACAAAATTAAAGTAAAAATAGGTCTTGAAAAAATAATGTAGTATGGCTTTTTGAAAACGATCAATGTGATAACAAGAATAGTGTATAATTTAAACTTTAAAGGTATTACCGTAACACCAAACCGAAGTTACGTCAATACAGATGTTTATAAATAACTCAAAATAGACTCAAAAGTTTTTAAAATTTTACTTAAAAAGTAGATATAAGTTCTCTGTCTAAATTTCAAGTCTCTATGAGTATTTTGAATTTAATCACAACAAAAACATAATACAAGCATTATTTTCATAAATATTTCGTTTTTTTTTTTCGGTTTTGCTCAATTATTCAAAAAACGACCATCTAACACATCAAATAAATTAAGAATTCAACAAAAAAGGTCTCATGTAGTTTTTATATTGGAGCAATATTTATGGTAAAAAACATAAGCCATAACAATTTTAAATAATGAAATAGTTGCGCAGTAATTTAAAAAAAAAAATGAATTTTTCGTTTGTTTTGGTTTTTCCCAATTATTATGAAAAATACTTTAGGTATAAAAAAACTTTCTCTGTTAATAGTCATATATTAAAAGGAACAAAATCGATCTCTTGTCATTTTAGATTCTGAGTGGAGCGAAGAAACGTATGGTTTTACAATGTTTATTTTATCTGTGAACAACTTTTCTACCAGAAATATTGCTCTGATATATAAGTGGTGCATTTTCCTGAAAGGAAATCTGATAGGTGGTACTTTTGAGAGGTAATTTTTGATTTTCACGGGAGTTTTCTCAATGTATTCGAAAAACCAGTAAAAAGATAGGAAAATGTATGAATATATAATACAAAATTATGGCCTTTTTTTCATGTGAACATTTTTTCTACCAGCAAATTTACTCTAATTTACAATGATAGCATTTTTTCTGGAAGGAAATTTGACTGAAGAGGTACAATAAGAAGGTCATTTGATTTTCTCATGAGTTTTCTTAATATATTGGAAAAACTGGAAAATTGGTACCTACAATAATAAACAAATATTATTAAAGAAAATGTTTGATGCATAATATGTGATATTATTTTAATAATATATGACAAATTTGTTGTTGACAAAGCAACACTATCAACTGAACTTCGCTCAGAATCGTTTTTTCGTTAGCAATGGTTTATCAGATGCTTACAGATTATTTGCTTACAGATAAACATTAAATTCCCGTTTGTATCCTACATTCCCAACTTTCCACCTACAATAATGACTGCATCTACATGTGAAGTATGTCCGTCTTTTTTAGATTGCCCATTGGATTTAGTTGATGACTAATTGACCCATGGAAATTTAGTTAACTATGGGATATCTACAGATATTTATGGGATCTAAATTACCGGGGATTTGTTTCATTTTGATCCTTTTGACATCAAGTTCCCCTACAGTCAACTATATCTCCCTAATTATTTAGATTCCCTATCCTCTAGAATTTAGATTATCTCTGCATAATTAAATCTCGGGTATCTAGGTGGCTGTTCACGAAGATTTATTTTACCTAATACTGTCAGAGATTTAATTGACAAGTAAATTAATTTACCCGCATGGGCATGCCGAGAATATTAACTTTGTGTTAAATTAGCCAACTAAATATTTAAAAAAAAAAAATTGAGAGAGGGGGGTGGTAGACACCTCCCATGCCCCCACAAAGGACGGCCCTGCCCATGGGGATCTAGTTAAACACGGGAAATCTAGATGGACGATGATCTAGATTCCAGGTGGAATGTCACCGGATTTAGTTAATTATGTCGTGATTATTTTCCCGTGAGACTTTTTTTCGTTTGAAACCTAGCGTCGAATGGCCGAAATCGTTACACTTGAAAATACACAATGCTACGAAATGCTACAATGCTGCTTAAACGACAGGTAGGAAACTGTTGTAGGTAGGAAGTTAGGAAGGGCTGTAGAGGGCCATACTGGGCCATAGCAACCAAATATTGCACCCGGTGTGAATCTTCAAAATGCGTCCATATAATCTGTAAGTTGTAATGATAACTCAAAGCTAAAGATGTTCAGAAACTACAATCAAATTAGTGGGTTTTTTTTGTTACACCAAACCCGGATTAAGATGATTTTGGGCCCGGGGCCAAACAATTTTAAGGGTCCATAAACATATTCAAAATATTGGTGTTTATACAGTACTATCAGCCGAGGCCAGGGCCCACAATATTAAGATATCCAGGGACCTGGGGCCATAGCTCCCTCTGCCCTGCCCCTTAATCCGGGCCTGTGTTACATAATAATTGTATAAACACTTTTTGGTTTTATTTAAATTAATAGTTTTTAAAATATAAATATACATCCAAACATAAATTATTAATCGCAAGTGACTTAATCACTTTTAAATTCCAATTTGTCTAGCCATTTTCCCAGCATTGTTTTCAATGAGTTCGTCTTTATCTAATGTATTGATCAATGTAGTATTATGTTCAATGGACAAAATAGCCAAATCGTAGCTAGAATATAATAATAATAATAAAATTACCCTGAACATTTACATTACGCGTATACGTACGAACGTGCGTTAATTAATTCCATAATTTAATTAATTAATCAAAATTATGAATGAATTAATTGTTTTGGAAAATACGTAAAATGTTAATATTTTACAAGGAATACGTGGTTATTATTATCAGAATCCCGTTTTACCATTTAGCGATTCAATATTATATTATTCACATAACTTATAATTACACGAATAATAAACGTACAATAAATTATAAAATAAATGTACGAATGCAATAATATAGCACAATGTACATACCTATAAGGAAATTAGACTGTATGGCTCCAACTACTCAAAGTATTCAGCTAAGTTCGGAAATCAGGGGCTAAGAGGTCACAACAGAGAGACGGTCAAAACACAAATGAAATAATAGTAGGTACCTAATCAATTTTTTACGTATTACCCGGCAAATACCGCACGTGTATGAAGTATACTGTATAATGTATACATGAAAATTGTCATGTATATTTACAATAAATTCGATTTTGATGTAAAAATAAACAGAATTGATATTCGTAATACACGTTATTGTCGTGACGTCGTTATTTTTTATTTAATTTCAAGTAGTCTATATGTACGTATCTATATATGACTGTATATACATTATACATAGAAGTTTATTCATATAGGTAATCACGGATTGTACTATTTTTTTTATAAAAATATTATTATTGGTAATTATTTTCCGCCAATCATTTATATCTATAAATGAAGTTAAATGTATTGAAATAATTATGAAATATAATATAATAATTATAACTGTAATATTTCACATACATATTAAATTTTAATTTTTGAGCTCATCTAGTGATTGCACCCGGGGCGTAGGCATCGCTCACCCCATTTCCCATTACTACGGCCCTGGACACGTAAATTTATTTAATTTATAACTTGCACGCAACAATAAAACTAACCATTGCTAACGAAAAATAATTCGGAGCGACGGTTGGTTATACATGTTTTAAAAGGCTGTAATATTTACGATTTTTGTCAAAATTTGATATTACAATTCTTATAAATAAATAAAACTATACTGAACTCAGTTTTTTTATTATCACAAAGTATTACTTATAATAAACTACTCTAAATTGTCAAGAATTTATTTTTATCCAGAGAGTATAATACCAAATAAAAATAATGAAAAGAAAATCGCAAAATAAAAATGTCTATACCTAAATAACTAAAAAATTACTCAAATATTTGACAAATTTTACCACGTCTAAAAAAGGTGAACACAAGTTTTCTGTCCAAATTTCAAATATCGTTAACTGAATCATAACAAAAAAATAAAATTTAAAATAATACATTTCGTAAATTGTCCTGTTTTTTCCGGATTATTATGTAAAATAGCTTGGAAAATTAAAAAATGACTTCTCTAGATATAATTATAATCTATTAGACATAATATTCATTCAGAAAAGGTGCTACAATTGAAAGATCGGAGCAAGACGTTTGGTAGAAAAGCTGTTTATAGAAAAACAAATAAAAATAAAATAAATATCATCGTAAAACCAATACATTCCTTGCAACGCTCCCAATCTAAAATGTTAATAATACAATGTGATATGTAGGCATATTAATATTAAATGACTCAATTTAGGTAAAATGATTTCTCAGATAACGTTTGTTATGAATATAAAATGAAAAATACACAATGTATTAACTGTGTAATACGTTATGTAGTTTTCATTTTACACAATAGTTATCACAATAGATTCATTTTAATGTATATAGGCCCCATTACGTTTTTGTTACTTAGTGAAAATAGTTATAATATATTATAGTTTGGAGGCTAGCCCTGGGCCAGAATCCACCCAGGCACCCCTTGACTACGTTCCTGTACCTATACATACCTACCACCTAGCTTCATCTATTTCAACCCAAAAACGAAAACTACTGTGGTTTTACCTCACCTTATAGATGTTTTCGTTGCCATCGTATTTAGGCGTGATCAAATTTAGTTTTATGTTTAATTGTGTACTATCAGATCGCAGTAAAAAGGAAGAAAAAAAAATCCATTTTAATTAATTACGAAATGGGGTCATTTGGTTATCAATTTATCACTTTATTTTAGAATTAAAAAATTTAAATAAATAAAAAAAAAACAATTTTTTTTTTTACGTCTAATAAAGACAAAATATTTTATTATTATTTAATCACGTATGAATATTAATTTTGCTGACGACATTTTTATTCATTGATTTTATTTCTACCGGTAACGTTACGCTCGTTGTTATCATTTATTAGTTGTCCGTAGTCTGTTGTACAGCAGTCGCATTTTGCGTCTTTGTGTCACTGCAGGTTGCAGCTCCCGTCTGCTTTAGAGTGTCCTCGTCCTGCTGCACTGCACTGCTGCAGTGCTGCAGCAATCGTCACTGTTCGTTTTCAATTTTTTCACTATTCAATACCTTCTTTGTGTGACTCGTCTGCTTCGTGCGTGTGCGCAGTGCGCGCCTCGAGCTGTTCTTCTGGCCCCACTACGTTAGGGGATACGTTGAACTTGTCTTTTGAGTTCGATACAGCTACAGCAATAAAAATGATAATTTTGACGTTCGGTCGTCGTCCGGTCAGATCGTGTCTGCGACTTCGTTCGGGGCCAACGCACTACGGTACCTACTGTTATTGTTTATTATGTAATAGTATTATTTTTATATTTTTATCACTTTTACTAAATATACAATAATTGTCTACGATTATTTTTATTATTCGTGTTAGTTCTTACGATTTGAAATTCATTAATTGATAAAATGTATTTATAATATAGGTAATTAGCATTTGTTTTTATTTTTTGATTTAGCGTAACCAATCGTTTTTGAAAGTGTTCTAAGAATCATTCGTCTTGATCAATTGTTTTTAAGATAGTCGAATCTTTGAATTATCATCTACTCGAGTCATGCAAGAAAAGTTTCCGAAAACTGACTCATCATCTGTTCCAGTTATATCACAATATCAAGTAATAGTTTTGTTTTGTGTATAATCTTTCTTCTTTTTATTTCTTATGTAATATTAATTAGGTACTAGGTAGATATAAAACATAATTTGTTTTGATTATTATTTCAGTTGGCATATCCGTGTTTATATATTAGGTATATGGTTATTATTGAATAATTTAGGTGTCTATTTAGGGATACCTAGTTTAATTGTGATTGATTAAATTGCATATTATATAAATTACAAAGCACCTAGGTAATGGTAGTAAATAAATAATAAGTGATAACATAACAATGAGTTTGACAGCTATTTTTGATATTTTCTTATTACCTACAATATTTATATTTGCCTTGCAGAACAAATTTATTAAATTTGTATAATGGTAATTATAATTCTGATTTAAATTGTCCTGTTTCCTATCATTCTTCACCCTCAAGGCTGCGAAAGACTCCTTTCAAATATATGACGATTAAAGATAGGTAGCACAGTATAATATTGTGCAATGTATTTACCATCTATAATCGTGAAATATACATAAATTTAACAAAATCTATGACATACATTTAATCCCAGACTATATATAATGATATATAATATTTTCAAGAAATTAATATTAAAATGTTTTTATTTTTTAGTGGAGAGATATACCTATTTAGAAAAAAAAATTTTATTTTAATCACCCCTTAACCAATAGAAAAAATTACTTTTATTTGTGTACTTTTTGAACATATTCAAAATAGTTGATTTGTAATAGATATTTTTCTAAAAATTTTAATTTCATTACATATATACAGACATATCTGATGAATAGTTTCTTAGTAATAGCCATTTTAATTTCTACAGAAGATGCGTGAAAAAGTTATATTCAATAGATTACTTACCATGGTACGTAATAAGAAATTACAATTGTAATATAGATAATAAATCTGTCAACTGATAAATATTTATACAATGAGAGGTTTTTGGGTATTATAAATTATTTATAGTTAGAAATTAAAACAGCTATTACCAAGAAACTATTGATCAGATATGCATGTATGGTAAACTAAAAGGTTTAGTATAATATTTTTTATATAATGGCTACATTGAAAATGTTGGTAAATTAAAAATAAAGTAATTTTCTCAGTTATTAAGAGATGAAAATAAAAATTTAATTTTTCTGTATATAAGTATCCCCTAGTGCAAAATCTAATTGAAAAAAAAAATAAATTTAAAATAAACAGTTATTAACATCTGGAAAACATTGTAAAATACTCTATATAGTTACAATAATGTGTAAGATGATATCTTCTTTTCCATCCTAAATAATTGGGGTTGGCCAAATATGTAGAATACCTAATATCCAGTACCAGTAATAAAGTACCTATTTGAGTGCAAATATTGTTTAAATAATTTACTATTTATATTATGAAGAAAACCTCAAACTCTTGTCATAAATAAATGTGTATAAATTAAAAGTATCTAATTAATGATTATTGACTGTTGTATACAAATTTCATTAGCTATTGTATAGTGATGGCGTATATTATCTAATTGGAAAATGTCATCTACCGAATTAATTATAATTATTTTATTGTTTTAATATATAAATATGTATTAATTATATTATACATTTAGACTATATTCACTATTTTTAATCATACATTGGGTACATAAATTAATGAAATCAATCGACAGTTGATGTTTTGGAACTCGAGAGTACATTACTCTATTACATAAGTGCCTAAATGCAGAATATGAAGAATAGTGTTAATTAGTTTAGATATTATATTGAATTGTTTTTATTTCTTTCCTTCATATGTCCACCTACTTAGATGCCTCAATATTTATTTTTCACCAAATATATGTGCCTTAACAAATTAACAAACTTGATTATATTTAGAATATCATTTTAGATCCTGAGCGGAACAAGGAATGTGTTGGTTTTACAATTATGTTTATTTAATTATTTTTTTTTTTCTTGGAACAACTTTTCTACCAAAATTTTTTTTTTTGATATTCAAGTGTAGCACTTTTTTTGAAAGGAAATCTGACTGGGGTGGTACTTTAGGGAGGTGATTTTTTGATTTTCCCAAGTTTTTTTTTTAATAAATGGAGAAAAACTGGAAAATTTACAAAATCGTGTTCAAAATCGTTTTTCTTTAGCAATAATTAGAGCCTGGATTTACATGTTTATTTTAACAGTCCAAAACGTAGCTAGATAAGCTACAAGTATAAATTATAGTCAATAGATTTGAAATACTAAGTTTATTTTGTCATTTTTAATGTATACTGTATATTTCTGAATTTTATGATTTTTCACTGCATTATAGTCAAATACCTAAGTGTTATATACCCATTTATTTTACTATTGTTCTTTATTTTATCACATATACCTAAGGTTCGTAAGGAATTTGTTTTCTTATATTATCTAATCGCTTCTAGATAAAGATAATTCGGTCATAACTAGTTGTTGTAATCTATATATTGAGTAGGTTTTCGTAAACTATATTTTAATTGTGTTTCAATAATACTCTACTAAGTTTTTTTAAATTGATTTGCGTTCATCTATGAGCGAATGTTCGAAATGTTACAAAATTCAACATACAGTTAAGTACAATATACAAAGAACTATTTAATTATTTCTACTAAATATTTAATATATTTTTTTGTTCTGTATATTAGTTATTTAATGAATTATGTACATTTCTAAATTAAATCAATTTTATTAACATCAATTTTTCTTTGGGTATATTTTAATGATAACTAGTGAATAAATCCATGCACGTTCCTTTCATTTTTAGTGCATGTAATTCAGGACCCTAGTAATAATTAATCTTTGTATACAGATATATTTCACAGATTTATACAGACATAAATTTCCCAACTTCTCACCTCCAACAATGGCCCACCCATCATGTAAAGTATTGTCCGTTTTTTAGATTATTCAAATGGTTATCATTACACTAGATGGTGAATTTAGCTTCAAACGAAGTTTGTCTAATAAAAGAATAATTTGTCATATACATTTTTTTATGATTCTATGAATATCTTTTATTAAAGTAATTTTAAAAGTATAGCAAGGAATATATTAGTTTTTCCATGATATAATGTATTTTTTTTCTGTCCATAATCTTTTCAACTAGAAAACGTTGTCTATAGCCTTGTTCTAAAAAGAAATGTTGATTAGTTGGTGCATTCACAAGTTGTTTTTGAATTTTCATTTTAGTTTTTTTAATAAAAAAAAATGTAAATTTATTGTTTAATTTTTATTGATTTCTGCGTTACCTTAGCAACAACAAAAAAACACGACTCATACTACTCCGCTTGGTAATGTTTATTTCATATGAAATGATTTATTGTTGCATACAGGTTGTAAACTGAATTATTTTATGTATCCAAGCTTTCTATCTATTCTATTTAATAGTAGGTAATAGGTATCACATTTTAAAATATTTTTAATTAATAATGTATTTTAAACAAGAGTAATGTTTTTTTAACTATTAAATTTGTATAGATGATGAGATACAAAATTATTGACTATATTTAAGGCTTCATAAATAATTTTGATTAATATTTACTATTTATTAATTAGTTATGATATTTCAGAAAATTATGTATTTAATTTTCCATTGACAACAATTTTAGTATTTACTTGAAACTATATTTAAATAAATTATTTTATTTTCAATGTTATCATAATGTACATACAAATATTTCTTTATTTATCATTACAGATTAGTTTTGTTAATCATTTTATTATCGAGAATTGAAGGTTAATAAACTTTGATTTGTGTTAATTTTGTGTCAAAAAAATAAATATGAAACCAATCTTATCATTATAATTTTAATACCTTACATTTTTAATTATTTTTATTGCATATAAGTGAATTTATCATTACATCAGTATCATACAGTTTAATAAATTTATTATTAACAGATAACTGAATTGAAAATGTTAATAAATTGAGTTGTCAATAATCATGAGCTATTTTGAGTAGTTTAATTTGATTTGATTTTTTTCAGAGGATGAAGAACGATGAAGGATTTTCTAGAAATACAAGTTTTTCTTCAATAAATTTTGACATTTGCAGGTATGAATATTACAATAGTATGAAACTAAATTTAAATTGCTTTCTATAATTATTAATTTGTTCAGTGAATTTAATATTTTATTAAAATTGTTATAAATGGATTGCATATGTATTCTTTTCTTTTTTTTTTAAATAATTTTTGCTACCTCAATGTATATGTATTATAATATGCACACCAGTGGTGTATTTGAGGATGGGTGGATCGCCCCTCCTTGACATTTTTCAGCTGTGATTTTTCAATCGGGGCTATAAGCAATAAATGGTATTTTTTATCAATGTTACCAAAAAATAATGATAATGATATAACTAGGGTAATTTTTTATCTATATTACATATAGGGATATCAATGTGGATGTCCAAACAGTAGTCATCATAGATTGATTTGTAGGAGAAAAAAAAATGAATATTGCTTTAAATTTTTTGTGTATTCGATATGAATACATAATGTATACATATTATTATGTATATTATGTTACGGGTAAATGCCGAAATCGTGAAAGTCTTAGAAATGCCTGGGCAAAATGCGAAATGTCCACAATACTTAATCAAAACTTCATATTTCGGATTTTTTCTTGACAAAACTATTTAGTAGTGACCAACATCATTTCAGAAAAACTGTAAAGTCCATAAAATACAATTTTTCACATTTCTGAGATTTACCCGATTTCAGATTCTGATCGTAACATCTATATTATATATATACATAATTTTTTTTTTTAGATTCTTAGTGTAGCGAAGAATATATTGGTTTTACAAAGACGTTTATTTTTCTTCTTTTTTTATACTGTGTACAAAAATTCTACCAGAAATCTTGCTCTGGTGTATACATTGTAGACCCTTTTCTGAAAGAAAATTTTCTTGGGGTGATACTTTAGGGAGATCATTTTTTGATTTTCTTAGGAATTTTATGAATCAAATGGGATGAACGAAAACAAAAAAGGAAAAATGTATGAAATATATCAGTATAATATTAAAATTTTTATTTTCTGTGAATAACTTTTCTACTGCCAATTTTGGTCCGATTTACAATGATAGCATCTTTTCTAAAAGGAAATCTGACTTGGAAAGTACTTTAGGGAGGTAATTTTTCGATTTTCCCGAGAATTTTCTTATGTGAAAAACTGGAAAAAATCTTAGGAAAATCCAAACAATATTAAACTAACACCATTAAAGAAATTATGCTTATAATTATTTTAACATAATATGACATACATATATATATATATATATATATATTGTTGACAAAGCATCACTATCAACTGAACTCTGCTCAGAATCGTTTTTTCGTTAGCAATAGTTTATTTTTATTTGTTATTGTTGGGGACAATTACACTAAATTCCCTTCTGTATCTTACCTTCCCAACTTCCCACATACAACAGTGTCTGTACCTGTCTCTATTATCCTAGAATAACATTTTTTTTTTTTGTAAATTATCAATTAGAGTTTATACCTATTTTTTTAATGCCAAGGAGAGGAATCATAAAATAAAATAAAAATGATAACTGTTGATTTTTCTTTGGAACGAGGAAACCCCTTGCGATATTTTGTGGTGTATTACAATTGTTTAAACCATCTTTTTCTCATTGAGCTCCAGATATGCCGTTGATGCACACCCCTTTTCATATTACTTTTAATAAATACCTATTATATGTAAGTATTGTGGGTTAACATTTTTCATTTATTGTTTAGTGTGTTGTAACTAGAAATAGTGTCTAACTTGAAAAGTATTATGTTTATTTATCTTTAACTCTATTATGTTATATTTCTGTAGTTTTAATGAGTAAAGTAACCTAATTTCATGGTTTCAAAATATTTACTTTTGTGTAATGTTTAATGTAATAAAAAAATAAAATGTCCCGTCAAAAGTATCAGTTAGTATAATTGTAGAATGTTTTACTTAGATAAACTTGACCGAAAAAAAAAACCTTAAAAGCACGGGTCAAAGTTTTTAATTAATATTTATAAGTGTAGGTCTTCCTGTAGTTTATTGAATACTTAATATTATACTTATGCTAGGTCACAATATAAACATTAATGAATCTATAGCAAAGTATGAATGAATAAACTGTTTAATGGTTCACTAAACTAATTATTAAAATATTAATCCAATGGTTCATTAATTTAAGAGTCCATTAAAAATGGTAAAGTAAACAAACTGCTTGGTTTTTTAATTTATTTGATAGTTAATTGGTTCTCAATATTACCCATCTGAGTCTATCTTTGGTTTAGTAAGATTAATTCTGCAACTGAAGGAACGCCATTATAATTTTCTATAAATTTGTAAATTCAAAGATTAATGTATTTTCGTGATGATAATTATCAAACATACAAATTATTTCTTTAGTTATTATTTTTTTCTGTGATTATAAGTTTTATATGTCTACCTGTATTATATTTTTTCTTTAATAATATTTGTTTAATATTGTACCAATTTTCCCATGTTTTTTCCAATTTTTCCCATTTATTGGGAAAATCGAAAAATTAATTTACTTAAAAATTACTCCCTAAAGTATCTTCCCAGTCAGATTTCCGTTCAAAAAAAGTGTTAACATTTTAAATCGGAACGAAATTGCTGGTAGAAAAGTTGTACACATAAAAAAGGCCATATGTTTTTACTAATACATACATTTTGTACATTTTTCGTGTTTCCGACATTTTATCCCAGTTTTCTAGATATTATGAAAACTGCTTGAAAAATCAAAAAAAGACTTCTCTAAAATACCACAGAAATACAATTTCCTTTCAGAAAATAACCTACACTTGATACGTCGGAGTAAGGTTTCTGATGGAATCGAGAGGCATTTTGCGATTAAAATAGTCCAAGTGAGCTATGGCTGGGCTCTACTTCTCTAGGTACACCCAAAATGTATTCGTTGTTTTCCTTGTGTAAAAGGGGGGGGAGGAAATGCAAACAATTTTGTTTAAACCGCGGATTTGAACTCGAGACCACTAGGATGATAAGAAGTAGTTATTTAACATAACATATAATATCAGAACTTTAAAAAGCTATAATCTCGAAACTTAGTCAATAAGTTAAATTCTGACTTCATCGGCAATATACTAATTTTCGAACAAAAAATTAGATTTGTTCCATGTAATTTTTACTTAAACGATTTTCGTCAAAATTTAATATTAAAATTCCTTTATAAAAAAAATACTCCATTAAACTCAAATTTATTTTTTCGACCACAAATTTAGACTCAATAAATCTCCTGTTAAATTTTCAGAAATCTCTGTTAAGTGTAAAAATTTTACCTCAGAATACCTATCTATTAAAAATTACATTTAAAACAAGCAAAATTAAAATGTCTAAAAATGGCTTAAATAATTTGAAAATTTTACTATGTAACTAAATTACAACAAATAACAAAATTGAAAAATAATAAAGTTATTTTTGTACATTTCCCGTTTTTCTTAAGTTTTATCCTGGTTTTTCTCAGATATTATGAAAACCATCTGGAAAATCAAAAAATGACCTTCCTAAAGTACCTTCTGGACATTTTCTTTCTGAAATGGTACCGCGCATATATATCTGAGCAAGATTTATGGTCAAATTTACACAGGATAAAAAAAAAACATCTTAATATAATCATATAGATTCTTCGCATTACTCAGAATCTAAAATGACTTCAGCATTTAATGAAGCATGTTGATGTTTAGCTAAAATTATGTTATCCTTAATCAAAAGATCAAGCAAAATGGAAGAGGAATGGATTAAATAATAAAAGACACTAAACACTCTATGTTTGAAGTTGAGGCGAATTGTTTTATATTAAACTCAAGAAACAGTTTCTTTAAAAACACAAAATGTATAACAACTATTTTGGACTGAAACTATATAAAACATACAAATTACAAAAATCATTAATTGATATTTAATTATTTATTTATTCTTACCTACTTGTATATTTATACCTATGTTTATAGTTTTATTGAAATTATTAGTTTGTATCAATAAACAGTTTGCCTGCCATAAGAAAAAAAAAACAACCACTATATTTTTAATTGAACCGTTTTTATGAAAACAAAATGTTTTAATAAAATCATGATAAGCCATTAAATTGATTAAATACATTTAATAAACAGTTTGTGTTACCCAGAATTATATTAATACTCTATCGTCCATAAATATTATAAATGGAGGTTATACTAATATAAAATAATAATTTTCATTTTAAAATGTGATGTAAATACGCACTTCTCGTAAGGTAATACTCGTTTACAACAGTAGTTTATTTTTTTATTGAGTGACGATTTAAAAATACAATTCAATTGATCTAATATTAATTTTGAATGGAAACAGAGATAGTCATTATGAGTATTTGTATTTTTTTTTTAAAGGAAATATACTTATTAAATGTGGTTTATAATGTAAAGTGAAAATTCAAATAGGTAATTTTTATTTTAAGTTTTTTTTTTTTTTTTTAGAATATGTCATTGTGAAGGTGATATTGATTCACCCTTAATAGCACCATGTTATTGCAATGGCTCATTAAGATTTGTTCATCAAATGTGTTTGCAACAGTGGATTAAATCATCAAATATTCGATGCTGTGAATTATGTAAATTTCAGTTCATTATGCAAACAAAAATTAAGCCTTTCAATGAAGTAAATTTATATTATTAAACTATTTATTTACCTAAGTATTGAGTAGGTTTAATATCTAATTATGATCATACATTTACAGTGGGAGCATTTAGAATTGACTTGTATGGAACGTAAAAAATTGGTGTGCGCAATGATTTTTCATATAATAGCCATTAGTTGTGTTTGTTGGTCTCTGTTTGTGCTCTTGGATCGCACAATAGATGAAGTTCGAAAAGGTCTTTTAGAATGGCCATTTTGGACCAAACTCATCGTTGTTAGTATTGGTTTTACTGGTGGGGTTGTTTTCATGTACATCCAATGTAAATCATATTTTATGCTTTGCCAAAGATGGAAAGCATATAACAGGTATTTTAATTTAATGATTAAAAACAAAACAAAAATTTAATAAAATGTAATTATAAATTAATTTTATTTCAGAGTAATATATGTACAAAACGCTCCTGAAAAACCAAGTAAAAATCAAAATGTGCTCATTGATGTTGCCGAGAGTACTTCAGTTGAAAATAATGAAGTAACTACTGCAATTGTACCTTATAAACCACCTATTGAAAATGATGAAACTAGCATCGATCTCAAAGGTGTACGTAATGTTCATATATTTTTCAACAATGAAGACAATCCAATTCGATTTCAAGAGAAAGAGAATTGTGAACCAGAAGATGTTGAAAAGTCAATTTCTAATGACACCGGAACATCGTGGCACATACAGATTGGTAAAACTCAAGGAGAAAATACTGAAGGTGAATGTAGCCAAGCAGCTGTTTGTCAAAACAATCAGTTAGACCCATCTTTTCTAAAATTGCAAATTAAAACTGCAGAAATTGTAATCAAATTTGCACAGAATGAGTCTGTACCTAACGAAAATGAATTAGATAACAAAAATGTAAACATTCAAATTGAAGAATCTAAATCTAAAAATGATACTCCTGATAATGCAAATCCTGTCCAAATAAGACTAGATTTTGGAAGAGATAAGAACTACGAAGACGTGGAAGAAGGATATGGGTCTCCTTCTCAATCACCATTATTGCCATCAAGACGACTCGCTAACTATAGAGATGATAAATAATAACTTAAAAAACTTTATATAAGCTAATCTGTGATTTAACAGAAAATAAAACATTGTTAAAATTTATTTTCTTCCCATTTAGTGTATTTTTTTATTATTATAATTTTTTTTTTTTTGAACATTGACAAAATATATATTATCTTCTTTTTATAAAAAAAATATTCAGTAGTGTTAAAATTTGTATGAATTATTTTTATTTAGATGCTCAATATTTAATAAGTATGATTATTTTATAAATATATATATACACATTTTTTTTTTTGCATTATTGTTATTAGATACTTTTTAATGGCGATGACGATAATGATTATAATAATGTAAATTTTGACCCGGCAAAGACTGAGTTATACAAATGTGATGTTGATAAATATGAAAATACTTTTTTATGCATTTCATTTTTTAATTCACCTATGTATATTATAAATGTTAATATATAAAAGGGTGTAATTATTATTACCTAATGGTATTAAACATCGAAATGTAATGTCTTTCGAATAATTTAATTTCTTGTAATATTATTTTATTTATGTTTATAATTATTATTTTATTATTATATAATAATAATTCATGACTTATTAAAAAAAAAAAATGTGAAAACACATGACAAAATATATAATATATATACATAGATTTTTTTACAAATTTACATGTCGGATATTTCTGTACCTTATTTATAACATGATTTCCCCAATTATTTTTGGCTAATGTAATGATAGAAGCTATTATAATAAATAATCAAGTTAGACAAATTATAAAGTGAAAAATATGATATGGGTCGGGCAAAGACAAACTTGTGCTCATTAGGAAATCTATCTATGATTGACAACTATATATTTTGCCTTGTGTTAATACAATTTTATATACAATTATTATTATGGCTTATTTTAGAAATACAAAATACATAGAAAAAGGGTAAATATATTTTTACTAGTTACAATTATTGTTCTACATTATAACTTATTGTTTTTGATAAGCATTAACATATATTTTATTTGAACATGAAAATATGTTTGTGAATTTTTATTTCTTGATAAATACATCAATAAATGATCTTGCTCCTTAAATTCATTTTATGTTAGTTAATAATATTTTGAGAACTACTCTGTATATATCTAAAACTGATTTTTACTAATAATTTAGTTAAGATAATTATTTTATGTTTTTTCATGGTTTCAAAGTTAAGAAGAAATTACATTTCTCTAACTAGATGACAACAAACAAATATACACAAGTAATATATAAGTTAATGCGGCCGATCAAATTACTTTACACAATTGTTATTTTGTACTTTAAACTGTCATATTTACACTAATAAATGTACATAATAGAAACAACACCATTATTTTAAATAAGCATAGATTTTTTTCACAATTATAAATGCATTCAATTTCGCAAATTTGATTGAAGCTGATTACGACCCTGTAGACCAGGTTGCTGTTGCCCTTGCATTTGTTGAAGATACATTGAAGGAGCAATAGCTTCACTTTATTGCTGTTATTGGAACATTTGACTTTGTCGTTGGTTCCTGATGAATTTGGCTAACAGCTATGGCTTACTCCTCAGTATTTGTCTGAGATGTTGTTCGGGTTGACTATTTAATTGACTATATAATCAATTTGTATAATTGTCTTATTTTAAGGTTTTAATGTATATTTACAAAGTCAATATAATAATATGTATATGTTTTTTTTCTTTTCAATTTTATGCAACTATTTATAACATATTTATATCAATTTCTTACAATTATTTATTACAGTGGCCTCTCTAAATATTAATTAACATTTTATTTAGTCTGACTAAGTAGAATGGTTCCATACATAAATATATATCTACATATATTTTTAATCTTATTAGAAACAAATGTCTCTCAATGTCTTTAAATGTATAACTTAAATTATATAATAATATTAAAAAAAAACCTTAAGTTACGTTATTTAAAGACTAAGATAAACAAGAAGCCTTACACGGCTATCTTAAAAAGCTGTTAAAAGATTATAATATATATTGTGTATCCAAAAAAAATAAAAATAAAACATTGAATAAATAAATTGGATAAAACCATCTAGTTGGCAATTCCCCATTTTAAAAATTATATATCCCTTAAAAAATAATATTTCTATACATAATAATAATAATTATAATAATATAATAATAAATATATGTAATAACAAAATGTCTAAGAGTACACAATTTTAAATAAAATATTACACATTAATAATATTTAAAAAAATCAACAAATATTATTTTACTAAAGTAGGAAATTAAAATTGTTTTCATGGTTTCAATGTTAATGAGAACGTCCTTAACTACATTTCTCTAACTAGATAACAACAATAGCAAAACAAATATATACAAGTCATACATAAGTCAACACTGCCAATCAAATTACTTTACTAAATTGTTATTTTGTAATTTAAGCTGCCATATTTACATTAATAAATGTACATAATAGAAACAAGGCCATTATTTTAAATAAGCTCAAATTTGTTTCATAATTATAAATGAATTCAATTTTGCATATTTGATTGAGGCTGATTAGGACCCTGGGGACCAGGTTGCTGTTGCCCTTGCATTTGTTGAGGATACATAGGAGGAGTGATAGCTCCACCTAGTTGTTATTGTTGTTGTTAGAACATTTGTTATTGTCGTTGGTTCCTGATGAATTGGGCTAACAACTGTGGGTTACTCCTCAGTATTTCTCTGAGACGTTGTTGTTGTTCAGGTTGACTATGGCCAGTGGTGCGTAATGCATTAATCAACTGTTCCAACGATTAATTGGGCATAGGATTAGGATTTTATTACTTACCCTGAGGTCTGCTTCCCATGACTTGTTGTCGTTGAAGCATTGTATTTTGTTGATTATTGATTATCATTTGTTGTTGAGGTAGGTTCATATACCTTTGCTGTTAAACTTGTTATTGTTTCTGCTGCTGTTATTGTTGCTGCATCATTACTTGATTGTAATTGGGTATTTGGAACCATTACTGGAGCTTTGTGAGGTATCATTTTTGATTGAATTGGCATATTATGTTGTGGTGCAGCTCCGACAAATGCTGTGTTTTCTGTCACCAGAGTACCTGTATTAATAAAAGCCGTCTGTCTCCTCAATAATTGTACTTCTTGCTGTTGTTGTTGTTTGATCTTGTCTTTTATTTCTGAACAGAACAATATCGGACACTTGAATTGAGTACAATACTTTGAATGGTGGAAGCAAAGAACAACATATCGTTTACATAATGGACAGGTACCATAACATTTAATTTTACACAATTTAACGTGCTGTATGATTCTTTTCACACGTTGACAAGTTGATGAACGACAATTTGGATCTTTACATTGGCAATGGTGTACAAATGGTAATATGCACTGACGGATGGATAGTTTTCTAGTATCTTGAGGGCCTACTTGTTTTTGATCCTCATTTAACGTGATATACGGATATTCTTCTTTCTCATACAAATTATTAGACGAAACATCACAAACAGTGCAGTTTTCCCTCACTTGAGGTATCCCTGAAATAAATAAAACTGATGAATAGACATTTGCTGTTATTCAAATTAATTACTACTGGTCATAAAATCCGCTTCTATTAAAATACAATGCAAATAATTTAGAGTTCTCTTACTGACTAAAATAGTATTGTACAAGAAAAATAATCAAAGAGGTGAGTTGTTGAAAATTTCAATAAATGTATCAAAAAAATACTATCAGGACTTTTACTAACTTAGTGTTTTTTGAAAGAAAAAAAACATGTAACCATAACCTAAGATAAAAGTTTAAAAATGTAAAATGTAAAATATTAGAATATAGAATGTTTATAATATCTATACATTATCTTAAAAAATATTTTGAACATATTATTTATAGTATTTTCCAGTACTATAATCCTTGGAACACATCTAATATTTGATAACCATTTGTATAATGGTATACACAATTAATACATTTATTTTGAGAAAATAAAGACCAAAATTATTTTTAAAAAAAAGCTAATTGTCATGTGTTTAAATTTAGTTTTGCCAAAATGATATGCTTCAAAAAATTTCACATGCGTTTAATAGTCTTGCATTAAAATGTCTGTCTATTTTATGCATGTTTATAAAGGAATAAGTATTAACGATTTAAAAAAAAAATACATTTCGTTAATTTTCCAGTACTACACCAGTCAGATTTCCTTATAGAAAAATTAATACTGTTGAAAATCTGAGTAAAAATCTAGTAAAAAAAAGTTGTTCACAGATATATAAAATAAATAAATAAACATCATTATAAAACCAAAAACATTCCTCACTCCGCTCAGAATCTAAAATGTATTACAATAATATTATTGAAGATGTGTTAATATTACATTTATTTGTGTGATAATTATTTGATTTAAATACCTATGCATAGATTAATAATACTTATTTTTAATTCAATTTGACAAAATTCTATTAATGACTAAGCATAAAATTTAATCCTAAACTCTTAATTAATTATGCATCATTACAAATCAAACACTACTAAAAAATTAAAACATTTTATTACTTCTAACTCAAAAACTGGAAATCAGCTACTAAAAAATAGTAAAAGTAAAGCTAAACAAAATATAAAATGTATTTACTATGTTTAAAAAAGCGTTTTTTGTTTTTTTTTGTATATTAATAACATTTTTATCAAATATATTGCTTCGATTTCCTAGTCTAGCATATTATTTTCTGAAAGCAAAATATGCCTAATTAATTTGCAAGTTACTTTTTGATTTTAAAAAAAAAACAGGAAAAAAAGAAAACACTAGAAAGTTTATAAAAATTAAGCTTACATTTTTATACTGCATACATTTTGATTTTTTATTTTAATTCTGATAAAAATAATTGTAGAGCTCTGGAATTGTCTAGACATGATGGCATTTTCAAAAAAGGTGGTGATTTTTAAGATAATTTCGAGTTTATATTAGTTTTAATTTAGTTTGATGTCAATAAAATTGTTCTAACCAATCAGAAATGCTTCAAATTTTTACATGAGGTTAACCATAAGTTTTATTCTGTGGTAAAAACAAAATAATTAGTTTGTTCTGTGAACAATATTTAAATTTAATCAATTAAATAATAACTTTTACTTTATTCATTGTTAATCCATGTTTAACAAGACATACAATTAATAATAATTTTAATAAAAAGACAATAACACTAACACAGCATAAATTATACACTATGGTACATTATTACTAAAATTTAGAGTTTAACATAACGATAAATATGCCTTTTATTTAACGGATGATAAATTAGAATATAAATTATATTTGACCAGAGTAAAATTATAAAAATTAATAAAATATAACAGTTGTTATATCCTACACATTTGTAATTAGTAATTTGATCAAAATTCAGTTGGCAAAAATGAAAAGATAAACCTATTAAGTAGCACTCAACGTTATATTTACCACTAAATCTAACATGAAATTAACTTTGTGTTCAAGTGTACAAATTATTGGTTTTAGCAAAGTAAATTTCTATATCTTTAACATTATAGTATATATTTTTTATTTTGTTAATTAATGTTAAAATATTAGTATACTAATTTTTTGATTAAATATATTCATAAATTCATTGTAGAACTTTAATTAAAATTATTTTGTTCCAAAGAAACCAAAAGAAAGAAAAACTTGAAATATTTTTCTTTTCAAATGAAAATTGCATAATAATATATATTTTTATAGAACATACTGGAAACTTACAATAATAATAATTATAGTTTGAATAAATGATTTATAAGGGTAAAATTAAATTATAAACAAAAATAAATTTCCATAAAACACCTTTTAAAGTTTTTATACACCTATATGTACATATGAAATGTACACAGGGATCATAAATAGATTTGCATTGTTATTTTAAACAAGTGTGCATATTTCATTAATCAACACTCACATATGATTTCTCAATAATGTTAGGCAATTAACATAAAGCCGAAGTTAATAAATATTATGTTGCCATTAGCAATCGATATTATATACAAATAATATTAATAAATTGGTGTTATATTTGTTTTAAGATTGTTAATATTAAGGAATTTATACATATTTGAAATGTTTTAGTGTTCGAGACTTCCCCCATCAAAACCAATACACCATGCTCCGACCGACCGACAACCATATTTGTCCACTTACATCAAATATAATTTAATTGGACATTAACCACAATCTGACACTGTTTTCTTGTCGCATGTGCGTTTTATACGCCTCGTGATACACTATATCAAAATGAACAGGGACAAAGGTAACAACACAGCCGGCGCATCAAATCCGAATGCATTTAACGCACATGATACTTCAGCGATGATTGGTTATTGTACATCTGTCTGCAGTGGGGGCAGTCCCCACTCTGGGCAAGGTGGGATCCTGCAAAAACATGTACGTTGCCTGCACGGTCCATAATCCGTGAAATATATATTTATTTTCAATATAGAAGAGCATTATAGTTTTTTCTCATAAAATCAATTATACGCTCTTGCATTTTAGTATATATATTTAAGTATAAAAAGGTTACATTACCTGCAGTCGCTAATGACTGGTCAGAAGTACACTGACTTTTTGATGTTGAAGCTATACCAAAATTAATACAACTGGATGTACTCGTGTGAATATCTGGAAAACATTTCTTTCGTTTTGCAGAATTACTACCAATGGGGAAATCAGGTAAATTATTAGGTTTCACTGTAGAAGTGGATGTATCTTGTTTTTCAACTTTATTGTTATTAGTAGACAACTGTTGTAATGCAGACAAAGAATTTTTTTCTAAACTAGTTTGAGTTGATTCCTTAAAAATTAAATATTAAAAATCAACCATATAATTATATTGATGAATGTGGTATTAGGTAATTAAGTACTTTTCTGTTATCTAATATGAACAACTTTTCAAACAGTTTCACAATCTGATTGTATCTGATTTACTGATTTAATTGTACCAATTTATTATGATCAAACTAACTTAGCATTCATTTTAAAAGAATTAGATAATAAATAAAGTAAACATAAAGTAGGCATCTACAAAAGATACATAGTTAGATAGATAAAAGTATTTTGTACAATTATGTGTGTCACAATAATGGAGATAGTCTTGGGAATAATTATATTCTCGTAAAACAGAGAAATACCAATTACTATCAATAAGTGAAAAAAATATCAATTTCAAATTAATAGTGTACTTACTAAATCAGGATTAATGTTTGATTCTGTACCAGCAAGACCTTTAATCTGAAGTAGCTCAGCAGTACGTAAAAATGATGATAATTTTTTCTCTGATACGTATACAGTGCCTTGATATACAAATTTGAGCAGTGCTTTAATATCATCTTGGTTTACATCTTTCAAAATCACAACTGGATGTTTACAAGGATTATTCTATAAAAACAATAAAAATAAAAACTGGAACAAGTTTACTTTACCGGACACCCTGTATTTTTCAATTTTTTTTTTGTATACATGAGTATGACGCTGATTTCGAAACTGATTGAAGTCACGGAAATCATTATTAAAGAAGTTATGGAAGTTTGAAGTTCATCGTTACTACGGTTTTGGCCTAAATACCTATTTATTTTATATTCATTTACTTAAAATTGACTGTGGCACATTGGACGATACGTTAGCCATAGGAACTGCATAGATTTCGATTCCAATGAGTAGTTTAATTTTTAAATTTTTTTTTGTTTTTTTGCACACGTCGGGTAAGTACAGGGTAAACAAAATTTTTTTTAGAAAAAAATAGGCTGTTTCCCACGGAGCGTGGCTTGGCGAGCTTCGCGCAAAATATGCAGGCTCGGTACACTACACGCGCCATGAAAATGGCTCTTGCTCGTCTAGAAATCGGTGGTTTAATAATCAGTGAGTTAACTTCGGTTTAAACCACGGATGGTCAATTGTAATAGGGTATTTTCCATTTTATCTAGGTTTAAACTCCTGATCAAGCTTAAACCACTATTGTAATAAGGACCCTAAGCGCGGTATATCTCGGCCACGAAACCATCCTTTTCGACGCCAGACTTGACCACTTAGTACAACTAAAGAAAATAAGTCCGTCGGCGAAAAGGCTAACGGCGAATTGTTTGTGACGAATCGGCCCATTGGCGATATTGTTTCGGCAAAAATTTCGTGGCGAAATGGTTTCGGCGAAGTGTCCTAGACTCGCACGGCCATGTTCGTGGCTATCCGAAAATTGTCGGTAAGTTGTGTTCGCTCCAAAGAAAACGAGCCGAGCATTTGAACAGCGTTCTAACTGGCGTGCGATTCGCCGAACTTGCTCATAAGTAATTTTTATTTTAATGCATTTTGGGGGGAGCTCGGATCAGCTTGGATGAGCTCGTGGCTTGTCAAGTCACACACCACGCAAATAATGTATCTAGACATTTTAGACTCGTGTTATTCCGAGCATAGTGTGTAAGCTCGGTACAATAAACGCACTGCGCTAAGCTCGCTGAACAACGCGCTGTGGGAACCCGCCTTAGCGCGTTGCCCAATGCGCCACGGTCAATTCTAAATAAAATGTTATAAAATAAACAGGTATAAAAACTAAAACCGTATTAACGACGAACTTCAAACTTCCGTAACTTCTTTAATGATGATTTCCTCAAACAAATTCAAACAGTTCCGAAATCAGCGTTAAAAAAATTAAAAAAAATTGAAAAACAAAGGCTGTTTGGTAAAGTACTGATAGCTAAAAACTATATGTTTACAAACATCCAATAGGTAAGTATTACATAAAAAAAAAAATGTATGTTAATACAAAAATAAACATTGAATGTCTTACTTTAAACACATTGCGAAAATAAGAACTGCACATGGATAACACTACTTTATGGGCTTTGAATAATTGTCCACCACACGACAGAGTGACATCTACCAAGTCTTCACTGGTACGGAGGCTGTCCAATTCGGATAACATGTTTAATAAATAGTTGTCCCATTTTATGTAAAATTTATCGGTAGACATGGTGAACCTTGCTCGAACCCTTACGATAGTAAATCACCAACCTCTAATACAAAACAAAATTATGTTGTCATGAAACACCACAGATTAATTTTGTATCCAAGCACAGTTGAGTACAATTAAATTTAATTCTAAGCACATTTACAAACATACAAACAATTTACATGAAGTATAATATATTATTCGCGTGTGTATGTAAATTATGGAAAAATAATATAGGACTTACCGTATTTGTAAACTATTCCGACATTCGTCGGTTTTGAAAGCGAGAACGTTATTGCAAGTAAAGGACGACGCCAAACAATTTCTTTGTATTATGATTATTATTGTTATTATTATAAATATTAACAAATAATTAAAATGTTTCTTATCTGAAGTGACTAAATCAACACAGGTTCATTATGGATTGATAATGATAAAACTATAGGATAATCATAGATAATATAAGAATGGATAGGCCACTTCTATACTAATATCATGATTTAAGATAGACTGTCTATCTTAAATCGCGATTAATATAATAAGGGGTTGCGTTCTGAAATGCGAATGAGACAAACTAGGTTATCCTGCTCTCACTCACACAGCAAGGGGTATGTCTATACCATAGACATAATAGAATTCAATTATAATATATGGATCGCTTATTTGTGAAATATGTTGAAGCCAACATATATGCGAGGGACACTGATGTTACTTTTCCAAGGATATTATAAGCATTTTATAATACTCCCTGGTAATATTTAATTGATTACTGATAACGTTATCATCAAGAGTCGGAGTAATATATGTGCAAAACGCTCCTGAAAAACTACGTAAAAATCAAAATTTGCTCATTGATGTTGCCGAGAGTACTTCAGTTGAAAATAATGCAGTAACTACTGCAATTGTACCTTATAAACCACCTATTGAAAATGATGAAACTAGCGTTTAACAGTTACTAACAAAAACGCAGTATGATTCTATTATCCTAGCTATAGTTATTAGTGAATAGTGTGTATTACGTCAGTATTAGTGTAATAGTGTATATACATTGTTAACAATATGAAAGTTTTACAGTTTCAAAAAGAATAAAATATTCGTACGCATAGACTGCGTAAAGATGTATGTCATAACCGTAACCCAAATTTATGTTCAAAAATAAAAATTAAGGATATGACGGCGCTGCAGCAATGAATGGGCATTTAAATGGTGTTCAGGCAATAATAAGACGCACATATCCCAGAGCTTTGAGATGTGCATTGAGTACATTCATTAAACTTGGCCATCAGCGACGCGTGTAAAATTACCGTCATAAGAAATTGTGTTGGAAATGTTTTAAAGTTATGCACTTTTTTTCCGGAGCTCAGCTCAGCGAACTGAAATTTTAAAAATATCCATACATACACAAACTACTCTTTCGTCCAATATTAAATAGACACTTGTTGCTATGTGTGAAACTAGATGGGTCTTAAGACATGACTCTATTAAACGGTTTAAAGAAATGTTTGTTCCAATTTTTAAGTTTTCTAACTTAGAAAATTCGATGAATAAAGAAACATCAACTACAGCTCATCAGCTATTATGAGTTATATTAAATGGACAATTTTTCATTTCTTTAACCGTATTAGAAAAAATATTTTCATTCACGTTTCCTCTATGTAAGCAATTGCAACAAATAAATTCTGACTTAGCAGCAATTAATTATATTGAAAACGTTATTCATGTTTTAAATGAAATGAGCACAAATTCAAATGATGAATTTAAAATAATATTTGAGGAGAGTCGTACAATACGTGACGAAATAGAATATTAATAAACCACGCAACATTAAAAAACAAAATAATCGGAGTAACGTATCATCAACTTCCCATTAGAATATTACAAAAGATCTATATTCATACCACTTTTAGATCATATAATCATCCGATTAAACGTTTTGCAAATCATAAAGAAATTTTATCTTTTTTAGAAACTTTAGTACCAAATCGCATTTCAACTTCTACTTCATTAGTTAATTAAGGTTTATCTACAAACAGGATGGATTTCATTTCATAATTTTTATGACTCTGATTAAGTTATTATTATTATATTTTTTATATATAATACATAGTATGTATAATGTATGAAAATTATTTTGTAAAAAATATTGATTTCTAAAAATGTTTTATTTATATTATTATTAATCGACATCAATAGAATATATTTATATATTTTTTTCACTACAAGTTAATAAAAATGGTCATTACATAGTGTAATAACACTAGCATTACATTGTACTTTATACATGCTAATTTTATTATTTACATTTTACAGTTTGAAGTCCAATCTGGATTAAAGCAGGGTGATGCAATGTCTCCTTTACTATTTAATTTAGCACTTGAAAAAAATAATAGAGATATATCAGTAAACCATGAAATGGAGCTGAACGGCAAAAATGTAATGCTAGCGTACGCTGACGACATTGTTATTATAGGTGATACAGAAAACGATGTAGTTGAGGCTACACGGAAATTAATAGAGTCCAGTCACAGAATGAACCTAACTATCAATGAGGAAAAACCAAATACCTGATAATGACTAGACGTTCAGTAAATAAAACAGCACTAAAAGTGGGCCCTTACTCCTTTGAACAAGTGGATGAGTTTAAATACCTTGGAGTAAACTTAAACTCAAAAAATAATGTGCATAGTGAGATCCAATTGAGAATAAATAGTGCGAATAAAGCGTATTTTGCCATGAATAAGATGCTAAGCTCTAAAATTTTGTCCAAAGAAACGAAAGAGAAACTGTATACTTCTTTTCTACGTCCCATAGTAATGTATGAATGTGAGACATGGTCTATGACACAGGGAGACGAAGAAAAATTACTTACCTTCGAAAGGAAAGTCCTAAGGAAAATTCACGGACCTGTTCGACTTCAAAATGGTGAATATGAGAGAAGGAAAAATAAAGATCTGGAAATGTTATTTAACAAGCCAAATATAAGATTATTGTTGAAGGCAAAGCGCTTGGAATGGGCTGGCCACNTCTGGCGAGCTGACGAAAATATTATAAAAAATGTCTTAATCAGAAATGTAACAAAAACGCGGCCAAGAGGAAGACCTCGCCAGGGATGGTTAGACAGGGTAAAGAAGGATATTTTAAATACTGACAACTCAAAACGATTAGATGACGCAATGGACCGGAATGGATGGAGAAACTTGGTGGAAGCATGCAAAAGGCCTTAAAGGCCTGTATAGCATAAATAAAAAAAAAAAAAAATTGAATATCGTAACTAAATAATCACCGTAGATAAAAGTGAAGGCATGGCCTTTAGAAAGAATAAATATGATATCAATGCCTATTTAAATAGGTACCTATGTAATGTACACATATCAAAAGTTATTAAAAACAATAATAGTGATATGATATTAATGTTAACTGCGATGATCATTACGTAAACATTTCAATTCGAATGACCTTTATGGGTTTACAAGTATTTAAATATTCAATATATTCAAATCTGCAGCTCCTGCTAATTATAAAATTAATGACCAATATTTTATCCATGAGACAGTCTATTTGTATTTGTCTTCTCCAAAATCTCTCCTTAATTGTCATGCTGGAAGCATATAATATATTTTATATATTTTGGATGTCATAAATTTTCTTAAGTTTTATTCTTCAGAATTACTTACCTATAAAGTAGGGTACGAGCTACTTATTGTAAACTGAAATTTCGAATTTTATTATTTATATATAATGGTTTATTATTTCGTTTAATCAACTGTAGGTAAAATCACTAAGCCTTTGAGACGCGTACCATTTGAGTTTTCATATTATCCATGAATAACTGTGCACCCGTGCATTCGATAATAATTCAAACAATTAATTATCATTTATATGACTTAAGATCACAGAAATTAATTTGTATGAACAATTATATAGATTATATTTATGTCTATAATTATATAATCTATATTCTATAATTGTTTTATTCTATAAATCATTACCTATTTCTTATATCAAGGCTCATGGCATTTTTTGTTTTAGTTGATAACAAATCAGATTACCAAAACATTTGATAAATATAGTAGGTATTCGATTGCATATTGCTTAAGCGTTTTCGGTTCTCCTTTAAAATGTCTAATTATTGAGTGTCTATTTTTCACGTGAATTTGTTATTAATTCTGAACTATAAACATCAAAGACATGGCAATTATCTGTCAGTCAACACTACTGTGCAGTCGTAATTTCGCCGTCTATTTGCTGAGAAATCATTACAAGGTGAGTCTCGAGTAAAGTCTACAGATTCTTTATAAACATACCAACCGATGGGTCGTACAGCTCGTCATCGATCTAAATCCACTTCGTCCGACCTACGTCCTTCCACTGGTTACCAGTTGGAAATCGTCTCTTTGACATCGTGGATGAAAGCTCATGGATGGAAGCCAACGTGTCGTTTGGCACCGGCTTGTTTTGCAAACACTGGCCGTGGATTGATGGCAGCTAAAAACATAAGCGTAGGACAACCACTTGCCATTGTTCCTGGTTGTCTGGTCATAACGGTTGACAAAGTGTCATTGTCTTCATTCGGCAAACATTTCACTTCTGTGTACAAAACACAACAGGTATTAGCTACATACCTTATGTTCGAACGACATAGAGGAATCGAATCGTTTTGGTATAATTATATTCTCTCATTGCCCACGGTTATCTCCAACGCAGCATATTGTACTGCTGAAAATTTGCCATGCGATTTATCAGAGAAAGTTTTAGACCACCAAAATACAATACTGACTACATTCAATCAAATCATGTCTGAAATGTCTTCTATCATTTGTTTACACTGTTCTGACACTTTTGGTAATATTTTTACATTTAAAGCATATACATGGGCATGGTCAATCGTAAACACTAGAGCAGTTTATATAAGTCCAGACTGTAGTTTAAAAAACAAAATAAAATTGTCAGACGTCAACAATCTAGCGCTCGCCCCATATATTGATATGTTCAATCATTCTCCTCTAGCTTGTGTTCGAGCAACAGTCAATCGTGTTAATGGTGCATACACTATTGTTACTGAAAAGTTATTTAAAAAACATTCTGAAGTGTTCATTAACTATGGACCACACTCCAACACTAAATTATTTCTAGAATATGGATTCATTGTACCGTCCAATCCACAGGATTTTGTTAATTTATTAGCCAATGAAATAATTTCCAAAACAGGCAAAAATCCGAATAAAAAACAAATGGAAAAACTTAAAACTCATAATTTATTGGATGATCATTATTGTACATCTGAGGGCTTAGCGTGGTCATCAAGAATTTTAATATACTTGTTAATTTATTCAGATAGACTAAATGATGAAGAATTAAAAAATCGGGTGTTTTCAAACTTGTTTGATCAAAGTGAAATTGAAGCTATTTCTAAAATTGGAACTATTGTTGTAGAGACAAAGCTAGAAGAGACAAAACACTGGGAATCAAATATGTTGAATATATTAGAAAGTAATCAGGAAGAAAAAGCAACTGGTTTTGGGGTCGCTACAGAACTTGTAAAGGAAAATCGAAAATTACTTGAAAACTGTTTACAATCATTAAATGTTTAGTAATAATCTATTTAGTAAAAATTTTCTTTTGGAAATAAAATATAAATATACCCATTTTGAGGTAAATTTGTTGATTTTTTTACATCTGGTTTTTAATTAAACAATAAGTATAGTCATTTAGTATTTTTAGGTACTTGGTTTAATTGTTTATTAAATATAATACTTAATATTAATTAATTTACTTTATAAAATAAACGTAATGACTCAAACAGAGTCTGATAATTCATTATCAATATAATATATTTATCTAAAGGCAACCACGTCTTTATTTATGTCAGATAAATTATTATTGCCTAAAACTAAATTTAAAAAAAAGTGGTGGATTGTTATTCTGGCCTCATAAATATATTTTTATACTCCGAGGAGTGAGAATAATTTCTGCTATTTAAAGTAAGGTAGGTAAATTAATAAATACTAAAAAGAATACAACATTTTCTAATTATAAGAAATAGATGTTACAATTCATTGTTTTAAATTGATTCATACATAAATCGCACTTGCCCATTATTAAATAAAATCCCTATTGACTGTACACAAAATAAATTTTGTTTTACAGACATTATTTTACATTAAAAATATTAAACCCAATTTATCGTATTCATTATGTTTAAAAAAAGAAAAAATACACTCACACACTTATATTCCATGTAAATATTTGAAAACTATTAGTATTAATGAGGTATTCATACAGAAATATATGTTATTCTATATTAGATGTTCAGATATCTTGTACAACTACAAATTATTCAATCAATGTAAATTTTATTGTTTTTCAAAAACTTGTATTTTGCTTTGAAATACTAGTAGAAATTAAAGTTTTCATACATTTTCACTTGACACTTTATAAAAAGTTTCTGTTCTTTTACAAATTAATTTAATATTGATTTTTATTAACCCTCAAAAATAGAGTTGCTATTTAGCTATACACTGATTCATATTTTCTGGTCAGAAATATTTACTATATATTTTAATTATTTATATCTATATTATTACAAATTGAGTACTCAATTTGTGTTAGTTTTAATATAAAAAATTAAACATTATGGTATTCAAAAGTATAAGTTTTATTTTTGCAGGCTACATCTGTTGGTTCTGGATATCATCAAAATGTGTTTTACAATCGACAAAAAAAATTACAATTTGCACAGAAATTGGAAACACGCTTATGTTATCACATTGGTGGTTCTCATGTTAAAGAAAATGTGCCCATAATAGAAGCTAAAGATATCACTGGCAAAGAAATGATCTTGGGTATGTTGCAGTATATTTGGCCAAAGGTTGGTTCTTATTTTATAAAATACTAATTCTTTAAAACGTCTAATTAAAATATAATGTACATACATTATATAGGATGATATGATGATTCGCAAACGAGTTACATTAGCTCTCGGCTTATTAGCTTCTGCTAAAATGATAAATGTAACCGTACCATTTCTTCTTAAGTATGCGATTGATGAACTCAATGTAAATCTAAGTCCTGGAGGAGATGCGTTGTTGACATTAGATTCAGCACCTGAAACCGTATTGACTGTTGCAACAATGCTGTTGATATCGTGTGAGTATTAGTAAGTTCTAAGTAGATAAATGGGTTGGGTAGGTTTCAATGGCCTGATCACTGAAGAAAGGGCTTAAGCAGGATTTTATTTATTGGTCCAACCTATCCAACCACTCTCATATTATTGATTTCATTATTCATATTTGTATTCAGTAGGTACATTAGGTCATATGATAAAGTTCTCTCAATTTTAAATTCTATATAATTCAGTTTGATTAACATTAAACTTTATTTAAGGATATAATACTAATTTTTCATTATATATTTCTATTTTTAAAGAGTTAATAAAAATTATATTTTATACAATTTAACCATATTATTAAATATTAAATTAAGTCTTGAAATTTCTTCAAAATACTTCACTATATTGTCTATGAATTCATCTTTATCTATTTTCAGTACCATGTCTTCTTCAATACCTAGGATAAGTGGCTTCCTTGAAGTTTAGCCCCACCAAGTTATCCGATCGACTTTAACCTTATACAAATATTTTTCAAATTGTGAAAGCTGAGTTACAATTTTAAATTCTCATGTTAAATATCCCCAATTTTACATTTATCTATGACTTCATATTTATTAATAAAATAATAAAGTAAAAATAAAATTATTAAAATGCTTAATATTTGTAAATAAATATATAAATCAAAAATGTATTTATAAAAATAAAAATAAAATAAATAAATGAATGAATGCGGTCACCCGGAGTATTATGTTAAGTATATTCATTCATTAATTTATTTATTTTATTTTTACTTTTATATATTTTTACTAAATAAATATTTATTATTATATTCATTGATATATTCATCATTACTATTATCTGTTAAGGAAGAGTTAAATAATTGTGACATTTTAAATTCCAAGCATAGCGAAGGAGTTATTGGTTTTACTAAGATGTTTATTTGTTCTTTCTTTCTTCTAGTCTGTGGACACGTTTTTTACTAGTAAACTTGCTCCGATTTTTATGTGTAGCAACTTGTTTGAGAGCTTAAGTTGTTTATATAGTTCTTTAGAGGAAAAAAGAATGAGGATATTTTTTAATTTTAAGTTTTCTACCAGAAAAAATGATTTAATTGAAAAATCACAAGACACCTTTTTTATTTAATTTCTTACGGTATCATGCCTAAAACTTTTAAGCTTTTAAGGCATTTTAATTTTCGGGAGTTTTTTTGCTGTAATTTGGTTATAAATACATGTAAACTTGAAACTTGGTAATAATACTTATATTAGACTTACCTAGACATGGTAAAATTTCCTAAATCATCAGACGACTTTTGATTTTCTTTTTGAAACAATACTAAATAATGAGAAGCAAATTGTTTTAGTTCAAGAAAGACAGATTCTGTTTTGACTTTGGATAACTTTATTATTTTATTCAAATCATCAACAGGATTTTTTTCAAGCTCCACATTTTTACCATACTTTTTTTGATCTAACCAACTATAATCCATTAAAGTACCTTAATTTGGGATAAACCTTTTTTTGATATTATTAAATATGTTATCGACAATTATTTGAAAAAGATATTCTTCTAAGATGCTGGATAGAATTAATATTTTGTCCATCATCAAAAACCTTTTTTCTACATATTTTTTTCTCTTTAAAATGCATTTATGATGATACACTGAGATACAAGTACTCTATATAAGTTATTGTAACAACAATTTTTATTGGAAACGAAAATAACAATTAGTACATGGAATCCATGTAGCTATGTAATAAGGTTGTTATATTATGTGAACAGAAATTTTAATTTCCGAACTTTTTTGATTATTGTTTAAGTGTATAATAGTTCCATATCGCCAGATTTGGAAAAATACCGATCATTTGTTGGTGTGTCCATTATTTATAAATTATAATGTACAGTATTCCATTTACAGTGTATCTGGAGTACATTCAGTAAACAAAATTAAAAGCTCGAGACCCAGAGACTCGATGACTACCTAGATTCAATGACATTATTATTATTATTTTTTTTTTTGACTGATTATAAACTTCTGTGAACTCTCAAACAAGTTAATAGTTTATACTATTACATAAATTCAAACTTTGATAGTAAAAATAAATAACTCCATTTTATATTTATTTAATAGACTTGTCTAACTAAGATCATTGGTTATAACTTATAAATATAAAATATTTCAAACAATTTTTTTTAGATGGTGTATGCCGAGCTGCTGCTGCTGGTATGAATGAACTTCGTAATGCTGTGTTTGCTAGTGTTGCCCAGCAGTCCATTAGAAAAATTGCCAGAAATGTTTTCTTACACCTGCACAATTTAGACCTTAGTTTTCATTTATCAAGGCAAACCGGTGCATTATCTAAGGTTGTATTCTATCACTACTCTAATATTTAATTGTTTAAATTTTGAACATAATATTATTAAACCTAGTGACTATAATGTAAAATACATTTTAGGGTTTAATTTATTAATTTTGAATTTACCTTTCTAGGTAATCGACCGTGGGAGCCGTGGAATAAACTTTGTACTTTCAGCTATGGTATTCAATATTGTGCCTACAGTATTTGAATTAGCTCTTGTCAGCACTATTTTGGTATGTATTTGTAATAAAAAAATGAGTGAAATTGGTTTAATAAACGTTTTTGAATCAGGGATGAACTGAAGGTGGGTTGTGGGATGGTGCTACACTCCCTCATTTGGTAATATAATTATATAATAAATTTAACAAATAATGTCAAAACAAGAAAAAGAAAATTTAATAAATGATATAATATGATCTAATAAGTTAAATAAGTTAAGATTATTTTAACTTCATATTTCTAGGCAACTGCAGATAGAGTGTCAAGGCAGCTTAGTGGTGAGAGTTGGTATAAGATAACTAAACTTATCTACCTATTTCTCATTTTATATTTTTATCAAAGCTCCAATTCTTGGTATTGTTAATTCTAATCGGAAGTTTATAACGCTGAAGCATTGCATAGTTTGATTGTGAAGAAATAATTATAATTAAATAAATAATATGTATATTATGTAAAATAAAAAAGGGCAAACTTCACACTATGGATAGGCCACCGTTGGAGATTGGTTATACATGTTTTGTTATATTAATATTTACTATTTTCAACAAAATTTGATATTAAATTTCTTGTAAAAAATATTCTTGATTCCACTCAATTATTTTTTTTACCAAAATTTACGATTTATAATGAACCTCTTGTTAAAATGAATTGTCAAGCATTTCTATAGAGTCTAACAATATTATCCACAAAGTATCTACCAAATAAAAATTGCATAACAAAACCCTGTAAAATTATAATGTCTATAAATAGCTCAGAAATATCACAAATATTTTGAAAATACTACCACGTTTAGAAAAGCCATTTATAAAAGTTCTGTCCAAATTGCAAGGCTAAATAAATATTTTGAATTGTATTAAGTACAGCAAAAAAACTAAATTAAAAATTTTAAAAGCATAATGTTTAATAAATTTTCCAAGAGCAAGATTTTTGGTAGAAATTATTACACAGTATAAAAAAATAAAAAATTTAAAACCAATACATTCCTCGTTTGCTCAGAATCTAAAAATTGGCTCAATTATGGTTACACATTTTAAATAAATAGGTAACTTGAATAATTTCAAATTTCAAAATGTTTAAATAGAACACAGATATGAAAAGATTGAGAACTGCTGGCCTAAGTGATATATTGTTTACCTCACATAACAACTGATGTGTTTTTATTTTTATTTTTTTTAGGGATTAAACTGTGGTTCAGAATTTGCTGCCTTGTCTGTTGGTTGTGTTTCTGTTTACACAGCATATACCCTATTGATAACTCAATGGCGAACTAAATTCCGAATTTATATGAATCAAGCAGAAAATGAAGCAGGAAATAAAGCTATGGACTCGTTAATAAATTATGAAACAGTAAAGGTAAATTTACTTATGTTAACTCATAATTTACATTTGATTAAAATTTAAAATTTATAAATTCTTATTTTTATTATTTATTTTAAATTGTTTGTTTTTGTTGATGATCAAATAATAATTATCTGTAAATATCAATTTTGTATTCATGTAAAATAACCTTTTATTGAGTAGTTATTATGAAGGTAATAATTAATGATGAGACCAATATTTAGATTTAAGTGATTAAAAGTATAATTATATTTTAGATTCTGAGTGGAGCAAATAAGCTTATGATTTTACAAAGATGTTTATTTTATTATGATTTTTTTTTTTTTGTTCTGTGAACAACTTTTCTACAAGCAATTTTGCTCCAATTTAAATTGATAACAATGTTTCTAAAATTCAATTTTTGAAATTTGCAATAGTCATGCATTTATAATTTGCAGTGTTTTATTTTAAATTATATTTATTTTTGTTATTTTATGAACTATTAATATATAGTTAGATCGGGTAGGTATGAATTATAAATTGGATTAGGTTAGGTTAATTGGATTTATAAATTGGAATATACTAAAAATAAATTAAATTATTTTAGTATTTATCCAAAAATTGAATTATTATTTTTTAGCTTATTAAAGTTTTAAATATCAAATTTAATTGCAATATATTGTAATTAATGATGGCAAAAAGTTTATGGTTCATTAATTTATAAGTTCAGCATTGTTTTTAATTTTAAATATTTATGTATAATTATTTCAGTATTTTAATAACGAATTGTATGAAGCTGACAGATATGATCGGGTCTTGCAGAAATTTGAAGCAGCTTCACTAAAGACCACTTGGAGTTTAGCGGTTTTAAATTTTGGTCAAAACGCCATTTTTAGTGTTACAATAAGTGCTGCCATGTTATTGGCAGCCAAACATATAGTTGAAGGTAATGATTAGAAAGAATTGAATTGAGTTGTTAATTTTTTTTTTATATATATAAAAATAAAGATAATTGTAAATATAGTCAATTACCAATCTTGGTCATTGCAGAAAATATTTATTTTCTCACTTATTTACTAATGTTTACTTACTTAATTTTAACAAAATCCTCCAGGTAATATGACAGTTGGTGATCTAGCTATGGTGAATGGTCTCTTGTTTCAACTGTCCATGCCACTTGGATTTCTTGGATCTGTTTACCGCGAAGTGAGACAGGCTTTGATTGACATGCAGTCCATGTTTGCGATCATGTCGTGTGATCCACTTATAAAGGTATGGTATTATGGACTTTAAAATAATTTATAATAGACAATATTTGTTTATATTTATAATATAGGTTCTATAAATATCTATAAATTTATTTGTATTTTTTGCCAGAACCATGTTGATGCTGTTCCGTTGGCCGTAAACAGAGAAAACGCATCAATCGAATTCCGTAACGTTAGTTTCGGGTATCACAATGGCAAATCCATTTTGAACAATCTGTCATTTTTTGTGCCACCCGGAAAAAAAGTGGCCATAGTCGGAGGCTCTGGAAGTGGGTAAGCATCATTATAAGTTATGTTATTATAGCTATATAATGGAAAACATTAAATTGTAGTCAATAATTTTACTAAAAAATATTGTTATTAACTACCTATACTTATAAGATATGTGAGTAGTTTCGTAAATGTATACAAAAGATGCAGATAGGTACTCAAGTTTAAAATAATTAATATGATTAAGTTAGCCATTAGGCATGATTCTCAAATTTTTTTATTATACTTCTTGGCTCTTGCACTTCGACTTTTTATCAGATTTTAATGTAAGTGGATATGTTTTTCTTATTTTATTTTTGTTTGTCTTGTTTAAACTTCTAACTGCATCTGTCTGGTTGTACTTATATTAAATGCATTTTGGTAATTTACTAATTTATACACAAATTTTTCAGGAAGTCGACAATAATCAGATTGCTGTTTAGGTTTATTGAACCCACTTCTGGTGAAATAATTATTGGTGGACAAAACATCAAGGATGTTGACATTAATAGTCTGCGGAAATGTATGGCCGTAGTCCCTCAGGTTGGAGACTACATAATTAATACCTATCACAGATCGTTTTTGAGTGAAAAATGTTTCTGAACTACGTATGAATATAATACCTATTAAAAAACCATTAAATAATATTATAAAGTTTAACTCTTTGAGTTTATAAATAATAGGTAAATATATATAATAATGGTTGAGAATAATGTGTATGCTTAATTTGAAAAAAAAAATTATGTGATCATACCCTAAAAAGAGAGGCATTCAAAATACTGAAATACTAAATAAATCCCTGTTTAATGATATCACCAGATTCATTTAGCACCTTATAATACACATTCAAATTCGATTGGGTATTTAGGTTTGACCACTCAAGCAAATACTCTATATGAGAATATGGGACATTTGCCGAAATTTTTGTCAGGATTTTGATTAGGATTGTGAAAATACTTTAAAAATAAATATTATTCATGTAAAAATTTTATACATGAATGATATTTCATTTGTAAGCAAATAAGTTTACTATTTTGTAATGTCCACAGGAACAACATTTTAATTATTTTTACATGTATTTATCTAAATAATATAATTTGAACTCTGAAGTATTTTATGTTTTCTATATGTGTTCTATAGTATTCGTTGTTTTTTATTACATTGTGCATAATATGGAATTTCTAAATTTAATTAATACAGTACCTATTCGAAAAACATTTGAGCCAACAATGCCATGGACACCATTTCTATAATGTAATTAATATAATACTACCTATTGATTATTTATAGGATTCAGTTTTATTTCATGACACCATCATGTACAACCTCCAATACGGTGATATGAGCAAGCCCGAGTCAGAAGTTATTGAGGCTGCCAAACTTGCAGAACTTCACAACTCAGTGCTTGGATTGGTCGATGGGTATTCCACTCGAGTGGGCGAACGGGGCTTGATGATATCAGGTGGCGAAAAGCAACGGGTGTCTATTGCCCGAGCCATACTCAAAGACAGTCCCATTCTAATATTTGACGAAGCCACATCTTCATTGGACTCTATCACCGAACAGGTCAGTTAATATATTTTTTACTATTAATATTGTTTCATTCAATCCTCTGGAGTAAATGATACGTTTTTTTTGGATGCATTAAAAAATAATAACTGTACGATTCGGGTGAATTTCAATAAAATGTAGATAAATATAAATAAATATATATATTCACTTTTAAGGTAGGAGGAGAGTAGTGGGGTATCATTTGTGTAGTGGCATGGCGTGCAGCGTTTTATTAGTGTTTCACTTTTTTCCTCCTACCTAAACTTAAAAGTGAAGTATCTCGTCAATGGGTTGACAATAATTAAAAATATAGACACCAAAATTTATTTAAAGTAATACTCCATCTATTTGTGAAATTTTTAATATAGGTTCTCATTTAGAAAACCAAAATTGGTATAGCCACATGATACTCCTTAAATGTTATGCAAAATATATGTATTTGAAAATATCTGCTTTAACTGCACTTAAAAATCATAATTTGAATATATACAACATTTAACCAAAAAAATAGTGAGTACGCTTAGTGAATCACCCTGTATATACACACTAATTTATTGGACATAAAAAATTGTAAAATAAAGCTCACATATTATATTATTGTAGGTATAGTATTCGTGGAATCGTATTTTTGTCTGGAAGCTGTTATATCAAACACATAAATTAATTTTAGTATATGGTAGACAACTTTAATCTCTTTCAAATCCATAGTATTAATGTTAGTGTTTTTTAAAAAAACATTAAAACAAACTTGTTTATCCAATGGTTAAATTTAATATATATTTTTGTGACTTGCACAAGCCATCTTATCTTAATTTTAAATATTTGACCCATCGATTTTTTATTATAATATTTTATTTATATATATATATATATATATATATGTGTGTGTATTATATATTTATTATTATTATTTATAGAATATATTGAAGGCTTTGCGACGAGCCACGCAGAACAAAACAAGCATCTGCATCGCCCATCGGCTTTCGACAATTAAAGACGCTGACGATATTATGATATTAGGCAATGGCTCCGTTGTAGAGAGTGGAAGCCATCAAAAACTGATGGAACAAAAATCGTCCGAATACTCAAAAATGTGGAATATTCAACAAGACACAGCATCATAATGGAAATAAAAAACCAACAATATTATTATGTCTGTGGTCTCTATTTGTTTTATACCAGTGTGAATTTCAATTGTTTCCCTTGTACAGTTGTATCTATTCATAGACCACAATAATTAATATACCCTTTGTATGTATCCTACCAACCATTTACAAAATCTGTGTGAACTAGTTATTAGTCATTATATTTTTGGCTGTTTTTGAAACATATAATACATTATTATATTGTATGTACGTGTGATTGTTTTGACATTTAAGTATTATAAAAATTATATATTAAAGAACCTATAGATATCACCCGTGACCAACAAAAATGTACTTATTACAGAATATTGTAAATTATTGATCATTATTATTCATTATTTGTTTTCTCGATAAATTCATTTGGAATTGTTCATTCTCCGAATCGACCTCTTGTTTATCAATTTAAATTGTTTATATATCAAGTGTACACTTGTAGTTATAGCAACAAAGTACCTAACGTTGTACCAAAGTTTTGCAGTCTTACTGAATTTTTTTTTATTCCCTTGGAAATATTTTCGAATAATCATTTTTGATGAAATTTTTTTCATGCTATAAATTCAGACACGGATACTTCTCATAATTTATGGTACCTACTTTAATTGTAAATTTTAAAAAATAATAGATAATCGATTTTGTTCAATTGAATAAAAAGCTACTATCAAAAAGTCATTTTTCGATATCCAAAATATTTTTCATAACAACTGGAAAAACCAAAAAAGACAAAATATATGATTTTTTGTTTCAAATTACAGTACAATGATTTCATTATTTTAAATTTGTACGGCCTATGTTTTCTATCATAGATATTGCTCTAATAGAAAAACATCAAGAAATATTTTTAATCTAATTGGTGACCAAAAAAATCGTTTTTAGATTTTCTTTGTAGTTTTTTTAATAATTAAGCAAAACCGAAAAATACGTATGAAGAAGGGGAAAATGTACGAAAAAAATTATTTTATTATTTTCCGAGTTATTTTAAATTTTGTTTTTTCATTGAAATACAGGTTACAATATTCGTAGACTTGAAATATTGATAGAAAACTTATATTTACTTTTTCTAGACGTGGTAAATCTTTCAAAATATTTGAGTAATTTTGAGTTGTTTAAAGACATTTTAATTTTACGAGTTTTTATTTAATTTTTATTTGGTTATTTCTTTCTACATAAATTATTAGACTTAATAGAAATGCTTGAAAATTTGATACAAGTTTTATTATAAGTCATACATCGTGGTGAAAAAAAAATTTAGTTTAATGTAGTATTTTTTTTGGAAGCTTTAAAATCAAATTTTAACAAAAATCGTAAATATTATGGCCTTTCAAAACGTGTATAACCGAACTTCGCCCCGAAAGTCCGAGCCGTTTTTCGTTATCAATCGTAGTTACAGGCATAAATTAAATAACTATGTATCCCACCTTTCCCACTATCTACCTAAATAAATGGCCACACCCGTTCCCAGTATCAGCTCTTTTTTTTTTATTATTATTGTTACTTGGTTAAAAATTAATGTAAAGATCTGTAATTTTCACCGAACACTTATATTGGCCTTTTGAAGACATGATACAATTGTCAACGTATTTAAAATATTTATAGGTTTTTGATAATTTCGTGTTTTTATGTGTATTTTTATTTGATAGGTATTATCTGTTATTAAAATTATATGACAAGAGAAATGCTTAAAAATCGAACATACGGTTTTAATTTGTACTGATGGGTCTAAAAAACAAATTTTAGTTTAGTGTATTAGTTTTTTTTCCATAAGCGTTTCTCACAACTTAACCCCTTTTATTTGTTTATTGATTTTAGTTTATTTCCGGGTTTCTATGCTACACAAAAATACACTAATATTACTTCACCCAGAATCGTTTTTCGTTGTGATGATTTATCGTTGCAAAATGCAAACAGTTTGTAAACGAAATTACCCTATATACCTTGTCTCCCCATCTAGCAACCTACAACAGTTGCCTACTTGTGAGCCAGTGGCGTATATGATGAGCGGATCGCCCCTTCAAGGAATTTTTTTCATGGTTGTAGCCTATATTTACCTACTACTAAAAGTATATTTATATTTATATTTATATATTATTATGTTACCATGTTATTAGATTAAGGACTTGGTTAAGATCTAAGATGGATGAAAAAATATTAATCGGTTTAGCCTTATTAAATTTTAATTTATAAAGTTTAATTTTAAACGGTTAAGCCTATTTTATTGTGTAGTTTACACATTTATACTCCAGTGATACTTTTATCCAATGGATCAGTCTATGAAGATTTTGTTTTTTTGCAAATCTTTTTTGTCCTCTAAGCGACTACTCAATGACTTGCAAATAGCAGCCTTAGAAGCAAACTGAGATATATTTAAATTTGGCAAATACAATAGATACCTACTGTATTTCGACCGTTTTACGTTTATAGTAAATTATTTTGTATAGGTACCACACAACCGTTTACATTTTGTCTACGGATTTTTTTATATCTACTGCATCAGTTTTCCTCGCGAACATTTATATCAACATCTCTGCACGTGGTCGTCCGAAGTTCAATTTATGCCGTTTAATATTGCACACGTGTAATATTATGTAAAATATGATTAGTGTTATTTAATTATTACTATATTAGTAAGTGCCTTTAATGCACCAAATTATTTTAACCAGCTAAATGTGTGTCGTATCTACTTAGGATTCCGCAGTACCTATGCTATGTAACTATCTATAGCCGGGTAACTCTTATACCAATGAATACTCATTATTTCAAAAATCATTTACTGTTTGAAAAAAAATTCAGATACATATATTGCTTTTCTACAATACTGTATAAAATGTACAAGTATTTTATAGTGAAACCATTATCTACTTTTGATTGTCAACTAGCAACTTAGGTTCATTGAACATTCCATAATTAGAACTTTTAAGTTTGGTTAGGGGGAGAATAGTGAAGCATATCATTTGTATAACGGCACAGTGCGCGATTTTTGGATAATGATCCACTACTATATCCCTTCCCCCGGCCCATACCTGAACTTAAAAGTGGAATATCTCGTAAAACGGTAAATCAAAACTTTCAAGTCAAAATCTAGGTATTCAAATTAATATTATTTATTTATAGAATTCGTAATGTAGGTTGCTGGTTAAAATTCAAATGAAAATGGTGGTTTAACTATTAAAATATCTAATTTTATATTGGTAACTATAAAAAATGGTTATTTCATATACCATTTTAGTTATAATTATTGCTCTGCTACTTTCCTCCCTAGATCATTAACACTACCAAATAAAATTATCGATAATATACTTTTTCTTCATGTCAGGTATTCTTTTTAATCGTAATGTTTATTTGGCTTTAAATTTAGTTTAAAATTAATTTGTATTGTTTTTTTTTTTTGATATGTCGATCATTATTTTCATTGTATCATAAATTCAATAGCTAATTTTATAATATTATGTTGATTACCGATACTGTATTACCAAATCGTATTGTCATTCATACCATAATGTATAATACAAAAGGGTTACTCCGTTTATTATGTATAAATAAAATAAATACAAAAAATAATGTATCTGAAATTTTGAAAAGTACAATACTTACTAAAATAATGAGTGTTAAACGATTTAATAAACGTTGTGTATTCTAGAGTTTTATTTTGTTTTATATTAACATTAACTTAATTATTAACAAATCATTCAAAATATCTTCATTAGAAGAGCACTCTTGAATTTTTTCAAAATGTTTTATCATATAGATAAGAAATTAGTGGTTGGAGGAACGGATCCCGGAAAAAAACAATAACAAAAAAAAATTACGAAAATAAAAACCAAATTTTTGTTATTTTTACGGATTTGGCTTATACATTTTTAATTATTACTGTAACTTTCGTACAAACCCGGGTTGTCTATTTTTTTCCAAAAAATCATAATTTTTGTTTGGTAAGATGCATGCAAGTATATAATTTATATCTGTAAGCAATGATGCAATGATAAACCATTGCTAACGAAAAACGATTCGGAGCGAAGTTTGGTGATATATAAATATTTTGAAAGGCCGTAATATTTACGAGTTTTGTCAAAATATTTTAACTCTCAAAAACAAAAATTTTTATAATTTTTTGTAATTGATAAGACTGATAGGTCTCTAATTCTTATAAAATGACAAAAATGACAGTTACACTAATTTCTATAGTAATCCAAGTTATAATACAGTAGTAATCATACAGCCGTAAACAATCTATTTATTTATATTACATTATTATATTTTAGATTCTGAGTGGAACGAAGAAGCTTAGTTTTACATAAGTTTTTTTTTTATCTGTGCGCCACTTCTCTACCAGAAGACTTGGTCAGATTTTTAAGTGTAGCACCTTTTCTGAAAGGAATTCGGTGTGTGGAAATATTTTAGAGAGGTTATTTTTCAATTTTCCCAACAAATGTGAAAAATTGGGATAAAACATAGGAAAACCGGGTAAAACGTAGGAAAACTGAGAAAATCGGTAGAACATTAAACAAATATTATTAAAAAAAATAAATATAAAAAGCCTATTTAATTTATTTTTACTATAAAATGACATATATTGTTGATAAATCATCTTTATCAACTTAACTTTGCTCAGAATTGTATTTTCTATAACACTGGCTGCACCCATCCCCACTGTCTTAGGATATCTTTTTTTTTATAGTTTATTATTTGTTTGTGAGGAATGAAAGTGATGGTCTGGCTGATAACAATATTCAGATATGATGTAAGGAAAGACTAGGTACTACAGTGTGATGGCAAACCCATGCCTCAAATTCTGAAAAAATAAAATTTTGGTTTTGATTTTCGTGGTTTTTTTCTCTGCTATCATGAGGAACATATTGTTATTGGTTAATATAAGTTAAAATAAGGTCTTGTCAAAAAGTTATGCATTTTAATGTATTTCGACTTATCTATAGACAGTAATATAAATAGGAAGAGTTTGTTATAACGAAACTACTATAGTTCAAAATCAAATATATTGCAAATGGGCACATACATACCACACAACAGTAGCTGGTCTATTTTGAATACCAATTATGAGAAAATTACATATTCGATAAAGTTAATTGTCAGGACAGAACTAAACAGAAATAAGAAATAAGAAACATAAAGACAATTCAATTCTTATTCTGTATCCACTTTGCCATTATAGAGTTGTACATTTTCTTTGCAAGTTTAATTTTAAAATACATATATTATGAAAAACAGATTAGATAGTTGGAAAATGGATTTTTAAATAAATACAATAATAATTAAAATCAATTTGTATAATTGTCTTATTTTATGGTTTCAATGTATATTTACAAAGTCAATATAATAATATGTATATGTTTTTTTTCTTTTCAATTTTATGCAACTATTTATAACATATTTATATCAATTTCTTACAATTATTTATTACAGTATCCTCTCTAAATATTAATAAACATTTTATTTAGTCTGACTAAGCAGAATGGTTCCGTAAATAAATATATATATCTACATATATTTTTAATCTTATTGGAAACAAATGTCCCTCAATGTCTTTAAATGTATAACTTAAATTATATAATAATAATAAAAAAAAACCTTAAGTTACATTATTTAAAGACTAAGGACAAACAAGAAGCCTTACACGGCTATCTTAAAAAAGCTGTTAAAAGATTATAATATATATTGTGTATAAAAAAAAATAAAAATAAAACATTGAATAAATAAGTTGGATAAAACCATCTAGTTGGCAATTCCCCATTTTATAAATTATATATCCCTTAAAAAATAATATTTCTATACATAATAATAATAATGATAATAATATAATAATAAATATATATAATAACAGAATGTCTAGGAGTACAAAATTGTAAATAAAATATTACATATTAATAATATTATTATTCCTATACAGAAGGAAAAATCAACAAATATTATTTTACTAAAGTAGGAAATTAAAATTTTTTTCATGGTTTCAATGTTAAGGAGAACGTCCTTAATTACATTTCTCTAACTAGATAACAACAACAATAGCAAAACAAATATACACAAGTCATACATAAGTCAACGCGGCCGATCAAATTACTTTACAAAATTGTTATTTTGTACTTTAAGCTGCCATATTTACATTAATAAATGTACATAATAGAAACAACACCATTATTTTAAATAAGCTCAAATTTTTTAAATAATTATAAATGCATTCGATTTTGCATATTTGATTGAGGCTGATTAGGACCCTGTGGACCAGGTTGCTGTTGCCCTTGCATTTGTTGAGGATACATAGGAGGAGCGATAGCTCCACCTTGTTGTTGTTGTTGTTGTTGGAACATTTGTCTTTGTCGTTGGTTCCTGATGAATTGGGCTAACAACTGTGGGTTACTCCTCAGTATTTCTCTGAGGCGTTGTTGTTGTTCAGGTTGACTATCGCCAGTGGTGCGTAACGCATTAACCAATTGTTGCAACGATTGATTGGGCACTTGATTAGGATTTTGTTGATAACCTTGAGGCCTGTTTCCCATGACTTGTTGTTGTTGAAGCATTGCATTTTGTTGATTATTGATTATCATTTGTTGTTGAGGTAGGTTCATTTGCCTTTGCTGTTGTACTTGTTGTTGTTGCTGCTGCTGCTGTTGTTGCTGCATCATCATTTGATTGTAATTGGGTTCAGTAACCCATTGGTTGACTTGTTGAGGAGCGGGTGGAGCAATCTGCATATGTGTTCGTTGCATCTGTGGTTGAGGAACACCTTTTCCGTATCCCACATTATCATGTTGACGTGCTGCTTCTTCTTGTACTTGTTTGACTACTTGTAAAACATTGGCAGGTGGTGTTTGTTTCCCAGGAACCATTACTGGAGTTTTGTGAGGTATCATTTTTGGTTGAATTGGCATATTATGTTGTGGTGCAGCTACAACAGGGGCCGTGTTTTCTGTCCCCAGAGTACCTGTATTCATAATAGCCATCCGTCTTCTCAATAATTGTGCTTGTTGTAATCTTTGTTGCAGTTGTTGTTGTTTGATCTTGTGTTTCATGTTTGGACAGAATAATACCGGACACTTGGCTTCAGTACAATACTTTGCATGGTGGAAGCAAAGGGCAATATATTGTTTACATATCGGACAGTTACCGTTAGATTTAGTTTTACACAGTTTAACGTGCTGTACAACTCTTTTCATACGTTGACAACTTGCTAAACGACAATTTGCATCTCTGCATTGGCAAGCATGTACAAGTGATAGTATGCACCGACGGATAGACAATTTTCTAGCTTCTTGAGGATCTGCTTGTTTTTGATCTCCGGGAGATGATCCATCATCCAAATCAAGACCAAGTTTTTCCATAGTATGTGGATGTTTTTCTTTTTCATAACAAGTAATACACAAATCGAAATCATCACAAACAGTACAGTGGTATCTTGTTTCTACATGAGATTTGCAACTATTACATGTGTAAACAAACTTGTCTTGTCCTTGATTATGAAGTTCATACAACATTGCCATAGAAGAAAACTTTGCTCTCCTAAGCGAAGAAAATTCATAATGTTTTTCTCGAGCCATGGTTAAAAAAGCATCTCTGCCGTCCATTAAATCACAGCTTATTAATGGATCTGGATCTTGTATCGCTCCTAATGCAGCAGCAGACTGTACACTGTGTAATCTAATTACAAAAAATACTTCTTTATGTTTATCCATATTGTCAAAAATTTTAGCAGAAAGATCACTGCTTGTTTGAGGTAACATTGTTTTCTTTGAACTACTTTTTCTTTGACTGGACTTAGACTTATTTGATTTTTTAGCTTTTTGTAGACCCTTTTTCTTTCCATCAGGTCCAATTTCAACTTCGTCACTTACACACATTTCAACAGATTCTTCAGCTTCGGCTAGTTTTCTTTTTTGTTCTTCTTCTTGGTCCAGTTCTTTTATACTGTCTTCTAAAGCGTTTGGCCAAAAGTCACCTTCAAAGTAAGGCAATTCAGCTGCTGAACTTAATTTATCTTCAATTGCTTGTTTCAAAATATCTTTATAGTCGAGAATTATGCGTTCAATGATACCTTTATCTAGCATTTTCTTATACCATTCTTGTAAACGTTTTGGTTTTGGTATCTTTTGTTCAGGTGGATGGCAGTGGAATATATAATCATCTCCTTCAGATGGGGGACAAGCCCAAATGTGAGCCATGGTGTATCCCAACTGTTTTACATAATCAAGATAACCCAATAATATTTCATGATATACATAAGTTCTGTACTGTTTAGGCCTGAAAAAGTTAACAGAATCCAAATATGCAATATAAACTCTTCTTGTATTTGGCGACGGAGCTTCAGATCCATATTCCTGGACATGCATACCAAAAAAGCAAACATCAGTTCCATCAATTTCTTCAAATGCATAAAGAGCTTTTGCTCTATATGGGAATTCTCCTACCATATCTCCATTATCAACAAAACGATTTCGCATTCCAGGTTTCACTTCAACTATTTTGTCAGAACTCGAAACAACACGAATAGCAACTTCACCAGCTCCCGCTTCCTTTTTCTTAAGAAAATTGTTCACTCTTGTTTCAATATATGTACCTAATTTTGTGATTGCTAATTTTTTGGCATTGAATTTATTGTCTTTACGTTTTTCCCCACGTTTCTTTATACAGTTATCACAAACATACCCTTGTGGATTAATATTCTCGTTATGTAGTACACATATTTGATGAAGTTTCCTTCCACAATGAGTACACATTATAAATGGTTCTAATTCTAAGTGATCATTTTTCATTTCCATAAATTGTTCTTTTTTAATGACTTGTTGGGCTTGTGTAGGGTCTTCACCCAATGTTACAGCTTCACCAGGTATATCGTTAAAACATTTAACACAATATATATACCTATTTTCAAAACTAAAATATTTAGCATCTCTTGGAATAGTACACAATTGCTTGCCAAAACAACATAGTACTTGTGGATTAAATGTGTATTTACGCCCACAGCAGTAACCAAGACTTCTCATAACAGGGTAAATTTCTTGTTCGAAAACTTCAGAAAGTTTTGTACATGATTTGTACACTTTTGTCGACTTTTTATTATAATGCCAAGCATTTTCAAACATCAACCAAATATCGTCAACGTAACTCCAGGGGTCTGAATACTGACCGGTGTTAAGCTTTTCCCTAATTGTAGACAAATCCATTGGTTTTTTAATAATAATAAAATAGTCAGGTATATTAAGTGCTTGAGGATCAACAGGTTGTTTGAAAGGATCTGCTTCAGGTTCCTGTTTATATAATTTTTCAAGAGTAGGCATTAAAGCTTGTCTAAGTTCATCGGGTCTAAATACACATTTTTTTATGGCAGTTTTACTGTCTGAAGTAGTTGGTTCGAATGGTTTAATATCCGAAGTGATGTTTGATTTAGGACTCATTGGTTCCTCTTTGATTTTGACTTCCATTTTTATTGAACTTGAAGCAGTATTATCATCACGTTCCTGTTTAATTTCAACTTTCACTGATTCTGATGGTGTTTCAGAATTCATTTTACCCTTTCCATAAGCTCCTTTTCCGTCATTACTATCATCATATTCATCTTTTATTTCACCTTTGACATCTTTTGGAGAGTCGTCTTGTGCTAATGCAGAAGCAATAGCATTCATTTGACTTGAATGACTTATTGATGATGGTTCTGACCTTGGATATCCTTTACCCATACTGTTGGGCATCATTGTTGGTAGACTTGTAGTTGATACCATAGTGTTATTAGTTATCGATGTAGGTCCATTAACCATTTTATCCATATTTATTTGATTAATCCGATTGGGCTGTAACATTGGATTGTTCAAGTGCTGCTGAGGCTGCTGTAATTGTGGTTGCTGTTGCAATTGTGGTTGTTGCTGTTGCTGCTGCTGCTGCTGCTGCTGTTGTTGTTGCTGCTGCTGCTGCTGCTGTTGTACTTGTTGCAGTTGCTGCTGCTGCTGTAAATGCAATTGTTGAGGTATTTGATTCATCGACTGATTTGTAAATTGTGGTTGAGCGAACGAAGCTTGAGATATATTCGATATCATCTGCGAGTTAGATGGAAATTGACTAGTATTAATTGGACTTTGGGTAGGTGGCTGAGTCAAACCAAAAGTAGTTTGAGGTAAATTTGGATTTGGACTTGGTCCAGGTACAGGAGAAGTAATTGGAAAATGCACCCTGTCTGGCATATTTTGTGTTTTCATTAAGCCAGATGTTGTCACTACTTGTTGAGAAGGTTGAATTGAATTATGATGTAAAGGTTGTTGCTGCTGCGATTGCGTTTGCTGTGAAGGCAAACCTTGTGTAGACCCAGCTGGGAAGCACTGAGAATTGATGTTATTAGTCTGTGGCTGCTGTGTTCCCAATTGTTGTTGTTGCATTTGTTGTTGTTCTTTTCGTTTCTGCATTTTTTCTTCTAACTCTTTCTGTATTTTATAAAACGTCTGGGCTAACCGGTGATAGTATTCTGACCTAGAGTTAGCGACATTATACATATCACCTTCAACTTTTCTGGCATAAGCTACCAAATTGTTCATACGTTTGTCTAGCATTGCTTTAGGGTCATACGTCGGAAAAATTGCTTGTACTAGTTTATGCACTAAATGATTTCGCAATTCAGGAGTAATAGATTCGTGCCATTCTTTACTTTCAATGTGATTTCCTGGCATTGATTGACTTGGTTGTGCTTGGTTATTCATTTGTGTAGTCATTGTGTCAGTACTTGTAGTCATTATAAAAGAATTAGGTATATTTGTCGTAGGTTGTTGAATGGTAGATGGGGCTTGCACAGTGGTGTTAGTAACAGACTGTAACATATCATTTACAGAACTTGTTCCAACATCTGTAGGATTCATTATGGGTGTCGGTTGAGGTTGAGAATGTGGAACTAATACTCTAGTATTTTGATTAGGTGTTAACACATTATTATTAGGACCATTAGTATGGGTTGTCATTGGAGATTGCATAGCTGTCCTTATACCAACATTATTTGGAACGCAAGGTACTACTTGGTTTACTTGATTATTATTAACAGTATTATAACAATTCATATCGTTCATTACTGTAGTATTTGGAGTCTGGTTGTTGGCTAGAGCTGTGCGATTATTTGATGCTTTTAAAGGTTGACAAATAGGACAATCTGGTCTAGTGCATTGTTTCCAATGAGATATTATTTGTCTTGATGATGAACAATGAGCTACATTACAATTTCGACCAGCTAAACAATTTGTCATATGGGCTAAAACTCCTTTCATCGTATTACAATGTTGTAAACGACATTGTCTCACTTCACCGTTGGCTTGATTATCCCTTCTCTGACACTGATGTGCGTGCAATAATAACACAAGTTGTTGGGTTATCATTTTACGTTTTTCTGGATTAGCTTGACTGCGATCTGCAGACACTACTTGAGTAGGAGGCACAACCACATTTTGAATGGCCATATTACCTTGTTGTTGTTGTTGTTGCTGTTGTTGTTGTTGTTGTTGTTGTTGTTGTTGTCCCAATCGTACATTAACTTGAGGTTGGGAAGGTACCGGATTATCGACCAACATTCCATTAGTGTTAGTAGTAAATCTTGGTACGGATTGACGAACAATACCAATCGGTTGTTGTTGAACAACATTGATTGGTTGGGTATTTTGGTTATAAGCATTAAAATTATTCACCGGGCTCATTGCACCTATCGGAGCAGCTTGTAACCTTTGTTGGGTGTTCATTGGCAAACTATGAAGTTGATGAGTCTGATTGCGTATTTGCTGTGGATGATGCATAGGAATGCTTCTTCCCATCATAGGTCCATTTTGTTGTGACTGGGGTATTCCATGATGAGGATTGTGCATTGTATTATTAACCAAATTGTTTCCCCCCATCATAATATTCACATTTGACATTCCACCAATACTATTTTGCAGTTGACTGGAATTAAGACCTGTATTTCCCATATTAACTACCATCGGCTCTCCTGACTTACTAACCAAAACATTTGGTGAAGGCATGTTTGGATTTATTGGTTTGTTCATAGTCATAGCAGAGCTGGGTACAAGGTGTTTGTTGCCCATAAAATGGTGGGCTAACTGCGATTGGGTGACTACTAATCGTTGTGGAATATTTTGTTGCTGAAGCTGTTGTGGATTATTTTGTTGAACAATCATACCATTTTGCAGTGGTATTTGAGGACCATGATTTTGCTTGATATCAGGTTGTTGGTTCCATGGTGTTGCACTGATAAGCTCATCAGGGAGATCATTCTCGAGATCAAACATCTCATTACTGGAATAGACACCAGACGAATCAGAAGACCCTTGAAATGGATCTTCCAACTTTGGCCTCTTGTTAGGAGGACTATCCACCATTAGGTCAGACATATTTTTTTTTTTAAAAACTTAAAAACAGATAAAACCTAGTAAAAATTACTAGTAACAATTACATGTTAACAAAAATTGCACGATGTCCTAAAACTATTTTACATAATGTCATACTCTTATAAACTCAAAATGAGTAATGAAGAATCAACAAATAATATAATTAAGTCACATAATTAAGCAGTATGTGAAAAATGACTATACAGTAAAATAATCCATTTTACAATATGTTGGAGGCAGATTGTTGAAGATTTCATTTGCAGCTGTTTTACCTGGGTTTTTGCATGTTTAAATTTCTTTGAAAAATGTTAGGTAGTTCAATCTAAAAAAAAAAAAAAATTAATTAATAAAATTGAAAGAAAGTATCACACAATCAAAATCAATAATAAGTAAATTATAAAGTTATTATAAGTTATATTTCTTATGAGCTAGGTAAATATTTTTCATTAAATATACTAAATAAATAATTTTTGATTTATAAAATTTGATAAATACATATTTTAATATATTTTTATTAAATAATTTTTACAAATTATAAATAAGTATGCTATTTATAGAGGATAACAATAGGTAATGTATTTTAAAATAACTATAAAATAGTAGTTTTGCTAATTCATTAATTCATAGAAAATACTTATACATTAATATTAAATATATTATATATTTAATACCTACCTACTTATATTTTTTTAATTATTATTTTTTTAATACTGGAATAATAACATAAGTTTTTCATTTAAAAGGACACATATGATATTTCATATTTCATCTTGCTTAAAAAATAAATAATTAAATAATTAAGTAACCCAACATATAAACACAGATAATGTTCTCTCTTTCAAGTTTGATATTAAACTAATTTACTCCAGTGTTAAACCTAACGGCATAAAATTGATTCTGCTTCTATGCTGTGTATTTGTAAGATAGAGATAATAAATTAATTAGTAGCAGTAGTGGACCTGAGTTTTTTTTGGGGGGGAAAAGAAAGAGGTTATTTATTTAAGAGGTTATTCATAATAGTAAAATTATATAATGATAGAAAACACTTTATTATAGTACTAAATTCTAACTAAATCTGCTACTGATTTGCAGTGTTCTTCATAAAAAAAAAGTAGATATTGAATAGAATAAATATGAATTAATAAGATAGTGACTAGCGAGGTCTAGGCTTCTTGCTCAAATTAATTATGACCAATTTTAACACTTAAAACACTAAAACCTATTTTATGTAAAATAAAATGAACAACTTACAAAATATAATATTTGAAGCAAGTTAATAAATCCAGGTCATAGCACAAATTCGTCATGGGCAGCAAAATCAACCTAAAATTAAAAATACTATTTTAATAATACTTACAATTAAATTTATAAAAACAAAAATAAATGCAATATTAATATTGTACTGATTTTCCTGTTTTTCCTACATATTTCTCAGTTTTCCCACGTTTTTCCTGGTTTTTCACATTTGCTGGAAAAACTCTTGGGAATATCAAAAAATGAACTGTTTATAGTACCTTCTCACTCAGAATTCCTTTCAAAAAAGTGCTATCAATATAATTTGTTGCAAAATTATTAGTGGGAAAGTTGTCCATAAAAAAAAAAATCATAATATTTTACTAATATAATTTATACATTTTCCCTTTTTTCACTTTTGATGAGTTTTGAACTCCTGAGAAAATCGAAAAATAACCTCTAAAAAAACACCACCCTAAGAAAAGGGTTTACATCGTATACATCGGAGTAAGCTTCTTTGGTAGAAAATGTTTACATAAAAAAATTAATAAATAAATAAACATCTTTGTTAAACCAATACATTCTTCACCCTATTTAGAATCTAAAATGATAAAATGAGTAGTGGGTTAAAGTTAAAATTGTTTTTATTTTATTATATACAAATATATATTATCTACCTATAAAACTTTAAAAAAAACATGAGGTTCTATACCTAAATTAAGCAATAAGTGTTGATTTTAATTTACTAAGGTGTTTTGCATTATACATCTGATTCCCAATATTTATCCAACTGTATTAATGAAATGTTTTGTTTTATCATACAAATATATTTACAATTTTTAATTTATAATGTTTACAAAATACAAACTTGACAAAGAAATAAAATAAATAAGTAAAATATGTTGACCAGCTATCCTCTAAAATTTAAATTTAAAATAAAAACCGGGCAATTCATAAAAATAAAGTTGAACAATAAGGATATACGAGAATAGAAATGTATAGAAATAATATTAATAAGACTTTCATAATACGCCAACATACTTATTTGGATAAATGATAGGAAAAAAATCTCAATTGATTTTGTGTATCAGTAGTTATTTCATATTATAGTTAATATTTCTTATTTTGGTTATAAAATTGATAAAATGTGTATAATAGTTGTACATAAATTATACAATACTTATATTAATGTGTAAAACCGTAAAAAGCAAAAAAAAGGATAAAATGTACCATTCATACAAATGTATTACCATAATATGTATATTGTATATTATATAGGTATTTTTGTTTTTCAATACAAAACTAATGTATTTATCTAGTTAATTAAATAGTCTACTATTGAATAATGTAGTCAGTATAATAGATGTTATACAGAGAAGTATAGTTAGTGCTTAGTTATTTTTTAAATTTAAATTTTTAAAAAAAATGGAAATGTTAAAATCATCAAACCAAGGTAATATCGAAATTTCATTTGAAGGGTTTTTATAAAAAAAAAAAAAAAAGATTAAGTTTAATAAGTATTTATTATATTAGGTATATAGTTTAATTTTAATTGAATGCAATTAGAATTGTTTTAATATAAAAACACTTTTTTTCATTCTCCATTTGGATAGCTTTATATTTGTAAACCAACATCTTAATTTAATGTTTTAATAAGATCAAGTTATATACCTATTTAATTTACAAAATGTACCTAATACTTAATATAAATTTAAGACACTTTTTAAAAGTTCTTTCAAAATTTATTTAAGTTTTTGAATTTATTTGCAATTAGACAATAGGTTATAAACAGGTACCTTCATAAAAATGAAAATGGGAATTTAAAACTAAACTTATTTTGCTTATCTAAACATAGAATAATGGTAGCTCATCTTTTAAAATGCAGGGCTTGTGATGCATATTACTATAGATTATTAATTACTATACTGTATAATATGTACATATTATTCTATGCCAACATGTATCATCAAAGCAACATTTTTGAAGACAAGTTTACCAATTACTATTTTGTTATTTTATTTAAACACAAGTCTATTAACATAATAAAACTTAGTTCATGGGCACTGACTATTGAAATAAATAAAGTTTGAGTAATTCATTAATTTTCCAAATGTTCAAAATAGTCTGGGCATCAATAAAGAAATAAAAAAAACTACATCTATAAAGATTTATATTGCCTTGATTGAAAAACTACTTGTTTTAACTATCCAATAGAAATAGAAATTTGACAACATTAAATTGTGAAACAAAATACAACAATAAAATATTATCGATATTGAATTTTGGAATATTTATTATTATTTCAATGGAACATTATTCAATTTTAATATACATCTTTAGTTATTTGCATACCTATGGCCCAAAAATTATTAACTGTTAAAAAAAAATTACCTATTATAATTTATAACACTAAGAACAATTATCTATTAAAATTTCTTCAAAATTATAACTGTTATAACAAATTTTTAAAGATTAAAAATATTTTATAAAACTACCTACTAAAGTACTAGGTATATCTCATAATATATTATGATAATTAGATTGATAATGAATTAAATCTAAAAATTATATATAAATAAACACACAAAATTTTAAATTAATGAAAAATGTGTAAGTATATCTATGTTGAGATAAATTTGTAGTAAACAAAAACAGTGAGCATGTATAAAAATACACTCGAAAAGCAAACAATCATTGTTATTATTATTGTTTACATAATAGTTGTATTATGATTTATAGGTAATTTTTTAGGCATTAAAGAAAATGTTAAGAATTATTTAAATAAATAAGGTATATAATTATTTTAATATTTTATTATCATTAATTCATCGAAAGGTACTGTAATTAATATTATGATATACTTATAATGAATGTCTAAATTCAAAATAGGAAATATCACACATAAAACAATAATTTTCAACATGATTCAATTCTTAAATAAATATTAATTAAAAATAGGTAGATTGGGAGTTTATTTTTTTATACTCGGATAATTTTATGAGACGTTTAAATTTAAAATGAAAAGTCTGAAAATATATTTAAACATAGACACCTATTATCATAAATATGGAAAAAATATAACGTTTTTTAAAAAACTACCTCTGTTTGGTAAAAATTATTGGGATAAGAAATAATTGTTAGCTCTTCTTGGACATCTTATTGTGTTGATATGGAGGCCAAAAAAAATCAGAAAAGCCGGAAAATAGGAGAAAATCGGGAACAATGAGCATTATCAGAGCTAGTGATAGTGGAAAAAGTATGAAAAAAAGTAAAAATCAGTGCAAAATAGGTATCAAATTCTTTCGGAGCGTTGTAAAACTACCAAAAATGCCCAAAATCTATTCAGAGGGGGCCCGGGGCACATAGGGGTACGATTTTAATGTTGAAAATTATATTCGAGACATCACCGAAAAGATGATAAATCCGAATGGGGACCGTGAAAATTGATCGGGCCGTCCAAAAATATAACGGAAAACGACAAAATCGGTCCGGAATATCGGTATACACAGGTCTCAAAGACATCGTCTTAGTAGGGTCGCGGGAAAAATTTCCGTACACAATGTAAACACGGCCGTCAACAAAATGGTTAAAAAGTAGGCTGCCGCGGTCGTGAACCGTGTACTCACCATGTCTGAGATTGACGTGATCCGAGCTGATGTTTGTAGCCGATAAGCGCCGATGGTGTACACCTAGGTAGCCCGTTCAAATGCGTCCCTGGACACGTTACGCGATACGCAGACGACCTGCGATGGTTCGGCACGACAAAAGCGGCGTATTTTAAGCGAATTCGGACACGGGAAATATATTTTTCGACAACAAAACTGGATGTAAATAAAGCACTCACGGGTCGTGATAGATCAACGGGGAACGGGGGCAGTCATCGGTAGTCCGGTCAACGATTGTTCTTGGTCCTCAACTATCGATAGTTGACGGAAAATTCACCGCTGATGCGTAATTCGCGAAACCCGTGTCGAACGTTCGGTGCACTTGAAATTCGTTCGGACGAACGTTTTACGCTATTTTTGATGAAGATTTCCACGTTAAACGCGCGGAAAACGAAAATTTTCCAAACGTTTTTATCAAGAATTTCCGCTTTTTATCGACGTATCGACAAAGCAGTGTGACCGTCGTCCGGGGAACTCACGGTCCAAGGTCAGTTTGGTTCGGTGTTACCAACGATGTTGTCAGCGGCGCTCGTTGTCCGTCGTCGTCAAAGTAATACTAACTGCTGCGGCCGTGGTCACGCGCACCGAACGTCAGCGCAAAATAAAACAACAATAATAAAATACGTATTATATATAACGCGCGATAGTACTGCGTACATCCCCGCGCGCGCCTTATGAACGTACAATACACACGATTGTATATGTATATAACAATATTGTGCATGAACGCGGCGGCGGCGGCCCGCGATCTGCGGTATTCGACGTTTTACGATAGTGAAAAAAAAAAAAAAAAACAAAGCGGACGCGCACGCACCGACTCTACACTACTCACCGGCCTGTACGGTGTAGAGCGTACGTACGCGTTAGAACTTGGAACGAATGACGACTTTATGATGTCACTACTCCCTACTCACTAGTCACTACGCGCCGGACACGATACGCTGCCGTCGTATTATTTTTTTTCCGCTTTCCGCGGCGAACGTTGCCGTTCAACCGTGGCGGTATCGCGCCTATTACACCTACTCGTTAACGTTACACCGGCGACGAGAAAACAAACCCGCCGAAAAACATTCCGTCCCTTCCCCGCATAACGCTTCTGGGCGCGAAACTTTGATTATCGACGGCCGTCGGCCGTCCGTAGGGCGGGGTCGAGAGGGAAGTACCCGGTAGCCGCGTAACAACGTTTTCCTTTCGGACTCCCTACCAACGCGCGCGCGGGACGAAATTTATATTATACGCCGCGGGCACGCGACTACGTGGCCTTCTATTTTGACCGCCGCCGCCGCCGCCACACCACCGCGGCGGCGTCGACAGTGGATAGTAGCGGCGGGTGATATTACACCGCGCGCACTCATAACGACGCTCGCACTCGGCGGCGCTCGCTCTGACGCCTATCGCCGCGGCAACCGTACGTGTCCTACGCGACGCTAAAAAAGCGCAATTTCTGTTTCCACGACACACGTACCCGTTTCCGCCGTACTCGCTTTATTTGCGCGCGCACGCACGCACGTACAGTGATGTGTATCGCGTATACCTACGGCGCGTGACAGGCGAATTTTATAGGGAGTAGTATAATAATATTCTAAACAAAAAACCGGTGGCGGTTGTAGTGCGTCCCGCAATAATATTGTCGGAAGTTCGAATTTTCGAAATTCGTCCCCCTTACGAAAAACAAGAAAAAAATTAAAATACGGCCGAATGGTACGACGAAAGAAAACCGGTGCAAACGAAACAAATCGATTAAATTCTAATCGCGTGTACAACTTAATAAACACACAACACAATACATTAATCCCCTCACCGTCCACTGTCAGTGCTAATGTGCAAACCTCGAAACGAAAACAAAAAAATACGAATATACTCAAGTTCGTATCAACGCGCCGAATATTGAATGTAGAAAAATAACGTAATATAGTATATTCTACACTTTAGTAAAAGACTAAAATCAAACAATAAAATTGTCAAAGGCGGTTAGTGATCCATCTATCGCCCACCTCCCTCTTAAAACTAACCACTGCCATAAACTTTGGTATATATCTATAGGTACACGGATCACTACTTTTGTTGTGTACTATATCGCAATTTACACCATACGCAAAAACTCGTGTTATTATTATTTATTAAGGTTGTCTGTCTTGGGACAACTGTTTGCTACTATTAATAACACTTGAATTTATAGAAAATCTGAAAATACTTTTTAATGATGAAAACAAAAAATTAAAAACATTTACCTTTTAGAATAAAAAAAAAAAAAGTTGAGAGTACGAAATTAAGTAGGTAATAAACATCAGCTAGTAAAATATGACCTATATAACCTGAATTCATATATTGGGCATTACCCACCTGAGTATGCCGTATTTATTTTTTTTCTTTCCGCTATTCAGCTCGTACGTTTTTCGATAATTTTTAATTGCGATTTATGTACTTAATACAATCTCGTCAATGTATTATTTAAAATGCAGCGACGCGGCAAACATAGACCGCAATACATAGGGATATCGATATCCTAGATGTCCAAGCAGAAGTCTATATATATATATAGATCGGTTTGCAGGGGGGGGAAGATTAATATTGCTTTAAAACTGTTGTACATATCTTTGTATACCATTTTGTATACAATTGTTGTCTGGCATGGATTTATTTATTTATTTGTTATGGGTAAAAGAAGAAATCGGGCAAATTGAACTTTATGGACGTTGCAGTTTTGGCCAAATGATGTTGACCACTATACCGAGTTCGTCCGGGCATAAGTCGAAGTATAACGTTTTGGCCAAGTATCGTGGACATTTCGCGTTTTGCCCAAGAATTGTTGAGATTGGTCCGATTTCTAATAGTAATAGCCGTTTTGATTTCCAGAAAATTAACTTGGAAACAATTAATATTCATTAGAAGATAAGGAATTATCGTGCTGATTGTGATTCCTTATTTATCGCGATAATTTTCAAGAAATTTAAACGGCTATTACTAAGAGAAGTTTTAACTTCTTTTGAATAATATCTTTTACAAAATGGCTAAAATTTTGAAAAATGATCAAATGAAAAGATATTTTTTTTTTTCAATAATTAAGGGATGAAAATAACAATTTAATTTTTCTCTACATATGTGTCCCCCTCGCCCCAAACCCGATTGAAAACAAAACATGAATATTGATAGAAGTATTAATATAAGAATTCCAATGTAGGACATTCTATATTTATAGGAGAAAATTGCTGCTACATAAAATTCTGTACATAGTTTTTATTTTTGTTTTATAACACCTAATTATAGTTTATATCTATAGACTACTTTTTTTTAACTGGTAAGAAGAGGAATTACAAACAAAAATTATAACTGTTACTTTTTTTGTGGAAGGAAGAAACTCCTTGCGATATTTTTTGATATATTACAATTTTTAAGCAGCCCCCATCCATTAATTGAGCTCCAGATGCGCCACTGAATACATAAGAGGTAACTTAGATATGGATATAGTATACAAAATTACAGAAAATAAACTAAGATAGTTTGGGTATGTTACGTATGTCACGGGGAATAGAGAAATCCGAAGCAGTAAACATTGTAAAAAAATAAACGTATGAGAAAAGAAGTAAAAAGGAAGAGTGTAAAAAAGGTGGTTGAATGCGATTAAGAATGATACGACGGCAGATACTAGGGCGAAGGAGAAAAAAAAAGAATATATAACATAAATAATTATTATGTATTATGTATTTACTTTAGTCACTGATTATAATCAATGCTTTGGTAATAAAACAATTTTCTGTTGTAAAAATCGGTTTCCAAGCCTTCTAAGTTTTAATTTCTTTTTTTTTCCAGAAGTAGTTGGATCACTCGGATCCTATACGGCTTGGTCATATTTTAGTGCGAGGAGCTGTATCTCTCAACATTTTAATCGCTGCAATGCGTTTCAGACAGCTTCAGAAATCCTAAGAAAAAAAACAATAGCCAAGTACAACCACCACTTAATTCGTCTACATAGTTGGCATCTATTGCTTATAGGTAAGTTGTATGCTGGACTATTGGAGCCGTTGGAGGACATTTTTGACGTAATAATATTGCACGTTTGTACATAAGCACTTACAGGCATGTGATCTAAGTACGAGGTGTGGCTATTAAATAACGAGACTGGTTACGAAAAAGTGTTTTATTATAAAAGTTATTCTACATTCAAATGCTTCCCTCCCCTCGCCATACACCGTTTCATTCGTTTCTTCCATTGCTCGAGGCAGTGCTGGAAGTCTGTTTTCGTAAGACCATTCAGGAGTTCCGCCGATTTTTGTTTCACCTCTTCCATCGACTCAAACCGGATTCCTTTTAAGGCAGACTTTATCTTCGGAAACAAGTAAAAGTCGCAGGGTGCCAAGTCGGGTGAATAAGACGCGTGTTCGAGTACTGGAGTGCTTTAAGCGGCCAAATAACGCTTCAAGCTTTATCCTGGTGCAAGATCCACGACTTGTTTTTCCACAATATCGACCGTTTCTTACGAACTCATTCACGCAATGTTGCCAAAACTGTCAAATAGTAATGTTGGTTTACAGTTTGACCCTCTGGAACCCATTCAGTCATCACGATGCCGTTGAGATTGAAGAAAACGGTTAATTTAGATTACGACTGAATTGGATTCCGGTGCACTCTCGACCTTCACAAAATAATTTATGCCACTTAAAAAAACACGCGCCCGAGATAGGAAATCCTGACTATAGGCCTCTTTTAACAACTTATAGCACTCAGTTGGAGTTTTTTTTAGTTTAACGAGAAAATTTTACGTTTATCCGTTGCTCATGTTTTTCGTCACACATGGTTTTCGGCACGAGAAAAAAACACGTTCGTTTCAAACCACTACTGCACAATTACTATAATAGTGACGAAAACGTGTTTTGATACGTGCATAGATATTTAGATACCCAACGCATTACTCGTTTTTTCACTACCTATCTCGGGCGCCCTCTAGGCGAGTAGTCTCGTTATTTAATAGCCACATCTCGTAGTCCACTGTGATTGTTATAAGTTTGTATAGAGCCGTAGATGGGTATATATAACAATTATTATATTATTATGCCGATCTCACCCTAGAACCGACTACATGCTACTGTCGACTAGATACGACTGTCGAGCGACTCGGTGGTATGGCTAGAGCTCGCATTGGCGCATCATAATTGTTGGAGACATTGACTACGGCTGTCGTGAATTCAATTTAATATTTTTATTTTAATATAATTTTCGTAAACTTTCATACCTACCTCTTTTTTTATTTTTCCATCAAACAATTGGATTGATATCATGAGTGAGTTATTTTACCTAGTTGAAAGTTGTATTAGTATATTGATGAGACTTAGAAGAAAACGTTTAGCAAGAACCGAATGGGTTAACCAGTTGTTCCAGAAAAAAGAAGAGCATGGAGAGTTTCACCATTTAATGAATGATTTAAAGAAAAATCACGAGAAATTCTTTGACTAGTTCCGTAGGAGTTTGGAGTCGTTTATCTATATTCTGGAAAATGTCAAACCTAAACTAACGAAATATAATAAGTTTCGCCATGTGATAACACCTGAAGAGCGTTTGGCTGTTACACTGAGGCGAGTCATTAAGAAAAAACATTTATTTATTATTATATGTTGTTTTATTAATCAAACAAAATTTTAAATTTATTTCAAAAAACATAAGTAGCAAAAACATTTAAATTTTTTTTAAATATTTCAAAACTATATTATTTGTTGAAATGGTTTTCAAAATGTATATAAAATACCAAAATCTGTTAAAAACTCTTGTTTTTTGTGTAGTGTAGGCGTTTAAAAAGTGTTTTGTATGACTGTGTATGTAGAACTAGACTATAATGTTGAACATTCACTTCACCATCATAAAAATCAAAAGCAGCATAAGAAAAAGCAAGCACAGCACACAAGCAGAAGAAGCCAGGTCGATAACACAGGCAACACTGAACTGGCAATGAATTGCGTTACACACGTCTAGCGGCAGGAAAACGTACTACACAAGCTCCGCCCACTGCAATGATTTTCCGTTTATTTTTGGGTACCCTCCTCGTAAATATATTTTCTTGTGGGCCATAATGCTAGTAACATGCATCTGTTGTTAATCAAGTGACAGTGTGATACCTACCGAATTTCCGACCGTTCAAATTTTATATTTTCTTTACGTCTTGTCAAATTATAAAAATGACGTCATTTTTATTGAACGATATGTTAAAATCGTTCAGTTAAAATAATGTGAGTGTAAGTGTAAACGTTTATCTTTTGATTTGACAAAAAATAAATTGACACTTTATAATCATCAGTAGCGGCTCGTGAGTAAATATTCTGGGGAGACTTAAATTATATAATAAAAATTCCATACAACGAACAAGAAAAACCTTTTTATTGAAAAAATTAATTATATTCATACTTCATTTAATATTTAATTAATATTTTTAACTAAATTTAATACTAAAATTTGTTTATAAAATTAATTCAATTCTGCGATCTTTTTTATCTGCCAACTCGTCAATAACACTATTTACAAAAACTGGATCCTTTGCCATATCACGCAGTAGATTTTTTTCAATCGCCAAGGATGATAAACTTGAAAGCCGCTCATTGGTCATTGTGTTTCTAAGAAAAGTCTTAATACGTTTCAATGTACTCATAGACCGTTCACTAGAAGCCGTTGTAGTTGGAATAGTTAACACTAACTGACAAAGTATGTTAAGGCATTGAAACCACTGGTTAGTAAAAATTCTATTAATTTGTCTTTTTGCATTTTGAAAATATAAACGAATTAATTCCTTGTAAAATTGTCAAAAATAATAAATATTAGATAGGTGACCGATAAACGTACAATAGTTATTAAATAATGAATAAACAGCGACTAAAACGTCTGAAACTAATTAACAACGGCGCAGCGGCACGGCAATAACTGTTGTGAACCCAGGTTCAATAGCGTCTATAATACGTGGCTTATTCTCCCCGGCCCACTCCGTCCAACCAGCCGTGCCGTTACATGTTACGATGGAAACTGTCGGTCGGGCTTCGGTTTCACTGAACCGGCCACCGTCGTGGAAATTATTAAAATGGTATTTCCATCGAAATAACTATTAATAGGTTTTATTTTATTTATAATTTATAATAATGAACAATGAAAACGATTTATATATATTTTCAATTTAAACAAAATTATCTCTGTGTGTTATTTTTAATTAATTATTATTTACAAGTAGCTGGTTTTTTTTCAAAGGGAGACGCAGTCTCAGAGTCTCCCCTGACGAACCGCCCCTGATAATCATCATATCTGCATGGTATTGTGCAGTGTCATCTCTAAATTATGCGAAACATTAAGCATAGCTCATGCTTAGTTAACCTTTCTTCTCTTAAATAAATATATTATATTAATTTTAAATGTGTTTACTATTTCATGTATAATACCTAATATACAATAAAAATTATAACGGTATACTTACTAGTTACAACATATACCTAAAATTTCTTAAAATAGTACCGGTGCGCGTAGATACAGATATACAGATACACATAATACACATACAATGGCTCCGTCGTGAAAAGTATGTTCGTATCTATTTAACCATAATTTTTTGTGATTGCGATTGGTACTGAGATTACCTATGACATTCAACATTCTGGGACACTCGGTAAATTTGTACTTACTGTATGCCACTATTACCATATCGCATGTGTTGTTATTTTTTTTTTATGGGTCAGAAAAATGTCTACTATAAAAAAAAACCTATGGGGGAAGGGGGTATTAAAAAACATGTATTCAGGACAACCAAATATTAAGTACGTCACTGGAAGCAGCAACCAGGACTTTTCAATAAGACGGGTTCGATATAAAAAAAAGAACGAATACAGTATTAAAACAAAGTTTGTTCTCCACAATTCAAATATTTTTAATATTCCTATTTTACTTTAAGCGTCGACAATTCAATTGGGTCGTTTAATTTATTACTTTTTTTTTAAATCCAAAGATTACAATAAATTTAATTTATAATATAACATAATTTTGAGCTCTTTGTAAGAAATTACTCCCTTCATTGTCGTCCGTCGTTAATTTTCGTTCTTGGTCATTCTCTTGATCGTGATCCCTCTATCATAAGTTAGATACTATTATCTATTTATCATACATAAGGTGATTTATTAAGCATGCTTACTCCATTTTTAGAGGTAAATTGTGCATGTATTCAATTCTGAATTTTGACATTTTTAAGTGTACCATTTAAAGACGATATATTCGTATATTTAGATTTTTCAAATAAGAACCTGGAGTAAAAATTCCATAAATAGATAAAATTAATTTTGATGTTGACATTTTTGATTTCTGTCAACTCGTTCGTAAAATATTCCACTTTTAAGCGTAGACAGGGAAATAGTAGCGGAGTAAAAATCATTGGTGTTTGAATAGTATTGCTCCACAACTCTCCCACTGCCGAAATTTAAAAATGGAATGCGTATAAATTCCTAACCTAACCATGTATAAAAACGGTTGTGATTATTTCTTCTAATCACAAAACAAAAAACTAAACAAAACTACACGAATCATAATATATATATATATAGATTATAGGCACCTTTATGTTTATACAAATACAGAATTTTATCTACTAGAGAGTTATAGGTAGGTTGGGTACTTACCTATCTATATGTAAAATGTATACGCTATACAATATTATATTGACACACGCGCACATATATTATTGTATTTACACGTGACTTGGTTGCAGTGGTGACACAAAAGAAGTAAATAGGTAGGTAGATGTTTTTCTAATATAATATTTACTTATCAAGAATAAATAAGAATTGATTAATTAAATACAAATTTTTATCAATATTTAATAAAATTGTTTTTTATTTAAATTTTAAGATAGGTAATGTATTGTTAGTTCAGTAGACTGCAGCAGTTACCAATTTAAAAAACAATGAATGTAATCAAGTTCACGTTTTTTTTAAATAATTACAAAATAAGTTGATTTTTTTCGTTAAGTTAGGTCGGGATAAAATTATACATAAAGCACCAATAGTCAGGATATATTAGGATTAAAATCTTATGTGTACTTATTGCAGCAGTTGTATAGTCTGCGGTAATTCATACAATTTTTTACTACATAAAATATAAGGTAATTATATAAATGTGGTTAGGAAGCAGGAACTATAATTGGCGATGACCATAGAGTAATATGACTAATATGGTATTAACTATTTTAGTTTTAAGAACGTGCCATTATGCTGTAAAATATATTTTTTTTACTTATATGAACGTACTGAATATATGACAAACGCCAATTTGTTGATAACATTTTTTATACACTATTTAGGTAGGTTCACATAATATATACAATGTATTACAACAATAGGTATAACATAGTTTTTAATTTAACAATAGTTGATAATATTATTATTGGTTTATTTTGCCTAAATATTATTGCACAACGGTAGTTTCAGCAACGTCTTTAAGATAGGGTGGGTTGGACGGTATATGTAACATGTTGTACCGAATACAGTTAAAATATGTGATTTAGTTCTAACCGAAATGTACGAAACCCACAAACTTCATCGTTCAAAAACTACGTAAAGAATTTGTATATTACATTTTTATTTAAAGGAAAACGTTTAAAGAATAAATCACACAAAGCCGATCGATTCACTTACAAACCACAATAATGTACGATATTTGTTCAGCATGCATATTTTTAATTGTACACAACACACATATTAATTTCAGTAATAATATATAATCCCTCTCCAGTTTCCACAAACCTTTTTTATTATCTTCATGTTTGCATACTAAAAAAAAAATCTGATAATGGGGACGAGTGTCCCGCTGTTGTAAGTGTAAAGGTAGGAAGGTAGGATACGTAGTTGTTTAATTTATATCTGTAACCAATGATAAATCATTGCCAACGAAAAACGATTCGAAGCAAAGTTCGGTTATACATATTTAGAAAGGCCGTAATATTTACGATTTTCGTTACAATTTTATCTTAAAATGATTATATAAAAAAAAAAAACAATTATGTAACACTCCACTTTTTTATTCTTTTACCACTAATTAAGACTTATAATGTACCTTATGTGCTAAATTTTCAAGCATTTTACATAAGTCATATAATTTTAATAACAGATTTTTACCAAATAAAAATACATACAAAAACACGAAAATATCAAATACCTATAAATAGCCTGAAAATAGTTGAATGTTTTAAAAATTTGGACAAAGATTTCTGGTAGAAAAATGTAGTCAATTTTCAATAATGAAATCGTCACACTGTATTTTTTAAAAAAATCTTATTTTTCATCTTTTTTTGGAAAAAATCGATCTCCATCATTTTTTAATTGGAACAGTATTTTTGGTAAGAAATATAATTAGCAAAAATTAAAAATAATGAAATCGGCAATGCCGCGGCTCGCCGTAAATATTTATCGTTTTACCTACAATTTTTTTCCCCAATTATTCCCAAAAAATCACCTCACAAAAGTATTATTTGGACAACATTCTCTTTCAGAAATGGTGCCGCGAGTATATACTTGAACAAGATTCATGGTCGAATTTTTGTACACAAGATAAAAAAAAAATAAACATCTTAGTAAAATCAATACATTATTCGCTACACATAGCAATGATAAACCATTGCTTACAAAAAAAATGATTCTGAGCGGAGTTCAGTTAATAGTGATGCTTTGTTAACAATATACATGTCATTTTATAGTAAAATGATTAAATAGGCTTTATATTTTTTCTTTAATCAAATATCTTTAATGATGTACCAATTTTCCTGGTTTTCCTATGTTTTATGCTTGTTTTTCACATTTGCTGGGAAAACTCTTGGTAAATAAATCAAAAAATGACCTCTCTAAAGTACCTACCTCCTTAGAGAAATTTAATTTCAGAAACATTGCTATCATTAAAATTTGGAACAAAATTGCTGGTGAAAAAGTAGCGCACAGATTAAAAAAAAAAAAATCTTCGTAAAACTATAAGCTTCTTCGCTCAAAAAATTAATACGAATTGATTGCAGAAAAAAACCCAATAAGGGTGGAGGGTGGTTTAAACCCCATGACCCCCCTCCCCGTGAGTACTTAATGTACTAATGTAATTAAATACAGTGGATTCCGCCTAATGTAGGCACTGGTTAATATGGGCATCTGCGTAATATGGGTAAAATGGTCTGGTCCCAATACAAATGTATATTAACAAGGTTAAAAAAAACACATATTATAGAAACTCGATTTGGTTTATGTGGGCAATTTTTATTTTATCATAGCGCTAGAATATATATTTTATATATACATATACATATGTATTTAAAACGACTAATATAATCGGGTTTCGTCGTATCTAGGAGATTGTGTTTATCGAAAATGATTATAATAAAAAGTATTATCATTTGATTTTGTTGACTAAATATATAGACTTGCATGTGACTTTATGCAAGAGGGTAACGAAAGTAATCTTTCTGATAAGCTTGAAGCGTGTAACCATTTTGTTAACTAGATCCACACTAAACAGCCTAGATAACAAGCAATTGCAACAAGTTTGTACACCTTCTAAACCCAAATAGTAATTTTATTTAGTATATTATATTTAGATTTATTTATGTAGTAATTAAACATTTTCTTTTCAATTGTAAAATAAAAACAATTTTGATACTACAAATTATTGTGTTCTTTTAATTAATTTCGGTTTTTATGGGCAGCCGCTTATTGTGGGCAAACAGGGCTGGTCCCAACGTGCTCACATTAAGCGGAATCCACTGTATTTCAGTTGAATTTAAAACCCTAGTGTGCACCGGTCATTTTGAATACATCAATAACGTGAGAAAAACTAAAATAACGTTAACTAGCACTAAGTAATAATAAAATAGAATATTTTAAAACAATTTTCAGAAAAAAATAATAACTTTTTACTATTAATCGATGTGGCTATTCAATGATGCCATTTCGAAGTTAAATGTCTAGTGTATATTGAGAAATAAACGAGAAATATACGAGTACAAATGATATCAGAAAACAAAAAGTTAATAATACGTATATTTATAGTTTGTTATCCGGTATATTAATCGTTAATTGTACGTTAACATATAATGGATTACTTAGATTTATCCCACTGCTGTCAAAGTGTTATTACAGATTATCTATTTTCTGAACATCAAATTATTAATTTTTGTCCCGTTTTGGACTTATTCTGGCCTACTGTGCAACGATGATGCCATTCAGTCCTTGGGGTGAAAGTCTACTATGTAATGATAATATAACACAGAAACTAGTGGGTTCAAACTGAGGAGCCGATTCCTCCACACTGAGAACCTCTACCATTGCACTTGTGTACTCTGTAGCGAAATATTATGTGCCTGTTTGGATAAACAGTACACATGTGAAACGGATTGATTCACAGCTCAATCATAGCATGCGCACGATATCAGGAACATTCAAATTGACCTCTGTTCAATGGTTACCGGTTTTATACAATATCGTTAGAACCGCTCTACGCCACAAACAGTCACTCCTAAAATTACGAAGGAAATGTAATTCTAACCCCTCAATACGTATTCACTGGTACGGCAACATTCTCATAGGCGCACAAAGGCTCAAATCAAGGAAACCACCCTGGAATACCGCCATAGAATTCGAAATCTCTCGTTTTAATATTCTAAACGCTTGACGGGGAGATTGGGTAGCACCACAGCCGGAAAAACTAATGTAAAGTCGGCAGTTATCAAAACTTTAATCGAAAGGGGCCATCCTTAATCGAATCATGACGGGACACGGAAAATGTGGATACCTGATGCACAATGGCGTCTAACCTCAGCTCAAGATTGTGACTGTGGCCCATATAATCAGACTATTTTACACATCATAAGCGAGTACTCAAATCATAAATTCAACGGAGCACTTAAGGACTTTGCCAACGCAACTCCATACGTTATCGAATGGATACGACATTAAGATATTAATCTATGATTATGATTATTGTGTGTTATTTATAATGTATAATATGTAACATCATTGCTGATCTCTCCTACTTATGTATTAATTTTTTATGTTTTCTAGCCATACGAATAAATAAAATAAATTATTATCAATTTATGTGTCATTATTATCTACCTTTGTGGTCCGGTTGAGTTATCAATTTCAGAGAATATTTAACTACCTACTACCCAGTAGAGTAAGAAGTACCTAACCGTAATCCGTACTCGTGTCTTATATACCTGAATTACTACATACTGCTACTCTGTGCTTTCACTTTTACTATAGGTACCGAATAATTTTACACGTATGTTCCGCTGGCAATATTTGATAAGAATCGCCAGTCCCCAGTGGTTCCCAATTTTGTATACAATGTTGCCTATTGAATTCCTGAAATTGGACTATTAATGGTTAAAGAAATTGTCTATCCAGCACCTGAAAATGTGTTTTTTAAACGATTTTTTAAATTCTATTTTGTATACAATGTTGCCTACCTAGCCCCTAAAATTGCATTGTTATTTTTCAATTTGTCTATTTATTGCCTGAATAAAGTTTTAAATTCTATTGCCAATGTTCAATTATTGTTAATGTATTTTGCATACCTTTGTGATCAATCACGTCTAGCATAGGAATTAATTTGGACGTACTTATATAATTGCTAATATTTTGCATGGTATTGATATAGCATACAATTTTTAGATGAATATGTTTTCTGTTAAAAGTTATACTTAATCTTTATTTTTTGTTTGATTATGTTACATAATATATATATAATATATTTAATATATATTAAACCCAAAAAAACGGATTGTCATTACTGTCATTATTATTATCTTTAAGTTTATGAAGAATGGTGAACATAATGCCATTTTTATAATCATTTTGTATATTTAATATGTTATTAAAGTGGTTGTTTTTTTTTATTTTATTGTGTATGTGATAGCTTTCTAATACTGAATTTATTTATTTCTTTTTTTTTTTTACAAATTATTATTAGGTTTTTTTCTATATTGTTAGTGATTTTGTGTTTACTATTTAAGATTTGTTTTGCAAAGTTTGATTTTGGATTTACTTTATTTAATCTAATTTCTGTAGTTTGTTCTTTAAACGGAGTTTTGCAATTTCTGTAGGGTTTACCTTAGTATATTTTATTTATTTATTTTTATTTTATAGAATAACGCCAACCGGTTTTTACAAAGTAAGAACAAAAAAAAAAAAAATAACTTTTAATAATATAATTTTTGTTTAAAAGCGTATTTATTTCTGTAATTTATTCGTTGTACATTGTAATTATATTAAACTAACGCGACCGTTGCATTTTATATTTTGACTATCAATAGGTACTATTATACCTAATGAACTTTTAATTCGAAACCGGTCGCATAATACATTTATCATAATTAGAGGTCGGATTTTTATGATTTTGCATATTTATTTCTAGTGTATGCAGTTAAATGGGAACATAGAATTCAGAGGAAAAAATGTATTTTGCATAAAAAAGCATATTTTAAGGTTTAGAGAATATTCAATACGTTAGGATTATTTGAGATTTTGAGAATATTTTATAAATAATTTTTATTTTTGATCCTATTTTTACGTTTATCGGCGTTTTAATAATATTGATCAATAAATACAATTTATTTTACAAGCGAGTTATGTTTACATCCTTTTGGGTTTCTAATAAAAATTAATCACTAGATATTTCTTATTGATGGCAATAGCACGTCAGAAATAACAAAATAACGTTAGCTGTCATGAGTTTGTAATATTAATTTAATAAAATAAATTAAAAGTGTTGTAAACCAAATTAATAATACAATTTAATTTAAGCTGAAAACTCAAATTGGATTTTCTTTTTTTCAGAATATTAAAATAATATTTTGCCATTTTAAGGACACATAACATCATATATCTGGTATTTTAAAAGAACATTAAGAGCATATATTGCCTTTATTAAACGACATAAAAACATCATATTTTAAGGATTTTAAGAAAATATAAATCCCACCTCTAATCATAATACTCCAGGCGACGCATTCATTCTTTTATTTGTTATTTTTAATTTTTGTATATAATTTTTTTATTTATATACTATATTTAGATTATTATGTTTATTGTTAATACTTTTAATGAAATTGTTAGTTAAGAAACTGTTGTATTTGGTAATAATATAATTGATGTTATAATGATATTTTTATTTTGGTTTTTAATATTAAAATGTAATTTGTCAATGAGTTTTTAGTTATAAACATAAATTAAAGCTTTTTTTTTTTATTGTATTTAATTCTTGAAAGTAGTTATTATTGTTTAAAGCGATATTTTCTAATCTATGCATCATTGATATAAACTATGCTAATCGTTGTGAATAGAGATGGTTAGAATCATTAGGTATTACAACATCAGTTAGTGTAGGTTTTCTATTAATAATAAATTCAAATATATCATTAATTATTTTAATGTTCACGTCTAAAAAGTTTATTTGATTCCCGGTTTGTAATTCAATTGTAAATTGTATGTGTTTATCAATTTTGTTCAATTTATTTACTATATTTTGTATTTTTTTTATTTGCGCTTTAAATATTATAAAAGTATCATCTACATACCTATTATGATGTTTAATGTTGGGATTATTTTTCACATACACATTGAAATAAAAAACAACTTTAATAATATGTTAAATATACAAACCGATTATAAAAATGGCATTATGTTAACCTTTTTTCTTAAAGTTAAAGATAATAATAATGGCAGTAGTGATAATCCTTAGTCAATTCTTCACTTTCATATTTCTACACAGAATTCTATGCGTACTATAGAATTCTATGTTTTTTTATAAAATTTGGCGTTTTATAACGTTTTAGATTCCGAACGTAGCGAGGGGAGCTATTAGTTTTACAATGTTTTACAATTTTTTTTTTCCTTGTTCTAGTCTGTGGACACGTTTTTTCCTAGTAAACTTGCTCCGATTTTTACGTGTAACAATTTTTCTGAAAGCTCAAGTTATTTAGATTAAACTTTAAAGTGATAATTTTTTGATTTTCGGCTCCATTTTTTAAATAAAAGCACTTATGTGGGAAAAAACGTAGTAAAACGTATAGTTTTACGATTTCATTATTTTATAAAAACACGGACGATGTTTTCTACTGGAAAAAATGATTTAATCGAAAAATCACAAGATACCTTTTTTGTTGCCTTTTTGAGCTTAAAATAATTTAATAATAAAATAAATTAATCAAAATAATTGCTGTATCTCTTTGTGATACTATAAAAATAACCAATCACTACTACGAGCGCCAATGACAACCACCTCGGTCCCCGGACGTATTACGCTCCGGCACGTCACTACATGCGGACCATTCGGTTTATTGCCCGGACCATTAAAGGATTTTCCGGCCGAAGATGCCGTTTATCCGACCATATTATCCGGGAGTACTCGTCTCTAGTTTTATTTTGGTGAAACGTATGACCCCGGATTTCGTTCTATTTTATTTTTTTTATTGAGCGCCAAAGACAGCCACCTCGGACGTATTACGCTCCGGTATAACGGGCGAATCTGACGTCAGGCGAATGTGAGTGCAGGGAGTCAGATTTGCCCGTACGTGTTACATTCGCCTGGGTTATAACAGGCGAATCTGATGTCAGGCAAATGTGACTGCATCGAGTTGGATTATCACCCGACGTCATATTCCCTGTTAGGCCAGGCAAATGCGACGTCGGGATAATCTGATTCCACGGCGGTTGAATTTATTTTTATTTATACGTATGTTTTAAATTATTTATATACAATTTATATTTTGTTTGCTTACTTAATGGTATTCCATTTTTATTATTTATTGGAATACTGGGTATTTTCTATTCACAATACAGATATTTTATTGTATTAATTTATAAGAACTATAAATTTCTATTTTTGGCAATAACAATGTAAACTATAGATCAGTTTTAATTATTGTATTTATAGACGGTAAATAGCAATTAACGACTTCGATAACGGACGGAAATGGCACGAAAATTAGTACCCACGATTATTGATTAATGAAAACCACGACGAATATGAATTATTTACAGTAATATTATTATATACTTATATAGCTACTAATTATATTGTAATAAATTAATTCGCCCATTTACTTACACAAATATACATTAGTTTTCGATGTTGTTGAATTCTCGGTAAATATTATCGTACGTAAAATTCCAGGAATTCTTAATTAAAATTGGGTAGTCTTCGATGATAATAATCTACCAAATTAGATTTTCCAATAAATCTTTGCCCATAAATCTTAGAAATATTCGTGTATTATCTGTATTTTATTTCCCAAAAATATTGATAAAGTTATTTTGTAAAAGTGCCACTTTGAGCAATTTTGTAATATATATGATTCTATACAATTGTAATTTATCATATACATTCATATCCGATCAATAGTTTCTTAGTATTGGCCGTTTTAATTTTTATGAAATAGGTTTGAAAACAATTATTATAAACTACCGTTGGGATAAGGAATTCCCGTGTTGGGATTGCGATCCCTTAAAAACAATAAAAAAAACATATTAATATTGACGAAATTATTAGCATATGGATAACACTGATCGACACTCTGTATATTGTAATATTGAATTATGCTATCAATTAAAACTCTGGTAAGTAATTGGATTAATTTATTTATTATAATATAATTAATAGTTATATAAGTATATAATAATATTAATGTAAATAGTTTATTTTCGTAGTGGTTTTCATTAATCAATAATCGTTGGTACTAATTTTCAGTAATACAAAATATTCAATATTCCATTAAATAATAAAAATGTTATAATCAATAAGTAAGAAAATATAAAATAAAATGGATATAAATAATTTAAAACATACACATAAATAAAAATTAATTCAATCGCCGCGGAGTCAGATTTGCCTAAAGTCAGATTCGCATAGCACACCGGCACGTCACTAAATGTGATTTGTTTATTAGTGCCGTTTTTTAGACTTTCTCTCGTGCATTTTAGCGTATTTATTATCCGCCTTACACCTTAATTGCAGTGTTTACGGATTTTAGGAACCACTGGGCTCTCTTATCAAATATTGCCAACGGAACGTATGCAATTTTACCACTAAGGCAATAAATCAAAGAAAACGTACTTACTTATTTCAGCATGTATTTCACCCTTTATTTTTAGTACATAACATAAAAAAATAATATAATATCATAAATCCTAAATTATATTATGTTAAAATTTTAAATCTTGATTTGTATCACTTGCAATTGAATAAATAACATGAATTACATAGTTTCAACTAAAGACAATCATTAAAAGTACCTAGGTTTCAATAATTCATATTAGAGGGTGTTATTACCATTATTATTTGTGTTCATTAAAAAGTGAATTGTGATTATTAGTCTATTCATTATAGTAAGCATTTAATTTATAAGTATTTTATTTTAACAAAATAGAGAATAGTATTTTTTATGGTGGTTATTAATGTAAAATTATTTAAAATTATGTAATTTTTCCAGTTACACAGTATACATGAGTGGAAAAATGCCTAATAAAGTATTTATCGAAGAACATTTAAAGCATTGTTTAGAAAATTTGTCTACCAAAGAATCGTATATTCCAGGAGTTATTGTAGGACAAGTACGTAACTGAGTATAAAATAACTATAGTTATCATTATAGAAATATGTATTATGTATTATATATAATAAATAAATTAATAATTGCATGTTAATGTATACATCTATATTTATAATATATTTTCAAATTAGGTCATAGGTGAAAATTATTATGTTGTCCATTTATCAGCAATAAATATACAGAATGAACACACAAACAAATCACATGCTCTGGTTTACAATTGTCCTAGTGATCTTATGATTGATAGTAATAGGATATTTCAAAAATCATTAGAAGTAATCAAATTATATTTTTAAAATAGTTTTAGTTTCTTTTAGTGTATATAGTGTAGTAAGCTCATGTCATTTTATATTTTACTTATTTTTAAGTATAAAACTTTGTGATGTACCTATCTAATACATTTTTATAATGTATTTCTACAGGTTGTAAATTTATTGCCTGGAGGTTCACATGTACTTGGTTTATTTTTCATTGTTCCTCAAGATTTAAAAAGCGTTCAACCAATAAACATCAATTTTCACGAATTCAATAATCTATTAGTTGAAAGTCCACTATGTGACAAAAACAAATCATGGAATTACTTACAGCTAAACTATTCGACAGTTAATAAAAAGTAAACATTAAAAAATTAAAGAGGTATTTATATTAAGTATAAACCTTATACTAATAGACTGGACTTGCTTATAAAGTAGCTAAGGTAGTACCCGGTCAGACATACTACAGTGGTGTACAGTAAATTCACATCAGTTTTGTCATTGTGTGTTTACAATGTACAATAATATCACGTAAAAGTCACAAGTCACACGTGAAGAGCACCCTCTATGACCATTCTACGTGTACAAAAGGCTTGTCTATTAGTATAAGGTCTATGATTTTAAGTAAATTAATTAAGTTTATTTTTTAGATCATTTTGTTACACAGTTGATTTTAATAGTGTAACTACTCCCATAACAACAACATATAAATCAATAAGCGAGATTTTTGGATCATTTGATAATGATTGGGTAACTCTTGTTGGAAAATTTAATTTTGATGCACTGGATCGGTTTAATGTTTCAGGTGGGCCAAAAGCTTTAATTTCTATTAGACAGGTATAGTTTTTCATTATTATTAACGATATTAAAAAGACTACACTAATTTATTGGTATTTTTTTTTATAGATTTTATTAAATAAACTTGAATCTATCTTAAATGGATCAGTATGCACTTTCAATGGAAATGTATATGATGAAAATCAAACACTTAAAGATTTTGAATGTAACAGAATGGGCGATTTATTAACAAATGTTATTAATGTAGAATTTTACAGAAAAGTATTAATCAAACTTATTAACATTTTAATTGATATTATAAATACTTACAAGTGTAGTTAATATTTTAGTTAGATCCAGGCAATGAATGTAAAAAAGCTTCTCTCAAGGTGGAAAGAGGAAAAGGAAAAATATTGATGTCAGGTTTATGCAGTTTAGCTGTACCATTTAATCGTAATGGCACAATTAAAAGCGCTATTAAGGTAAACTAATTATGTATTATTACTGCTTGCTTAAAACCAAATCTATAATTATTATTTTTATTTTTAATTAATTTTTAAAAATCTGCCATATTTTCTATTTTTTAAAATTAAATTAAAAATAATTAATTATTAACAACTTACTTAATATTTGTATTAATTATTTTAATAAACATTGAAATACATAAATTTTACATGGTACAATCAAAACTCTTTATAACAAATTTTAAGGTACCAAGAGATTTATTTTGTTGTAGAGAGTTTTTGCAATAGAAAAGTTTAAAGAACTTATGCATAGGTTGTTGTAAACCAAAGAAACAATTATTAAGTAATTTTTACATTAGTTTTTCATTATAAAGAGTATTCACTGTATAATATAATAGGTATATTTAGATATGTAGTTTTATATTAGATACTAAACATTTTAGAAATAGAAACCCATATATATGAAATAAACTAGTCATCTATTTTTATATACAATTAAAATGTGAGGAGATATATTTGAAGTTCTACAGAACTGATGTGTTTGGTGTGTAGATGAGCCAGTTTATGAGAAAAGTTCTAAACATTGATTAATTAAAGAATAATTAGAAATATTAGATATTACCAGGCTTGTTTTAAAAAAAGTTGTTATAACCGCAATGATATGCTCTTAAAAAATTAATTTTCCAAATATTAATTTTATTATTAATAGACACTTCCTTATCAACAGAATTACTGAGTAATAACAAAGATCATATAATTTATCACTGTCATTTTCTTTTATGACTATTACCGAAATATAAACTGATAAACTAAAATATAATATTAACATTGTAGGAAATTTTAATTTTTTTTTCTTTGAAATGACATATTGTGTTAATGACGTTAAAACTTCAAAATATGCAACAAAAAATTTTGTATTTGACTTCCTGGCTATTTTAAATAAATTTGTAACTTACTTAGGTGTTACTATGATTTTTCAAAACAAATATGCAAATGCTACAAGTCACGAGCCTTGGTTATTACTTAACGCGTAGTTATATATTGTCTGCAGTTACTACTTTACTCTAAGAGGCTGTCCACTTTATATCTCAATATTTAACATCTACAAGATGACTGAAATGGAGGTGGTTTTAGGTATTTTTGAAATAAATTTTTTTTTTTATTATTTAATTTGTCACATAGTACCTTATTTTGAATGATAAATTTCCGGTAAATAATGATTAACTACAATAGAGATAAGAGTGGAAACGTGTATGGACACTTCAAATTGATTTTATTTTATTGGTTTCTGTTTTAAAAGTATTGAACCCGGGAAATATAGCTAGTTTACGATATATCCTGAATTAATTATTATATCTTCAACAATCTACTACAATCAGTAATGCACTTTTGTTTAAGTTAAAACCTATTGAAAAATAAAATTGAATTACCAAAACAACAGTAAATCAATATTTTCAAAGTAATAAGTATAATTTATTTTTTTTCTAGGCTATCCATGAAGATGCTATGCGGACATTCACAATCCGTTTGAATATGCATTTGCAATTATTAGCCGAAGAAGAAGATATCGAAGAAGAAGGTTCTTCTATAGACGTGTATAATATGTATAATATAATAACACAAGTTATTATTATTTTACTTTAGATGATGATACCCATATCGTGCATGAAACTCCACGGCGAATCTTAATTTTAAAAACTGAGGGTTCTAGATTTGTATTCAGTGATTATGTATTTCCTGGTGAAGCTCCTCAAAGTTCATTATCTGTAGCTGGAGAAATATTGAACCTTCCCGAACAAAATATGAAATTATGTGATGAATTGGAGAGAGGTATAAAATAATTATCTTAGCATTTATAAATTAATTTTTATGTTACTTACATTTATTTGTTTTAAAGGCCGACATTCATACTATGAGACATTACCAGATATGGATAGTAATTTAACACAAGATACAATTGCTGTGACTACCAATAACCACATAATGCTGTATTTGTCATTGATGGCTGTGTTAATAGCCATCTTAGGATATTCTATTGTATACATGTAGTACAAAGTTTAATATTTAAGTTATAATTAATTTAATGACTAAAATTAATTGCATTCCTTGCAGTAGGCAAACAAATATTGGTTATCTTTAACTGTGGTTCCAGTTGTATTGAAAAATGTGAAATATTGTCTGTATATTATTATTTCTGTGTTATTACTTTTTAAAACATTAATTTATATTTTATATATACTTCATTAGCCCCTAAAAAAAATTAATATATTTTATTTCTACTTAAAAACAGACTATTTACTTTTTATGCAGATTTTTAATCATTTTTTGATTTTCAATAAAGTATTACCTATTAAAAACTTTTTTTTTTTTATTACTCATAACAGAACTGTATATTTGTCAATTAATGTAATAAATATTTGGTACTTTATTTATTTAATCAAATTAATAAGTTAATAAAAATCACGAATTTACTAGTTATAGTTGCTATGGAACAAAATCATCAGAACATTTATTTGAAAAAAAAACAATTGTCTACCTTAATAAAATAAGTTAAGAAATATTATTAATGAAAAAACATAAAAAAAATAGAAAAATTTACAAACATGTATAAAAGATACTTACCTCCAAATCATTTTTTTTAAGCAATGGTTTATCATTTTGTACAGATGTAAATTAAATTTTCCTCTATATCCTATACTCCTAACTTCTCATCTATAACAATGGCCCACCCATTGGGCAAAATATGTCCGCATTTTTCAAATTATGTTTTGAAAGTTATATCTTTAAGATGGTGACTTTCAGCAGCACATTACTGTAAGCGATTTCTCAAGTTTATATATAATATTTGGTATGTTTCGATTGACAAGGTTGCGTTTTCTTTAGTGATTCTCTACTTCAGATCTTCTAAGGCAGCAGCGACCAAACAGTCAATCACAGATAATTTAAATGTCTATCTCCATTTTATAAGAATTTATTTTTATGTTATTAATAGATAAATAACAATTGCTAATAATTTTTATCTTAATAATATATCTTTATTTTGTTGTAAATTTATCAATTAATATAATTCACCAGTTTATCGTGGCAATTGTATTTACTATAATATTATATTATTAAAAATTAGTGTGGTGACTGATGAAAAACATTATTTAACTATGTATTTTAGTTTTATTATTTAGTACATGTATTAATAATACCTATTAGGTAATTTATAATTGAACATTTTTGTTAGGTAGTGAATCTCCAAAGGAAAAAATATATTCTCGGTAGATTTTTACCAAAAAAAGTTTGGCCACCACTATTCTAGGGTAAAGAAGCCATGTTGAAAAACTGCTGTTTATTCATAGATCCACAGAGAAGAAAATGGGCCTCATTGCTACAGAAAGAATTTGCTGAAGCATTCCCATTAGGGAATTCCTTAATTTTTTGATCTTCATCAAATGTTAATGCTTCATTAATGTCTGCCATTAATTTCACACCCCTTTCAGCTGTATCATTGACTATTTTGAGTGAATTTATTAATTCTTTACCATTAATAAAACTAATATGACTATCCCACGTTTTTGGATCGTATTGTAAGAAACTTGTATTGGTACCAAATCTGGTGAATAATTTTAAGCTATTTTCTGAAATAAATTTATCAATGTTAATTTCTGTAAAATATAAAAAAAATTGTATTAGTTTTTATTATTATTTAGTTTCTGTTAATTTATTTACTCACCATTAAATTTGTCATCAATTTGATATGGTTGAAGTATCATTTGTTTAATCGAGTTAATAGATGATTTATTCTTAAGAGCTTTTATCATTAAATGTTTTGTTTCAAAAGATATAGGTTCATCAAAAAACGATAGAGCAGCAGCTTCTGTTAAATACTACAGGTGATTACATAATTTTTTGATAGCGGCTGTAGATATTTGACTCAACAGTTTTGTAGAATTTTAAAGCTTTAATCAATTGTAAATCTAGGTTTGGAGCTTTTGTTGGCAATGAACAAGTAAACTAAGCTTTGACATAAAATGTAACAATCAAAATACAAACTTCTCCAATTGCTTTTTTCTTAGTGGCAAAATATAATATTATTAAATAAATTTAATTAATTTAAATAATTTATATATATATATATATAAATATTTTCAAACAATAAATAGCTCGAGTCATCCATCGAGTTTGATGCATTGGACTCGGTGGACAAATTTTAATTTTTTTCGGAATTTTCACAAATAAATATTAGTATCAATTTTAAAAACTCAGTAATCACCGGGAGAATTTTTAATTTCCAATTGACTTCACGCAAAATTAAGAATATTTTCTATGGCATTACTATAATGACCTTCTAATCCATTTATAAAATTACTAGCATCAATATCAATCCACTTTTTTAGAACATTTTTGAATAATGGAATTGCTGGGCTCGTAGTTACTTGTAGTATTTTAGTTTCAAAAACACTTTTTAACACCAACTAGTATATGAGATGTCTACAAGGGAGATAAAGTAAATCTTTGCTTAATTTTTGTTCAATAAAAATGCATGCTCCATTCAGTCGGCCTGTATTGAATGGAGTGGTATTACAACATATGCCTTGTACAACATTCAATAAACCCCATTCTTCTAAAGTATTATATACAGCTTTTGCTTGTTTTCACCTGTTGACCTCTTAAGTATTGGTACTCCGATGATCTGTTCAATATTTTTACTAGTTACATTAATTGGAAGTCGTTCAACTGTTGTATTTTTGATGTGAACATTAGGCAATAATTTTTCATCTCAGTAAATTATAACAAAACTTGGGAGATTCTTGAAACCGTGATTTTATAATTTTAGCAAGTTCACAACAGTACATTTCTCATGCTCTATGAATTGAAGTTTGATTTATTATAAAATCATTGTCGTATGCTAATGCCTCCAATGTTGCCTGTAAAACGTAAAAATAGTCACGAACACATAATTTGCACCTATCCAAAGCTCCAGCTAATTTTTGTGTAATACAATTTATTTTTCCTCGCCTTTTTTATCTTTTAATGGTGACAATTGTTTGTTTCTGTGCAACACTTTTTTTGTATCTGATATTTCATAATTTTCTGAACTATCAGTTTCGCTCTCCACGTAATCATTAAACTGTATAGAATTATCGAAGTTGACGCAAATTTTGCTTCTTCACAAAGAGTTTGTTTGTTTAATTCCAGTTTTTTGGGTTTCTTTACGATTTTTTTTAATCATTTCTTTTTTATCAACACCACCGAGACATCCAGGACGTTCGAGAAGACGTTGGTTTATTAAAAATTCTCTATTTACATCAATTTTCATTATGTTTAATGTATTTGAATGTGAAATATCAAAAAGATTATCCAACATCACTATAAACTCATCTTTTTTTTTCGATAAATTTCGCCAGTTATAATAGAATTTTTTTGTAAGCTTCGCCAGTTATCGTACATTTTTATCAACTTTATAACACAATATTGTATAGCCCTTGTCGGAATTCTAGCTTTTTCCTAAAATATCATATATTCTCGAATTAATAAATTTGCACTTTGGTGAATATTTAATTTTACAGTTCTTAAATTAAAAAAAAAACCTGAAAAACTTGTTTTAATTATGGAAATTTTGAACCTAAAATTTGAGGTTCTGTAGATTCAATTAATAATATATATTCGTCTTTTCGAAGTTTTACAGACATAATCAAAGTTTAATTCTAATTAATTAATATAAATTACAATAATTGTATAGATTCTTAAATAAATAAGTTTAATACACACGAACACAAAACTAAAAACACGATACACGTAACAAGACGATTCGTACTAAATAAGTCGCTAGATTTTTGTTGGGGACTATGATAAAATTTATCTGTCAAACGATAAACATACGATAAGACAAAATTATTTAAAGAATTATCAAGTGCAATGATATATGAACTCTTATATTTGATGATATTAAATATTTAATGGATATTTACAATTAACAATAATATTTTTAGTTAAAACAATAAACATTTTTAGTATACGATATTTTTGTATATTTAAGTTCATATATCAGATGAACAGTAGAAGGTATTAAAAACTTGATAAAATATAATTTATAGACAATTTTGTTTTATTTAAAACATATTATAAAAAAAATTTCGATTTACTTTACGGTTTGAGAAATATTTAAGAAAATATAAAATTTCCATTGATATTGAAAAATTGAACTAATTTAAACTTACGTTCAATTCGGCACGGATTAATCTTGTTTGATTGACTCAAAATGTTTCGTAGTTCATTTTTATATACATACACAAGTTTTCAGGGGGTGAAACTATACAAATTTTGATATTTTTCTTTCATCATCTATAACTAAGGAACGTTCTAATTCCTATAGTAAGTAGCAGCACTTAAATTTTGGACAATCACTAATTCGTAAGAATGAAATGATAAATCTTCATGAAGAATTCTCCTCAATGAGCAGTCTGAGATTCTCAAGATTACTTCTAGTCTCTCCAAATTGTAAAATCCAAAATTGAATATAGAATTAGACTTATGCATATCTAAGGGGAGCTTAGCGCCCCACCTATTAAAGATAAGCTATCCAAAGAGCTTAAGCAATCTTAATTTAAAAAAGACGGGACTGTCTTGGAGTTCATGTGTGCGTAATGGTAATCGTGGAGTAACTGCTGTTCTCCTACAATCTACATATTGGTATTTAAAAGTTTTAAAATAATAAAAGACGTCCTAGGATAATGAGGATGGATGCAGTTACTAATGTAGGTAATTTAATGTATACCTGTAAGCAACGATAAACCATTGCTAACAAAAAAATAAAACTTTGAATGGAGTTTAGCTAATAGTGATGCTTTGTCAACAATATATATGTCATATAATAGTAAAATAATTAAATAGGTTTTAAATATTATCTTTAATAATATTTGTTTAATGTTGCACCGATTTTCCAACTTTTCCTATATTTTACCACAGTTCCTTCCCAGTAAAATTACCTTTCAGAAACATTGCTACATTATAAATTGCAACAAAATTGCTGGTGGAAAAGTTATTCACCGTAAAAAAAGTCATAATAAATTTTAACTAATATCTACATTCCTTATATTTTTTAGTTTTTTAAATTTGATGAGAAAATCAAAAAATTACTTGTTCAAAGTACCTCCCTAGTGAAATTTCTTTTTAGATAAATTTTTTAAAAAAAACAATAAAATTGGTAACAATGCACAGAAAATGTTTGATGTTTTTCCCAATTATTTTGAAAATTCCTTGGAAAATCAAACAATGATCTTTCTAATGCACCAATTAGATCCAAAACTCAATAAAAAACGGTTTCTTAGCATTTTTTGACTAAAGCAAGTTTTCTGTTAAAAAAGTGGTATGAAATAAACATTAAAACGAATAAATCCTTCAGGATAGATAATTTCAGAATCTAAAATTATGGTATTAAAATTGAAATAATTTAATACATTATTATATATTAATTCATACAATATTTCATCACCTTATATCTTCCATACAACTATGTAACTTCTAAGTTTTACATTTTTTTAAAATTAATGATCTATTATTATGATTTGACGATCTTAGCCATTTATCTATATTCAGGATCAAATTTTGATTTTTCCATATTTAACTGCAAGTTTTTTCTTTACATTTTCTTAATCATGTTTAATAATGAATCTAGCTCGAGCTACAACATAATAATACCTATGGTTAAAATGAGATTTAAAATTGTATTATCCAAAATAGATTTAAGATGTTTGTTAACTTAATAATTCTTAAATTATGTATTATTAACATTTGTTTATTTTATTATTTTAATATGTTAAATCTTTAAATATTATTTTTTTGGTTTAGCCTAGTTATTAGTAATTATTAGAGGTGAAGCATAGGTTCTGAAATTTTTCAAAAAGAATACATATAAATTTATACTTTTTTACCAATAAGAGTATTGTGTTAAACTAATAAGTTTAAAAATAAACACGCTTTTCATAAAAATAAAAAAAATGTTTTTAAAATATGCTACTTTTACATGCTTGCACAATTACACCCTCTACTTAACGTCAACATACTATTGGCCTTATTGTTTGAATCACTGTACATTCTATCACAACTGGCATTTAGTTAAATCATAATTAGTATTTGCAAATTGCTGTATCTTTCTCAACAACAATCATCATTAACAGATCAACATTCAACTTGGTATACATAAGTTGTATGTAGAAATGTAGTTTTGTTTTAATAAACTTTACATTAAAATTAAATATGCAGATGTAGATTACAAAACAAATTTAACAAATGTGTAGAATAGGATAGTATAGGATTTGATATTAAAATTTCTTATACAAAAAAAAAATACTACATTAAAATTGTCTGGAAGAAAAGTTGTTTGAAAAAAAAAGTACAAAAACATAAGTCATGGTAAAATAAATAGATCCCTCACTACGCTCTGAATCTAAAATAATACAGAATTGTTACACTTGTGTCTATTTATATAATTATAATTATTAATTAATAACAATTGTTTATATCTGATTAGGTCAATAGTTGGAAATATTTTAGCATTCAATGCAAATAAATTTTTTATCAAGTTAATTAATCTCAACATAAAATGCTGAAAATATAAATACTAATTATTGAACATCACAAGAATTAAATATTCTAATAGTAAAAAAGAATTATTTATTAATTTAAATAGCTGATATACAATGCAGTTAATAATCACAAAAAAATGTATAAATAAATAAAATAAAATATAGACAATATAAACTTGAATCTAAAGGCATATCACATATTAATAAATTACACTATTTTCACTTATATTATCTATTAAGATATTTGTAGAATCTATTTTATATTGAAAGGATTATAATTTATAGGGACTATAAAATGATCAAAAATTACTTTAGTAAGAAACAATAATGTAAGGTAATTACCCATCTGAACTTAAGGTAGAAAATGGACATATGTGAATAATCTTAACCCTAACAGACAACGTGAGTATTTAACAGATATTCATAAAAATAAGTAATAATTTACTTTACCAAACATTAATAATTATTCACCAAAAAGATTTAGTTTTACAAATGCAAACAAAAATATAAATATATATATATTGCTTTACATAAAATATTAGCATAGGTACAGTTAGCAGCATAATCACATTGATCTAGGTTTTTTTAAATTGTTTCCCAAAAAAAAAATAAATATAAATTAAATATGGTAATCACGTATAAATAATTAATTAATATAAATTAAAATGGCATAGTATGCACATCAGACACCTAGAACCCTATTATGATTAAGTTGCTTTATTATTACTAAAATATTAGTTTTAGATTTAATAGAAATATTAGAGAACTTATTTATTTATAATTGTTTATGACAAATACACCAATCAAAATAAAACATTTTTTTTTTTTTTTTTAAATTATTCTTATTTCATATAATTCCATATGCTGATTAAATGTAAATTACAATCTTAAATTCAAAAAAATTTATAATTATAGCTGAGATTATTTATTCAATAGAAATGATCAAATATTGAACTTTACTACTTCTTCATAGAACAATATAAATGAAATACAATAATATTCACACATGCGCGTACATAAATATTGTATGTATTATATACTTAGGGGTATGTATGTGTGTTTGGGTAAATAAACGATAATCATTAACTAGTACTTGGCTGAGTCCATCAGTGTTGCAGGCGAATTAGATTGAGGAGGTGGATTGGGCAATTGAATCTGTGATCCAGTTGGTATTCCACCACTAATTATACTAGTAGATGATAGTGGCACAATAGGCTTAATAAAACGTTCACTTACTGGACGACCCAGAGACAGGGTTCGAGATTGATTAATCTAAATGGAATATAGAATTAAATAAATGTTTTTTTTATTTATAGTAATAACATAAATAAAAACAACTAATTTGAATGGACTTACCACTTGAGTAGTGGGACATAAGGGTGTCGTTTGTGCTCCTATGACGAGATTTGATGGTAAATTTTGGCCGCAAACATAACATCGATTCATGTTGGCATAGCCTAATACACCAATTTCGCCACGAAACACTCCTAAAATGAAAAAAAAAAACATAATTAATCAATGAAAAATGTTATTTATTGTAAAATTAAATTATGATTTAGAAATGCATATATAAAATTAAAAACGGGGAAAGTTAGCTCTGATACATTTAATTATAATTGAGTAGTAGTAGTATTAAGTAAATGCCTATTGAAATGTATGTAATATATTAATATTTGTATCACATTTTTATAAACAGCCTCTGGCCCTATTGGTTTTGTTTTAAATCAAAAAGCTATCTGCCCTCTACTTACACAACTCACGGATGGACAAAACACTTATCGTCTACACCTCCACCACCGCACTTCCTTTTTTTCTGTTCTGGCGATGAAGATATACTACCCGCTTCTGTCGTATCTATCGTACAATACAAAAGTAACAACATTTACATACAGAACCCATTTACATAAACAGTAGGCATTCACTTATTACAATATTTATACAAAAAAAGATTATAATTTGTTATTCATCATTTATTTTACTAGTAAAATATTTTTACCTGGTGTTCCCGCAGCAGATCCAGGACTGAGAGGCCTAGATTGGCAAGGAGAAGGAGGAAATGGAAGTGGACTTGATGATGTCCGGCATCTATTAGAAGCCATTTCATTATACTGACGTTCTTCTTCCATTTCCAAACTGCTTTCAGATTCTGATAAATGTCGACATAATGCTGTGCGTCTTTCCACTTCAAGTTGTAACTTTCTCTGTAATCGCAAATTGTCTTCACGGACTTGACGCTCTTCTTTTGCCATTTTTTCCATTTTTTTAGAATCTAGAGAAGTACATAAAGATTAATTTCAAATGTAAGTATAACATAAGTGTATTCGATTTTTTAAATGACCAGAGTATTATTCATTTATTTAAGAACATAAATTTTAAGCAGAACTATTTTGGATGAACAAAAAATAATCTTTATTTCATCAAAGTGTAAAGTTCTATAAATGTAAATGATATTGAGTGAATCTTGTTTAGGTATCTTTTCAAAAAATGTCAAATTTTTAAACTACTAGGTATACAAAATATAAAATTTTTACTAAATAATATCTTTAAATAAAATATATAAAAAAAAAAAAAAAACTTTATTTCTAGCTAGTTCTTTAAAAAAATTAATTTACAGATAAACAGAAAGGAGAGCAATATATAAAACATATTATGAAATACCAAACAGAACTATTTTCAGTTGATTTTATATTTTGTTATACATGTGTTTAAAACACATATATATATTTCTTGAGGATTAAATTAATACATATACTTGCTTTCTTTTTTAGAAACATCAAGTTGATGACGCAATCTGGTAACTTCTCCACGCAACTGTTGTAAATGAGCACTAATATTTGTTGCCGTTTCTCCTTTGTTGGGCCCTACTTGATCCCTAGGTAATACTGGGTCGGAAACAGGCTGATCCAGTTTGATTTGTAATTGTCTATAGAGATAAATTTATATTTTAAGTATATACCTAACTAAAGCTCAGATATTTACCTTTTCTCTGCTTCTAATTTATCCATACGTTTCCAAAGTTTATTTACTAAAGCTTCTTGTTCTTGCTCTAATGTATTTTCCAAGTCAACTTTTTCACGGCGTAACTGTTCTAATGTTGTTTGTTTAGTCAGAGTTTCAGCTTCTAATTTTTCAATTTTACGCATAAGCCGATTAACTAAACATTCTTGTTCCTGTTCTAAAGTCTGTTCTAATTTACATTTTTCCTGGCGTAACTATAATAATCAATATAAATATTTCAAAATTATATAATATATCTATATATGTGATATAAACATTGTAACTTTTATGAGACCAAACAAACCTGAGTTAATTTCCGTGATAGATCGTTTGTTAAACATTCTTCTTCTTGTTCATAATGATGGGCAAGCGTCTCCTTTTCTTTTTTTAAAGCTTGAATTTTTTTTAAAAGCGTATTGCTAATAAACTCTTCCTCTTGTTCCGCTCTTACTTGCTAAAAAATTAATAATCATAAGACATTTTTAATTAACTTACAAAATAAAAATTTAATTGAAGTTAAAACTATTAATATTAACTATGTTATTACAAAAATATAATTTTTAACTGACAGATTTGAACTTTTGTATAATTTTTTTATCATTAAAATTAATTATTTATCAACATAATATGTCTAGACCAAATTAGAAGTTAAACAAATATGAATAAAATAATAATTTTCAGTGATAATGAAAATGATTATTAAACAACAAATATATTACAAATATTATAAACTGAATAAGACTGTCTACTAAATAAATGAAAATGAAATATAAATTAGCCTTTAAGTTAAATTTTAATAATTTAAAAACAAATAAATATTTACAAATGTTTTAATGCATACTTTACAACAATAAATTATTTTTCAAGTCTAGGCATGACTACAGAGATTATATAAATATATTTACTTCAAATATAATTTGTGTAAAGCAAACTGAATTTATTTTTTTCAAAAATAATATAATAGGCTATAATCTCAATAGATACTTACATGGCTACCTATTTAAAAAAAATAAAAAGGTACCTATTGTTGATAGAATATTACAAATATAACCTAAAACTTCTTAAAAATTGATTAATACATTATAGGAAATTTCATCCACCTGATCCTAATACCTAAAAAGTAATATTAAATGCTTATACATAACTAAGTACTTATTACTTACAATATAAACAGAAGTTTCTCGTAGCCGTTTACACTCCTCATCCATTGCTTTCATTTTTAACTTATAGGTTTCCAGCTCTACTTTAAGTACACGGTTTTGTTGTTGTAAAGAATCAATTCGTTTTTGCATTTGTTCTCTTGTTATTGGAGACGGGGGCATCATAATGGGCCCTCCATCGATTGACGATGAATCACTTTCGCTAGCACTATCAGCCATAATTGTGAATATGAACCTATATGGGTACAAAGAAACAAAAATTAAAATCGTAAAATTCCTGATACGGTTCAAAAATAAAAGAACTCATGTGATAAATTTGAGCCAAATGTTAAATCGGACAAGCAATACAGGACTTATAGAAGACACCCTCCACACACATACACACAAACACACACATTTACAAAACGATTTATAGTGTCAACATACCAGAAGTACGAATAATTATGTTGATCTTCCCAATAATTGATTGTAAAAAAAAAGTATAATTGCAATCTTTAAGAATTATTAATACAAATATTGCAGATAATATTAGAAAAAAGTAAAAACATGAATCTCTAAATGAAATGAAAATAATAATAAATTTTATTTTTTGAACAGTATAGTCAAATTTGAAGATCTTTACATAACCTACAAACCCTGGAAAATAATTATTGTATGGTTGCACTGCTGTTTTTTTCCAGACTTGTTACTACACATAAATATCAACTGTGGAAACACGGTTTTATCTACAATCGTGGGTATCAGTATTCCATGATAATGCTAGGCGATTTAACCGTTTGATAAGAATGAACGACCTGTTACCTGTATGAACGTTAGTATAACTAGTTAATAGAACACTGTATTACTATAATCAATCTGTAGTATGGCAAATACTTCAGAAATTTAAACAGACAACAGTCAACAGTATAAATTACAGTCACATTATAAGGCTTATAGTGCCTTTGTATAATAGTCTTGTCGCCGTTATTTATATTTAATATTTACGCGTGTTACGCGGTTGTCGAGCTTTTTTGTTAGTGGAACGTCATGTTGGAATTGGACAGCAGCTGTACGCCGCCAAAATGGAAACGGCCAGAAGATGTGATGAAGATGCACCGTATGAAGATGAAAAAACGTGCCCTACAAAATCGATTTGTCAAATCGATGGAAACCGCATCGTCTTCACAAATTCCAAAAATTGATCCAGTAGGCCGGATGGTTGTGCAAAGATCTCCGTCCAAAAACCCGTTTAGGTGAGCGTAATACATTTATTCTGTTATGATGGGATCAAATAATATGTAACCACTTGATTATTTGTAGACGAAAAACGCCAGTCAAGAATAAGCCACAGGTGGACCCTAGACTGGCATTGAAAAGAGCCAGAGTTGAGTACAGTGACGACAATGCGTGCACATCCAACCTATCCAAAGTATTACGAGACTGTGAGTCCATTCCATCTGTTTCACAGTTTCATGCTCTAGATGAAAGCGTTATCTCATTTGTAGACGTTCTACGCACTGTTAAACCAGTGACTGTTATTGAAGAAGTAATAAATACATAACCTATTATTTGATGCTTTTACTTTAAATTTGTACCATTACTTTTAGGAAATTAAAGAAATAGTAGGCAAATCAGACTTACCAGTTGACTGGACATTACGAACTAAAGTACGTTTTTTATCTCCAAATACATTTCCATGGAGCCAAAAAATTAAAACATGTGAAGAAGCATCAGCGACAACCGGGTAACTTTATGACTCACTCTGGCACTTCTAAAAAATCAAATTAATTACTTATTCTTTATTTAAATATGTAGATTTGTGAGATGTCTAGACACTGATAACGATGAACATTCATTAGATACTAGTCCAAACAGCAGATTCCATCAGTGTTGTATGGCTTGGCAACATCCATCCTTACCTTGGGTGGACCTTATTCATAGAGGTCCACGTATTGCAATTAGAGATTCATCCAATAATATGCCTTCAGTTAATGCAAATTCTGTATTCAGAGAATCCCTTTTTACCCACTGGATTGATAGTTTCCGATCATTATTTCAGGTAAGATTTGATATTTTATCAAGTTTATATAAAAAAATGTATAAATATTTTTTAAATTAATAACTAGTAATAGTAATTTTCTACTAGCTTGTTCGAGCTAACCAATGTCCTTACTTTTATGTTCTTGCCAATGCATTCACATGTACCTTTCGAGCGTCGAGCATTGGTGGTTACAAGGAGCTAAATGCAATGATTTATCCAACTACCCAAGGGCTTAGAGATATTCTTAGACGTGAAGGTATATCATACAAATTATATTTTTAACGGCCTTGCTTAATGTTTTACAATTGTTTACATAGACATAGAGTTCACAATGCCATTACTGGAAGAAGATGAAAATGGTAGTGAACTATTTTCTGGGAAATTATCAGAAGATGTCAAAATTGCAGAGGATGAAGAACCCGAACGGTGGTTAGAAACAATGGGTGCTGAACAATCTGAAATTAAACGTTTACAAAGTTCACAGGTACTTTTTTCAAAAGTTTATTAACTGTATTATGTGAATTATAATTCTTCTATTGAACTATATTTTTAGAGTGAACTCGTATCAACCCGTCAACGAAAAATAGATAGTACTAAAGAATCCTTGGTGCTCGTAACTGGTGTTGAAGCCCAAGCTCTATTTAATTGGTTGATAAATTGCCGTTCGGCCGTATCAAATACAGGACCTCATGCAGGTATACCGCCTACACTTTTAGCGCCTGTAGCTTTTACTGGAGCTACCTTAACACCACTTAAAGTAAGAATCAAATTATTTAATCAATTTTTAAACAAACTTACACCCAAAATTTAAAAACATGTACAATATGAATAACACATAAATCTTTAATATGAATCTTACACTTCATATAATTTAAAATTAAAAATTTAATTAACTCAACAGAACTAAAAGAAGAATGAAGGGTAATGTTGGCTTAATAAAGAAAGACCTATTCCAAATATATTAGTTTGTTTTACATAAGGGGATAAGGAATGGAGTATTATTTACAGGTGAAATTGAGTATATGTACATCAAAGTATATTAAAGAAAACTGAATCAGTAGAGCCGGTAACAAGATCACTGATAAAAGAAATATTGGCAAGGTTTATCAGAAAATAGTTAATTGGAACCTATTTAAAAGGAACAGAACTGTATCAATGGGAAGGATAGACTATTTGTAAAATAAAGCTCACAAATACTTATATAATCTATGATATGGATTATTACTAGGAAACGGACTTTAATGCCATAAAAAATAAGAAAAATGTCCTAAAAAATACGACTTAATGCCTTAAAAAAATGCCCTAAAAAACATTAATTTTTTTTTAAATTCAATAAAAACTATTTTGAACTTACAACTTTTAAAAAACACATTATTATGAACAATTTACCTAATAAAAAATATTTTCTGTAAATATATATATAAAAATATAGTTCAATTATCTTCTTCATCTTCTTTTTACCCTAAAAATTATTTCCAAAAAATTAATAGGTACCTATACAATTTAGGTAGGTATATTCGTTATACTTTTACCTTGTGTTTCATAATAGCACTGTAATCAGATGCTGCTTAATATTCTCAAATATAAATCTTTGACGGTTATCGACCAGTGTTGTTTTGTATCTCGAGAGACTTCGTTCCACACCAACTGATGTCATAGGGGCAAACTTCATATGACCCATGTCATCAGCAGTTCTTCAGATATTGTATTATTTCGAGATGTTGCTTTTCCTTCCAAATATTTAAAATATGTTTCGTTGTTTTAAATCTCAAATTGTTTTCAATTACAGCTTCTAATTTTTTTTAATGGATTTTCCGATACTATTATTGTCTGTTCCGATTTTATTTTGTACTTAAGTAATAATATTTATTGCGTCAGCCAATGATAATCCAGATGTTTCTAATATAGTAATATATTTTGGTAAATTTCCATAATTTACTTTGATAAATGTCAACTTTAGTTCCAAATTATTATCATTTAACAGTTTTTGTGCATTCTCAATTACTACAGCATCTTCTTCATCAAACTCCATCACAATTGATAATTTTCACAATAGTATATGGCTGCCAATAACCATGTACCCCACCTAGTAAGTATTGGTTGAGGGGGCATTGGTATCCCTGGCACCATTTCTTTGAATTTCAATACTTGAGATGGGCATTTCAAGCTACTCTGTGTAGAGAATGTGCCAAACATATAACGTGTTCCATTTTTGAGTAAAATGCTTTAATATTTTTTCCTGCCTTCACCATATGAGGTGCTGCATCACTGAGAAATAGGAGTACATTATCGTCTTTAATACCCTCTGGCCATAACAAGCTCATAGATTTGTCAAATAATTTAGCTACAGTACTATAATTTGCTTTTTCTAAAACTTCGACATTAAATAAAAAAGTTTTACCGGGGCATCTAATTTCTAAAGTGCCGATTATGACATTAGTGACATATCGGCCTTCTATGTCTGTAGTCTCATCTATACTCACCCACAATTTTTTATTCTCCACGTAGTTCTAATAGAATTTATTGTATTATTGTAAGTATCACCCACATAGTTCTTTCGAATTGTGGATTTGTCTGGAATATGTTGGCCGATATACTTAGAAAGAAATTTGCGGAAATTTTCATTTTTCAGTTTAAAAAGAGGAATGTTAGCAGATACCATTGCAGTATAAAGATCTGTAATAAATATTTTTTGGCACAGTATTAAATAATGTCTGAACAACTTCACTTTTTTTATTTTTTTTATTTCTAGTGTACATAAATATTTTTCTCTACTCACATGTTGTGTTACAGTAAATTTTTTTTCGGCTGCCACTCTGACCTCACAAATCTTACAAAATAGAACGCTTCCACCGGTAGAAAAAATTGATTCCCCATATTGTTCAACGTATGAATGCAAACGACAAACATCTGAAGTTTTGGCCTTAGGCGTTTTCAAAAACTTTGTGGAATAAACAAACCTAAACTAAATAAATCTACGAAAATCACTCGAAAACATTAACGACGAGGCTATACGCTATACTAAACGATGAAGTAATGACAACTCAACAGTGCAATACAAAATTACAATTTAGATAAATAGATTATCTTATCTTTACTTGTATATATGTATATACGTGTGTCAACAATAATTTCATCTGGAGTCAGGGTTTATCCAATCGGTAAAAACATAATAAATATTTATTTAAATTTTTTAAGAATGAATGTTAATCTACATTTTTATCGAATTTTGTCCATTCCCATTCAAAAATTACTAAAAAACATAAAAATGCCCTAAAAATATCAAAACATGCAAAATAAAAGTTATATTTCTTAATTCCTTGATGTATGAAATGAACTTTGTGCTTGGAAAGCAATGTTTTCTGACATTTAGAAAAAAATGCAATTTGCATTCAAATTCGTTCCCTAATTATTACTATTATTTAATATTAAGACTAGAATAACATCTTAAAAAGTAGTTATTGTTTTATTAAATACTTCAGGTGAGACAAAGCATTGTGAAAGTCGATGGTCAAAGTTATAATTCAATAGAGGTTAAGGGTCCTGTTATGCCAGATGCTGTTTATAATTTTTGTGATTTATTGTCAAAATCTTTAATGAAGTTTACTGCGACATTTGCAAATTTAGAGACCACTAAACCTTTTACGTTGGCTTCAGAATCGAAAAAAGGTACAGATAAAACAATTTATCTAAATGTTTTCACTTAAAAACTACATTGTGTATTTTTGTTTAGATTGTACAAATAGTCAAAAGTCTGAAGACAGAGCAATACATTTATTCGGCCAACAAAACCTGAGTGATTGTGGTCTAAGAGATATAGTACTTAAAAAATTTTGTTTAGCAAATACTAAAGCATTTGATAGTGTAAAATATACTAAAGACAATGGATATTTTATCTCATGAACCATTTTTGGTTTGCCTAATTTTTACAAGATGATGTTACTTTCATTGATATATAATTAAATTTTAACGTTTACATATTATATATTATAATTAATTTATAATATGTATTATTGAAATATATATATATATATATACATATAATTTTTTATTATTGAATATGCATATAATTTATATATAAACAATTATTGTGAATTAAATGTATTAGAATTTTCTATCATATCATTGTATACAGAAATATAAATTGAATTTTTTCGTCCTATTTTTCCACTTTTTATGATGATAATAACTACATCTATATTTGTTCAATAATTATTTATAATACATGTATAACAATGCTTCTTATTAAAATGAGTCTTAATTAATTTCTCTTGACCTATGAGTCTTAACTTATGTTTTTATATGAATATCTAGTTTAAACTAATATCAACTTGATTTATGTAGGTACAGTGAAAACTATAACAAAACTTGTTACAACGAAAAACTATACAACATAAATAATATATTATAATGGTTGGTTTGATACACAACCTATTAATAAATTCATTCATTAAAGCGTAGTAGTCACTCTCAATAACGAAACAATATTTTTGTGTTTTTATGTTATAAATTATAAAAAAAAATTGTTATAAATGCTCAAGTTTCCAGATTATATTCTTTTATTATCGCAATAATTTGATTATTATCAACATAACATAAAACATTAAACGCATGATCACAGTAGTGCGCTTATAACTTTCGTTATGGCAATTAAATATATTGGTAAATTATATACCTTTATACATAAATAATTTAAATTTTGTTTTTTTATTAAACCCTTTCTGTATTACAAAAGCTCTATAGCGAAAGAAATCTCTTAGTCCCTTCAGATTCATTGCAGAGTTCATTGTATATAGTACTTACAACCTACATTTTATTTTATGCCAAGTTATGAACAGATTTATAAAAGATAGGTACTTTTAAAAAGTATTAAGTACAAATACAGATTTTATATTTTAATACGTCTAGGTACTTCACTTCAAAAATATTTCAGAAGTATGCACAAATACAGATATCTACGTAAGTAATTTTGAAAAGTATCTATTTAAAAATACTTTCTAGACGTAAATCTAGAATGTTAATTGTAGTAGACATAAGTCTACTACAATCTAATTTCATAATTAATTATCAAAAAACATATTTTTCTTTTTTAATTAAATAAGACTTTATTGGAGTTAAAAAATAATTATACTCTTTCAGTCTATCATACATAATCATAATAATATCATATATAACAAACAAAATAAACATAATTATAAGAACTTACAAATCAAAATAAAATAACGATTTATTTTAAAATTATACAGTGAATGTAAAAAGTATTCGTATACTCTACATTTTTAAATAAATATTCATTTTTCTTCATGATATTTTATTTTATGAATTAATACATGCATTTTATTCTTTTACGATTTTTAATTAAATTAAAAAAAAAAAACCATGACAATAGTTATATTAATAATAATATTCAATAACAAACAAAACAATAAATATATAATAGTAAAAAATAATAATAATAAAGAGTTGTATCGAAAAAATTCCTTTAAATTATTGTATAGCCCTATTTAGTACTTTGTAGGGTAGCCTGTGGACCTTATTATAGCCTCCAACCTCTTAGACATTGAATCAACCAGATGACGTGTTGTTTCTGCTGTGATTTTATTCCATTCCTCTTCTAGAGTTTTTTTTAGTTTCCTTACTTGAAATATTGTGATCTCGAATTTTTCTGTCCAAAAAATCCCACAAATTCTCAATAGGATTAATGTCTGGAGACTGTGGTGGCGTCACAAGATATTCAGTTACATTGTTCAACAACCAAGCCTTAACTTTTTCAGTAATCACTATTTTTTAAACAATTTCTAATTGTACTTATACAACCACGTACTCTAGAAAAATTCGCAAGATCTTGTGCTATTCTAGTAGCGCTTATTTTTAGATTCAATTTGACTTTTCGTTAAACTATACGTTTATCATGGTCAGAAAGTTTTTTTGGACGACCAGATCGTTACTTATTTTCGTGACTTTTCCGCTCACTGTATCGATCTATCACGTCTTTCACAGTGCTATGAGCTCTGTTGACAATTTTTGATATTTGACGTAATGATTGGCATTGATTATGCAACCGCAGAATTAGTTCACGTTCAGTTTTATTTGTCTCGCTTGTTTTCGACTCATTTTGTGGTAGATGACATTCCAATAATATTTCTAAGCTAACTGAGTTGGTATAATCTTGTAACGTGGTCGGGGACAAACTTTTAATGTGATATTTTGTATATATATGTGTCTCCCTTGTACAAATAAATATAATCAAACGGCGTTAAGTTCCAAACGAAAAATAAGCATCTCGCGGCGAAATGATATAAACCTGGTCTCAAACATACGGCCTGCGGGTTACATGTGGCCCGCAATAAAAATACATTTTGAAGAAAAATAAACGAAAATATTGTGAAAATTCTAACTTTTTTTTAGATAGATTATTGAATATTATCTGATGTTAGTAGTGTTTTATATTTACATTAATCGTTCAGAAATTCCAATATACTCGATAAAGTATTTAAAATACAGTAAACCTAATCCACAAAAATAAATAGCATTTGTATTTCGGTGTAGGTGCAGTAATAGTGGGTAACAGTTTGTGATCAGTGTTGTTTTGTTCATACTAGTAACTAGTTTATAGTTGCTATTCAAGTGTAATTTTAAATTTAAGTTTATACGCATGATTTGTTCGTTTAAATGTCTCATATCAAACCGATGAAACGTAAAACTGACCAAGAAAGACGGGTTTTTCAAGAAAAATGGGACTATGCATACTTTTTTACTAATTCTAATTCTCTTCTAATACGTTTGATCTGTAAACAAAGTGTATCTGTTATCAAGGAGTATAACATTAAAAGACATTATGACACAAATCATGGTAAGATTCACGATAAATTTGTAGGAAAATTACTCGAAGAAAAATTTGAAGAATTAAAAAAAAATCTCTCATCAAACAAAATTATTTGATAATATAAAAGGAGGAAATGATTCAGTTAAATGTAGTTTCAATATATCAGAAAAAATCGCACGTTCGTCAAAACCATGTTCGGGTGGTTTCCCAGGTTTAAGCGACATGATTACCTCCGCTCTTTTCCATTGTTCGGGAACGAATTCTGTTTGCAAGATAGCGTTGTAAATGTGGGTAAGATGGATAATTGCCTTCTTAGGTAGCTCTTTAAGGATACGTGGACTGATCTCATCGAATCCAGGTGTCTTTTTCGTGTTGATATTGGCGTTGGTTTCATGAGCCACTTCAAGTGGTGTAAAGTGCTTTATGAATTCTCTTGTGGAATTCGGTGGCTGACATTGCGTGTTCTCAAGTTCAGAAATAATGTCATTTGGCTGAAATACATGTTCGAGATGTCGTGCGTATACCTCAGCTTTATCTTGTTCACTGCGCGTCCAAGTCCCATCTTCCTTTTGGATGGGTGGAATATGGACACGAGGTCTTTTTAATTGTCCTGTGGCTTTCCATAATGAGCAATCGGAATCCTCTGTCGCAGATAAGTCACATAAAAACGATTTAAAATTGTATTTTTAATTTCTTTGATTTTATCGTGTAGCAATTTGCTGATTTGCAAATTGCTGCAACTTTCGGTTCCATTCGGTTTTATCGGATGGGTGCTGAGTTNTGCACGTGGCGTATTTTTTTCCGTCACAATTGTGCGTTAGTGCGATCTGCCTCGACGTTTATGTTCACGGTGTATTTCTGTCGCCCGACATTTTGTCTGTGCAGTTATTGCGCGTAATTGTCCGTGGCCCGTCAACGAACGAGGCCCGGCCCCTCCCCCGGTCGGTGACCCTAGAGCGGTCCTGCGAAACCGGCGCGAGGTTGTACTGTGACGTGCTTACACGATATTTTATTCGTACGCGTCGTCATTCGACACCGATTCATGACGGATTATAGTGTTGATATCTGATCGAATACCCGGACAAAAGTATTTCGGTCGGCGCAAGTTTTTTTTTTTCTGTAATTGTGCGACCGGCTTGAGTGATAATATTTCCGTATCTATCGAAACGGTCACCACAGGATATTTTGCCGGCATTAGTTTTCGGCGCGTATTCGACCGTGTCCCGTCAACGTGCGGGTTCGGCTCCTGCCTTGGTCAGTATAATCCTCAAAGTGGTACTGAAACCGACGTGTACCTACCCAATAATATTTGTATTAAAAAGAAATTATGTTGTAGGTACGACCACAGGACCACGATTCCATAACGTTGTATCTAATATTAGTATTTACAAATCGTACGATGCATTCATGGTTACTATAGGTGGTGGTTGAAAATCGTGCCTTTCTGTCGCCCGACATTTTGTCTGTGCAGTTTTTGCGCGTAATTGTCCGTGGCCCGTCACCGAACGAGGCCCGGCCCCTCCCCCGGTCGGTGACTAGAGCGGTCCTGCGAAATCGGCGCGAGGTTGCCTGTGGCGTGCCTATACGATATTTTTATTCGTATATTCGCACAGACCATTAATGGTGTATTGACATTTTTTTTGAAGACAAATGTAATAATTTTGTATTTTTAATTACTAATCGTTTGAATTAGGATGTATTAGAAAATCTCTTTAGTATTTCTCAACAAAATGGTGGTTATAACAAAAACCCAACAGCTAGAAAGATTAGGACTTCGATAAGAAGTAATTGTATTTTTTCTTTATGCACATCTAAAGGGACAAATTGCGATGATAATTATTATGGTTAAATTGATTTGTATTTTTTTTTCAAACTTTTTTTGTTTAATACAAATATGAGGAAGTACAATCGTTATGAAACTGTGGCCGTACCCACCACACATGATTTGTATAATTTTTTTTTATTTAATTTTGTTTTTAACGCTTATAATAAGAAATAACGTAGCACCCGTTCGTATTCTGCTGGTTTTATTAAGTTAAAATCCTATCACGAACTTGTTGTACGGTTTTGTTTAGAAACTCGCCGGCCATGGTGATGTGATCTTTGCGTTTGATTGGCTTTTCTCGAGGTCCACATAAAGGCCAGACTAAAGAACAGTTGTAGACCGTGTTTTTAGCGAAACATTCGTCGATCACAGAAACGTTTACGGTAATAATATAAATAAGAGGTGGGCGTTGAAAAGTCCAATAATATACTACACCTCATTCTTGATCTAACACAGATTTATTTGAAAAAAGCCAAAAGCGTATAATATTCTTACACGTACAATTAGGCCCGTACTGGTTACAATTTGTAACCAGTACGGTACAATTTGTACTATCCTTCAATAGTAAACATTTTAATCGATGAGATAGTATTAATTATAGCGAGTTCAATTATCATAGCAAATTATAGAGACTATTACTAATTTATTACAGGACCCAAAGAAGACATAAATTACAAATATTATTTGGTAGGTACTTTTCTGACAAGACGATTCGTCACTTTTTTTTTTTCATCAAACAAAATACTTCATAAAAACATTACCAGTACGGTTACAATTTGTACTATACTCTGATAGTACAATACAATACAATACTCTGATTGTAACTTACAATCAGAGGGGTGAGGGCGGTAGAATACAAGTATAGTGTTACGGACTTTGTCCTTCACGTATAAAAATGATGAATACAAGTTAAAATGTTCACACAATTAAATGTTAAAAGGATCGTCGCACGTAAAAGCCATTAATACGGGTTTAGCGATACCGAAGACGTTTCCACGCAACAACGGAATTATTGCTGTTTTTATTATTTTATTTAATTAACAAAAAATATAAAACCCTTAGAGACTATTAAGTTCGAAGAGGTACATTATAATTATTTTTATCATTTTATTTATTTAACAGAAAAATTTAAAACCCTATTAACAGTTATTGTTTCCATTGGACACGAATGACGTGGACAGATTAGCTTTAGGTTTAAATTCCTCTTCGAGTCCCGAAATGCACGGTGGTTGAAAACTGTTTAGCATCTTGGTCATAAATAACATATGGCCTTTGCCCCCGAGACATTGATTTCTGGGAGCGATTTTTTGTACTACTGGCGCATACTTTTCCGTGTAACTTGTCTACGGGAACAATTAAAAAATATCCGGTGACGACCGTTTCGATAGATACGGAAATAATACCTATATACCAATTGTGTTCCAATTTATTTAAACAAATATTATGTTATAACGGCAATAAAGCGCGATGATGAAACTTTTAAAACCACAGGGTGGTTGTGTTAATTTTCCTTTCTTTAATTTTTGTAAATTTGTGAAGTTTTGTGACGCTTCTATTAAAAATGTACAGTACCTAAATCAGTTAATGCTCAGAGATATGGATTACAGTTATATAAAGACCTGCTATTAAGACAATCAAATAAATGATTAATAAACTCGGTAAAATTTGCATTATTCGAAGAACTTTTACTTTGAAGTTGTCCTGTTTGTATACAAGTTCGAATCGTTGCTGACATGGAATTTCTTAATAATTGTGCAGCTAATTTAACACGAAATTTTTCGAAAAGAATTTGGATAAATGTGTGCATCTGTTATTTTGATGAGAGACCTACTTTTATTATTGTGTTTTCTCTATCTCATATGTTTTTTTTATATCATCAAATGAAATTAAATTATCACCTTTTTTGAAACAGGCTTAAATTAAATTATTTATAATACTTTTAAGCAAATGTGGAACATCAAACAAAGAAAATATTTTATTATTATTGATAAATGAAAACGGGTCATTTTCTGAAACATTTAATGTTTAATTATTCACAAGTAATAAAATACAAACTATAATAATATTTTATCCTTACGTTGTACAGACGTGTTATCGCAATTAAAAACGAGCGTCGCCTGTGGGTCGTAAGACTACGAATTGCGAACATAATACGAAATACAGTGATAATAAACAATTGTATTCCAATTTATTGGAACAAAGTTTCTATTATTAGTACGGCAATAACGCGCGATAAGCTACCACCCGCACCGCTCATCATTCTATGATGGGGGTACCACCTGCTCGCATCCAGACACTCACCCGTCCACGACAACTATGACGGAGGTACTATCTCTTCGCATCCTAAACTACACCAGCGCTACATAGCGGTGACATCCTTTTTATAGTCTCCAAATATTAACATTACATGAGCTATCTGTGTATTCTTTAATCAATGGTAATACCAATTATTTTTGTTCCGATGACTTACGTGTCTTTCGGTGCGTACGTCGCCCGACACACTTTGTTCAATTTTTACGCGTAATTGACCGTGGCTCGAACCATTTTTCCCTACCGGTCCAAACCTGCGGTCACACTGTAGGCGCTCTTCTATGGCGTGGTGGGGCTTGGTGGGCGTATACACGTATATCCGCGGTGTCCTCCCGTACGAACGCTATTATTACTCTTTTGCTCGGGACCTCGGAACGGTCAGCAACTCCTCCCGTCCGTACCCGTTGGATTTTTACGCAGTTCGTTATTCTTCATATCAATTATTTCCGTATCGATAACGTGTACAGGACGGCTGCCCTGCGGTAATTTCGAAGTTCGGTCGCCGGCTCACCGGCCCTAAGTAAGTACTATGCGTGTGTCTCGGGTAACCTGCGCGTCCCGGTCGACGTGCACGTGGCGTATTTTTTTCCGTCACAATTGTGCGTTAGTGCGATCGGCCTCGACGTTTATGTTTACGGTGTATTTCTGTCGCCCGACATTTTGTCTGTGCAGTTATTGCGCGTAATTGTCCGTGGCTCGTCAACGAACGAGGTCCGGCCCCTCCCCCGGTCGGTGACCCTAGAGCGGTCCTGCGAAACCGGCGTGAGGTTGTACTGTGACGTGCTTACACGATATTTTATTCGTACGCGTCGTCATTCGACACCGATTCATGACGGATTATAGTGTTGATATCTGATCGAATACCCGGACAAAAGTATTTCGGTCGGCGCAAGTTTTTTTTTTTTCTGTAATTGTGCGACCGGCTTGAGTGATAATATTTCCGTATCTATCGAAACGGTCATCACAGGATATTTTGCCGGCATTAGTTTTCGGCGCGTATTCGACCGTGTCCCGTTAACGTGCGGGCCCGGCTCCTGCCTTGGTCAGTATAATCCTCAAAGTGGTACTGAAACCGACGTGTACCTACCCAATAATATTTGTATTAAAAAGAAATTATGTTGTAGGTACGACCACAGGACCACGATTCCATAACGTTGTATCTAATATTAGTATTTACAAATCGTACGATGCATTCATGGTTACTTTAGGTGGTGGTTGAATATCTGCAGGCGATTGTCACCATGATGTTTTTATGAGGTATTTTGTTTGAATATTGAAATGACGAATCGTCTTTTCGGAAAATCGTCATACACCCACTTAATAATCAATGATTTATGTATCGAAAATGGCATGTACGGACGTGGTCTCTGCGGTTATATCTTCTTGGTCGCTGGCACACCGAACTAATTAAATAAAATCCGCGTGTGTCTCGATGGTGCGACTTACTCGGTCCGGCCGGCGCGCATGTGGTTTCCTTTTTTTCCGTCACAATTGTGTATCTATTTGTGCATCTGCGTGACTTCTCCCCCGGTCAGGTAACTCTTGTCTCTGTAAATGTATAGTATAATGATATCTTATGCTGACAATACTGTTCTATTGATGAAGGAAAATAATTATAATGACTTATATAAATCTGCTACATTCTTAATGACATGCTAGATCTTAATGTAGACAATTCTAAATATCTTTATTTTCGATTGTCATATTCTTCCAAAAAATTGTGTTTAGCTATTCCATATTCAAACCACTTGCTGTTTAAAGTTAAAATACTGCACGGGTATAAATCAATAATGATTTTTTTTTTTTTTTTTTAAATTTTAATTCTGAATTTATACAATCTATACTAAAAAAAAAGTACAATAAGCTTAATGTATGTTTTTATTAATTTAGTGCAATAGCTTGAATGTCTTGAGGGAAGAAGCCGTCCAGTGAAGGTACTTCGACGTGAATTTAACAATGAAATTTATTTATAAATAAATACATTAAGAGTAGAGAAACTTAAAGTTAAGTTTTGTAAAAATTGGTCTTTTAATCTACTTGTGAACTAAAAAAATACTGTAAGATAACAAACATTTTTAATTACTTGGTAATGTTATGTAAAATTGATTATGTATATAATGCAGTGCCATCAAAAGATTTTTGTCTCCATTCTTTATTTCTTTATTATCGATCTGGATACAAAATAAATTGTATAAGAAAATAGTTTATTACTGAAAACATTACTTTTTTTTCTGAATTTGAACAACAGCCACTATCATTTTCAAAAACTGTATAAGATATATTTATTTATTTATGTACAATAAACGGGTAAAGACCCTATTGTGTAGGCAGTACAGGTTTAAACATTTAAGTATTTTATAGTTAACAATAAACATCTCTATTTAAAACAATAATAATAATGAAGCTAAGTTGTTATGTATATTAATATATTTTCAATATCATACAGGTGATCAACATAACATAAGAAACTCATTATGTCTAAGAGTTTTAACTTGTTTTGGCACCCCGAACCGCTACATAATTGATAATCCACTACTTTCCTCCAACCCATTGGTTGATATTTGGTATCATCTGTGGGGAGGCTTGATATTTTTGTCATTAGCGGAAACAAATATTTTTAGTCGCTTTCGACGCTTCCACCTTCTAACTGTAGTGGCTACTCCTACTTGATTCTAGCTATTTAGGTAATAGGAACATAAAAAAATAAAATGTTGAATAGCTACTAAATTATTTTTATTTTAATTGTGTATATATTTAATTTTTTGTGCAAATATAAACAATTGTTTCAGTATTAATAGATTTAGAACATTGAGGTGTTGTTGAACCTTTCCTGCAGCATAGAAGTTCGAAGCCAAGTTTTTATTCTACGCATGGCTGAAAAACTCCTTTTCACGAATGGAAGAACTTGAAAGTCTGTTTTGTTAAAACCTTTTTCACATCATTTAAAGTTATATAATTTTCATCAGTAGACTGCAATATACAGTTCTTTGCCACTATTTCTGACTGTAATACATCTTTAGATACATTCATAAAATCCTGAAAAATATACTAAATACAGGTTCACTTTTAATAGAACTAGAAAACTAGAGCATAGGTAAGTAAAAATTTATTTATTTTTTTATTTTTAATAAGGTATTTTTAATTATACAATCTGTATGCATGGTACAATAAGCATAAGTGATATTAACTAATACTAATTACATGAAATACATGAATTGAAGAGGCCATCCAATGATAGTACTTCGGCAAGTAAAAATTAATTTTTAGAAACCGATACGATACTTACTTTATAATGATGTACAAAGTAAAGAATTTCCTCAAAGTTTAATTGAAAAAAATTGATCAACAGTCGTAGCCATTTGGAGGCTTTTAGTAGGAAATCTTTTTCCAGATTTATCAAGATAGCATCAAATACAGGAAAGAAAGCATTTTTTCTAAAATAATTTTCAATGGTTTCAATGGTGTCATTAATATTTTGTTCAGCACTTGTGGTTGCAGTAGTAACAAAATGTTAAAGATTGTGTGGCTCTTGTTTTTTTCTTTTGCATCCTAGTTAAGTAAATATTAACTTAAAATTATTATAATTATAAATAAATATAATATGTTTATTAAGTCTTACCTTTAGTTGGCGTTTTTGTTGATATTTCATTGTCTTTAGCAAAGAGTTCTATTTCACACCAAAGCTTAAAAAAATACTATGTTCTAGAATTTTTAAATATCATCATCAAACTTTAAATAATAATTTTAGATTCCCCTAAGGTTGCATTTTTTTCTTGAAATTTGTTAGAAACAATATTAATATTAATTAATACTTGTAAGATGAATAAATTAACTATAAATCATCCACTTTTTAAATTTGTTAATATACCTAAAACAAAGATATTGGAATTTAAATACTTTGAATCATTAATTATTACTTATTATATTATACCAATTACTTCATTACTCCTCTATTGTCTTCATTTTCAATTTCTTCTTCTAAAGCTTGAATAATTGCTTTATAACTGTTTTTAACAGACTATATTTCGATAACGGCAATTCCATCTAGTGTCACTAAGTCTAATCATTGTCGTATATTTTAAAATAAGAAATCTATGTATAAAACATAATTTATATTTCACCTCAACGTCTTCAATATATTTCACAACATCTGCACGTATATTTATAAGTTCATCTTGAATTATAAGTAAGAGTATTATATTGAATTGAATTATAAGAGTAATTGGTTTTAAAATTAAATTTTTTTCCAAATTCCTCATTACTTTTTGCTAACAATTAACATAATTCTTTAAAGTTTCCTAAAAATATATTAATTTTTTTCAAATAATTATAATTGGATATTTTACATTTAAGATCATTTAAGACTATTAATAATATTAGTTATTAGTTATTACTTTTTAGTTGTTAGTTTAATACCTTGATTTAAAGAATTGTACTTCCTGTTAAAATTGGTCGCACAGGGCCTGTTATTAAAGTTCCCAAGTCGGAAATGACATATTTATCCACAATATTTTAAACCCTTTTGTGTAGTTATATCAATGTCTAAACCAATATTAAATCTTCATTTTCAGATTCTAGAATTGTTGACGAGGAATTAGTAACAACTAATTTTTGTTTTTTAATATTAAAGATACCAAAACATTATTTTAGCTATTATTGAATTAATTACAATTTATAATTTAAAATTAATTGATTAATATAAATATACAATTCACACAAATAATATGAAATTATATTGTTTATTTGTTATGCACGTCACTTACGGAAAACCAGGCGTAGGTATTAAAAACAATAAAATGCAAATAAAAGCAAAAGCGATCACCGTTTACACTTCAAAAACGTAATCCACACTAATGTTGTGGCGGTCTGCAGCTTGCGTATTTATAATTTTACAGGTATCGCAAACAAGTTCTAGGATATTCACGATTATCAATATATACCTACAAAATATGATTTTCCCAACAACGATAGGCCGTGAGTATTCCAGACCATTCTCGTATCTTAACAAAATAAAATATAAATTATAAATATCAAATATTGAAACTCATAATTTTTTATTTTGACGTTTACATTCTGGGGGGGGGGACTTAAGCCCTCCCAAATCCCCTCCGATATCCGCCAGTGCTCCAACCCAATCTTCAAAGTAGAATATCTCGTTAATGGATTAACGGAAATCAAACATTTATTTTGAATAATACTCTCATCTATTTATGGAATTTTTAATATAGAATTTTGTTTTTTTATTTTAAAGTTTTATAATATGCAATCTATTCCTGAGGAATAATAAGAATATGTGATGATAGATGGTAATAACATGATTGAATGATGGGAGGAGCTACCCAGTGGTAACACTGCCCTTACTTGAGTTATTGTTTATTAGTTATTAAGAAGATCACGGCACCATTCTCTGATATAGAATGATATAAAATCCCGAGCAACTTGTTAACTTAACCAATAACTGAGGATAGATTAAATCAAATACATATTTATTAATAGAAAAAATCTGAGCATCAGAAAATTGTTCTTGAACACTTGGTTCTGTAAAATAATTATCCGCCATAATGCATTTTATTTTTTTCCACTGAATTATAATTCTTGAATGTTGGTCATGTCTGAGACATTTTCTTTATCTTCGCTCGTCAGGATGCAAAATCCAACTACTTCACTAAGGCCGTTACTGTCAACCAACGTTAGTCATATTAAAGAGAACACGTAAAAGTGCATTGATTATGTACGATTATAAAAATTAATTATTAGTTCGTAAAAAATCCTAGGGAATCAATCTTAAATCATTGACTTTTTAAATGGCATCTACAAACAATACTTCTGGACATAACGAAAAAATTCTGTTCATTTCTTCATCTTGGAAACAAATTTGTTTTAAATTTCTAAAGTCACGTTTGTGTTTTCATAACTTTTTACTAACACATGTTAGGCATCTGATGCTGGTGAATTAGTCATTAATAAGTTATGGATATCCTTTAATATAACAATTTTTTTATTTGTTCGCATTAAATCATTCTGCAATATTTTTTTGTTCACTTTCATTTGAACTAATTTTGTCATCATAATTTTTGAATCTGTATCTAACCTCCTTTGTCGCGGATAGTGATCATATATTACTTAAAATAAATTAAGAAGTTAACTGTATTATATTGTACTGGTTAATTTTCCTGTTAATATATTATACTTAAATATGATTACCTTACTGCGAATTTGGTTAAGTTTAGTTATGAAGGATTTTATTATTATATAATCACCACTTTCGTTTAGTCTTACAGTTATTTATTTATTAATAAAAGACCGTCGATGTGTTTAAGGGAGAATCCACTTCTACGTCCATGGTATACGTCTTCTTCAGGTAATAATTTTGCGAATTTCTCATCAACAATTTCTTCTACCTCTGTATCTATAAAAATTGGCCTGGCTGAGGTCTTGAACGCTCTATTCACAGTTGAATTTGCTTCTTGCGGTCTGCTGTAGTTTGTCGCTTTGAGTTTCAGATTGAATTTGACAGGGTTATTTTAAACGATTGATTTTAGAAGTTGTATTAGAGAAGGTTTAAGCGACTTTAGAAAATGTTTGTAATTCGGAACGCTATCGAGATTTTTGGCATAGGACCACACGATTTTACAGGAGAAAGACGCGTCGATTTCAGTGAAGCCGAGCGTGTTCACTAAGTCCATCCTTGCTTTCTTTACTCTAGCAGCGGTATTTTTTTTTGAGTGCACGTTTCTTACCTACAGGGAACGGAAAGAAAAAACCCAAATTAAAACTATTTCCCTCGCTAATTCCTATGCGGTGGGCCATAATAAAAAAATCTTACGTTGTCGAATCCCTCCATATCATCGATGGCTTGACATACATCAGCCAATAACACGACATTTTCCTCGTCGGTAGTCCAAGTCAGAGTTGACGGACTGGAGGTAATATACGATGTTCCGACCTGCGGGGCGACTTCCGTTCCGGTGGACAATTTTAACGTGTTCATCAAAGTTGTATTTACGTGAAAACGATTCAGGACAGAGCGCATTTAATTTTTACACCGTCGTGCGATTTTGCGTGGCGATTCATACTACGTTAAAGGGTTAAATACTTTCTTACACCCGATGTAGGTTTATTTGAACTTATTTATTTGCTCTAGAGCAGCGGTTCTCAACCTTTTTATAGTCGCGTACCACCTACACCACTTGAAAATTTCTACGTACCACCTGACCATTTTTTTGCTTATTAATAATGTATACGTTTATGTTACATGTATAGAATTTTATTTTATTAGGAATTACAAAATGAGATAATATAAAATAAATATGTATATATAATAAACTATAAAGTAATTAATGCACAAAAAGAAATTAAATTAAATCAAATTAAATATGTAAAATTATTATAATTATTATGGTTTACTTTTTACTTCAATGAGACGATTGGTGTTGTTTTGAACGAACGATGACATCAATATCGGGCTCCAAATTGGTAACTTTAAGTCTTAAATCACTTTCTACGTTTAATCTACTTCTATATTTATTTTTTATGTACAATAAGTCAGAAAATGTTTTTTCGCACAGATATGTTGATACAAAAGGGATTAAAAACTGTAAAGCTTGTGTGGACAATGCCGAGTATTCTTTTTTCACGTCCAGCCAAAAATTAGTGATATTTTTGTTATTGAAAGCGGTTTTTAGGGTAGAGTCACTGGTTAAGTCAATAAATAATTCTTTTGCCAAAATGCCATCTGGAATATTCTTAATATAATCATCTACGAAAGGGTTTATGATCCATTTCATTTCTGAGTTATCCTCAGGGAAATATTGTAAAACATTGGATTTTAGTGATTGTAGGTGTTCCGAAATGTCTGTAATTATATTTGAATTTGGCTGAACTTCGTTATCGTTCCAAAATGTGTTAAGTGTCTCGAATGCTGAAAGATCATTCTTAGATACTTGCGAAATAAATAAATCCAACTTTCTCACAAATGCATTAACTTTATCACTAGTATAAAACATGTTTGTGTTTGATCCTTGCAGACTTAAATTTAAAATATTTAAACGGTCAAATATGTCAGCCATGTAAGCTAGTCTTGACAGCCATTCGACATCACAAAACAATTTGGACTTTTCTTCATCAATATCAGTCAGAATTAATAAAACTTCTGACCTTAGCTCGAATAGTCTNTAGATTTACGATTTTGACAGCACTATCAAGAACTAATTTTAAACTTCTAGGCATGTTTTTGGATGCTAATGCTTGCCGGTGAATCATGCAATGCATAGTTTTACATAATGGGGCAACTTTTTTTATTCTTGTTGCAACTCCGGTCAGCCTTCCAGTCATTGCCCTTGCTCCATCAGAACAAAAACCCACACATTTACTCCACGGCAGATCTATTTCAATCAAATATTCATTAATGGTTGTAAAAATAATTTCTGATGTTGTGTGGGTTTGTAAAGGCTTACAAAACAAAAACTCTTCAATAATTTCATCATTGCGATCGAAACGTATGAATACAATTAATTGAGCCATGTTAGCAATATCAGTACTCTCATCAATTTGTAGAGCAAAGAAATTACAATCTTTCACATAAAGCAATATTTTTTCTTTTATATTCGACGACATGTCATCAATTCTTCTTTTGACTGTATCGTTTGAAAGTGACACTTTTTCTATCTCTTTTGCAGCCTTGTCTCCAAGAACACATCGCACGATTTCTTTTGCTGCTGGCAACACTAATGTTTCCCCAATTGCGTGTGGTTTTCCATCTTTAGCAATAATTAAACTTGCTAAATAAGATGCTTTAACGATATTTTCATTAAAGTTCGTAAAACTAGACATGCATTTCGATTCCTTTCGGAAAATAGTAACTTTTCTCTGAAAAAATTCAATAGGTTTATTTTCTGTTTCTGGATGCTTCGATAATTGGTGGCGCTTAAGTAGCGATGGCTTCATGCTTTGATTCGAAAGTGTTTCTTGACAAATTACACATTGAGGTAACGGAGTAGAATTCTCAGAACCAAATTTTACAACGAATCCAAATTGTAAGTAACTATCGTCATATTTACGATTCGCCTGTGTTTTCTGTTTTTTAGTATTTGAGCTTCCGCTTTCGAAAAATCTTTTCATTTTACTTAATTTTATATCACAAAAAAGTTAGAAAAAACTACATAAAAATGTAAAATTTTAATATAAAATAAACTTGATGCAAACAATTCGTATGACACTCGTGAATAAACTGAAAGAACTCACGAAACTAAGGTAAAAACGCATTATTGTGAATTAAGAATACGCTTTATCGGGTATATTTGATAAAGTTTATCGATTTATATTATATATATATAGAATATCGCTATCTTAATTGCTACGATTACAAACGACCTCCACACCATCAAATAAACCAAATAATATTTAATGATTCATTCCAAATTTTTTTATAAAGAGAAATTTTCTTCGCGTACCACCTATGAGCTTTTCGCGTACCACTAGTGGTACGCGTACCATAGGTTGAGAACCGCTGCTCTAGAGAATAAAACTATAAATTTAAAATTAAATATAACATTTCAAAATTTTCAAAAATGTGAAGAGATAAATTTCTTCTAGTAAGACAATATATTCATTGTCCTACTAGATGAACCTAGTAAATGAAAATAACCTTTCCATTGAGCCGAAGAACAGAGATTTGTATTAAATTTCACAAATAGTCTTTTTATTGTAACATAATTATTTAAAATTGATAATGATATATTTTTATCGTTGCAAATTATGAGTTTATACAAATTTTTAATTTTTTTGAATTCACTATTGTTTGTTTTTGGCATGAAAATCATCCTTACCTGCTTCACTGAAGAATCCAATAGACTCTTACTCTGATTTTTTTCCTTCTTTTTTTTTGTTAACAACAATCTTTGTTTTGGTGTACAGTGTACACACATAGCCAATACGTACAAAACAAGCTCCACATATCAATTTAATTTTTTGTTTGTCAATATTAGTTAAGTCATGTGAGTAACAGTAAATGTAAATGTGAATAATTTAACTAATGTAATTCTTTCTCTCCGTCGTGTGATACTGCAGCACACGGACCTGACTTACACTTAACGTATTAAATGAGTAAATTTTCATTCTGTAATTTATTTAACTAAACCTTTTTTTTTCTCAGTGGTTGCTCTGACAATATTTATAATTTATATTTTTTAACATGTTTAATGTAAATAAAGCATATATGTATGTACAACGTAGTATTATCTATATTTTGTTCTGCGTAAGTTTATTTCACTACCTATACGTGTACCTAGCGTTCAGGTCATTTAAGTTGCCTACAGAGTATAACAGGGGCGACCGATATCTGACTAGGAGAAAGGAAGGTAAGGTGATCTACTCCGTCTAAATCGGACACAAATTAGCATAATATTATAGGGTAACAATGATATAATTATTGTTGAAAATAAGCGACCTATAATTTCAATTATTGACATTAATTGAAGTGAAATTTCTTGATAGGATACGGGAAAAAAAAGATCGCACGTTGGTTAATCGGCACGCGCCGTGATTACATCAGCTGTTAACACACACATACATATTAGTGACACTGTGATATAGTTAACAATAAATAATACAAGAAAATAATAATAAAACATAAATTACCATACAGCTATTCGTTGTAGGCATTGCATCGAATCCATTACATTATAGTAGGTAATGTAATGATTGCAAAATAATATTTCATTTTTAAGTAGGGAATACAATTTCATTTAATAATATAGGTGTTGTTTTGTGTAGACAATGTCTGTACACAACTTAAGTTTCGGGCGGCATTAAAAATAAGAACAGTGTGTATACGTTATTATGTTTGTGGATGAATATTCTACAAGATGTGTCGGTAGAATAATATTTTCGTACACCGGTAAATAAATACAAAACAAAAAAAAAAAAATAAAAACGTACAGCTACAATCAAAACATACCAATCATAGACAAATATTCTTCGGTTGTGTAAGAGGTGGGGGTGTCCATAAATTATTTGACTGACAAAGTCGTATATCTGTCTGTATGTTATACTATATAAATATCACAACTTTCACTGAAGTCACTATAACAGTTCTATTAATTCGTGTTGATTAATTAGACAAATTAAAAATCGAAATTTCGGGAAAGGAGTGAAATTGGAATTTTAAATAGGTCCTACTATATAGTTATTTTTAAACGCATAAGTACATGAGTATATTCAGCCTATAACATTTTCACAATTTTAGTTTTCGAACTGGATTTGTTGGTATTGTTCAGATGTTCAAATTTAAAATTAAATATTTAAATTATAAATTGTATGTAATGTGTGAAATATGAAGTTTATTAGATATCATAATAAGGATCTGAATTTCAATGTAAAGAGTATAAGGTTATAGGTAAGTACCTATTCTTCACCAAAATAGAATGTCAATCGTACATTCGTACTGTTAATCTTATTTATCTTATTTTAATGACGGCTGCGGTGTGTCACTTTAGTACAGATAACAGTTAACAACTTCAGAAGTGAAACTTTTATTTTAGATTCTGAATGGAATGAAGAAGCTTATGGTTATACAATAATTATTTAAAATTTTTTTTTTTGTGGGTAACTTTTCTACCAGAGACTAGCTCAGATTTTTACGTGTAGCAACTTTTCTGAAAGGAAACCAATGTGAGACGGTACTTTAGAGTTTTCGATTTTCCTCGGAGTTTTCGCATCAAATATGAAAAACCGGGGAAAACTGGGAAAATTTGACTGGGACAACGTTAAACAAATTTTATTAAAGAAAATATATAAAGCCGTTTATTATATCGTTTTTTTATAAGCAACGATTTATTTTAAGAGCATTTTTCGGTAATTTTTTCGGGTCGCTTTTCTGTAGCTCATAGGAAATTTAAATCCGGAAACAATTCATAATTTAACATATTATATTATTGACGAAATCATTTTTTTTTTCAAACTACATGATAGGTGTAACTGGTGAGCGTTAAGTTTACTGGAAAATTATAATTTGCATATTTTATTACAACATATAAGATAGTATATATTTATGTTATGTAACTTCCTTAAAGATGAGTAGACGTAATGAAGATCGAAAATTAACTGGGTTAACATAATAGTAAGAGCGCAAGTATGTTAATTAGTTGCGTTGCTTTTACACTTCATTTATAAAAAAAAGTTCATCTAAAACAAATTAGTATAGACAATGGTTGAAACCAGGATTTATTTTTAGGAAGGGGTGAGTGAATTTCAAACAAATATCTGGATAGATGTTTGGAGAAATGAGTTACGAGTATTAAATAGGTGACGTGCACAATGTACACGCATTCAAAATTACAAAGAAATATCAGTAATTGCAATGCAAATTGTGCAGCTACAGTATACGTATTACGTAAAATTCTTTATAAGAATTTCACATTTTTGGGGGGTTACATCCCTTTCTGGTTTCACCACTGTGTATATAAGTACAAGAAAAAAATGATTTAATCAAAAAACACAAGACATTCTTTTGTTGCCTTTTTGATTTACTTTCTTACGGCATTATCACCAAAACTTTTGAGCATTTAGGGATTAATTTTAATTTTTGGGAGTTTTTTTGCTGTAATTCGGTTTTAATTATACGTAGAGACTTAAAAACTTGGTAATAATACTTATATTGGACTTACCTAGACGTGAAAATTTTCAAAATCATCGCACGACTTTTTTACATTTTTTTACTATGTTACTCTATTATTATTTTTTTATACTGTAGATCATTTGTATCCTCGAAAACTTGCTCTAATGTATAAGTGTAGCACATTTTCTGAAAGATAATTTTATTTATTTGGTAAATACATAGGTCATTTTTTGACGGTATTTAAAATAAAAACGATTAACCGGGAAAAATTTTTGTTTTTTTTCAAGATTTCGTCATTTTAAATTAGTACCTACCACATGTTCTGGCACAAATATGGCTTCAATTGAAAAACGGCTGGAGACCTTTTTTGTTGAATTAATAATCTTGTTTTTAATGATATAGTTTGTTTTTTGATTTAGTATTAGTTTTCATAATAAAACGTAGGAAAAACGTAGGAAGGTTAGATTAAAAGAAATTTCGGGACTTCAAATTATGTGTTACTGAATTGCGTTCGGAATCGTTTTTCGTCAGCAATAGTTTATCGTTGCTTACAGATATAAATTAAATAATTTATGTATCCTACCTTCCCAACTTCTCACCTACAACAGTGGCCGCACCCGTCCCCAGTACCAGCTCTTTTTTAAATTTAACATTGTCTAATAGAATCACATATTCGTCAAATACATTGGATTTACTGAAATACTAGTTTTGCAATCGCACAATGTAATAGGTATAATATAAATTGTATAAAAGATTAGAAATCGTTTTCACTTTTTTGTATGTGATAATAAGTAACCTAACTATATTGCAGGATGCTTATTTATCTTTCGAGTTGATATAATATAAGTATTAGCTGTATAGTGGCAGTCTAGACGTCTTCTTACCTTAATATAATATTCATCTTACGAGTGTACTGTGTAGTCACGACATTATGACAACGAGACACAAATAAATAAATAAAACTGGAGTAATTTAGTAGTTATTTTCGAGAAAAAAAGTGAAAACAATTTTTATAATCTTCGAAAATCATTAACAATAATAGTTCATCAATCACATTAGAAAATAGGTACTAATATACTCGTGTTATAAACTAGGTACTTACGGAACGTCTAGATTAGGTTTGTTGATTAGATTAGAATAGTTTATACAGAAAGTTTTCAAATTTTAAACTAGTTTTAATTTTTTTCAGATAATATACACATAATTGAATAGAATTGACTACACATTGGCGGTAAACGATTAAAAACAAAAAATTTTAATTTTATTTGTTATTGCTATTTTTAAATCTTTGGTTCCGAAATTTCGTTTACATTTTTTTATGAAATTAAACAAATGTAAAGTTTGTAAATTACTACAAAATCGAGTAAAATTACGAAAAATATGGAATTATGGAAAATTATAGAAATAAATAACACAAGAAAATTATTTAAGAAAGTTATAATTTTAAATAAAAGTAATATTAACAATAGTTATTGTACACTAAACGAATCACTGAGATGACCTCGGAAAGGTGTGGGGATGGCTAAGGGGAAATTAGTTCACCCTCCCAAATTGTCCGTGTTAAAATTTAAAAGAACAATATAATATACTATTCAGCATTGACAACTTATTACTATCAAATTGATAATTCGCACTAATACTTACTCAATTAACTACTAAGTATAAATAATTTTACTACACACAATTATAATACACCTATTACACAAAATAACCTCAAGAATAAGGCAGTATTATAATATATAATAGATGTATTAATAGTAGGTTTGGTAGTTCTATAATAGTATAATACCAGCTATAGTAGACTAATGCCTACTATAGCTGTGACTAATGTCTACTATTTAACTTGCATTATTATATCGTTGGTACCCAGTGCTCGAATTGTGATAGTAAAAAAAAGGTGTTATAAAACTTAAAAAAAATAAGTGTTTCTTGCAATTATTAAATCATTTTTTTTTATTTTCCTTGTACGCTTAATAACGCGAAAAACTTTGGAAAAACGTCTGTTATATCGATTTTGTATTTTGTTGATTTTTAATGAAAAGTGATTGTGGAGGCAGTAAATTTCACCTAATAGGTACATATTTATACATCAAGCTCTATCAAGGCATTGTCCAACTTTTAAAACATTCTATTAATTTTTTAGTTATTTATTATAGATGTTTTAAGTTGTCGAGTGCTTTAGGTTTTTATTTGGTTTACTTGATTAAAATCGTTAGGGCCCAACAAAAACTGGAAAATTTAACACAAGATTTCTCATGAACTATAGTGTCAAATGAAGATTTTTTACGCGATTAAAGTTCAAATTTTAATAAAAATGCAAAAAATACCACTTAAAAAAAATAGCAGAGGTGCACTACAATTTCTGAAAATTAAGTTGAGGTACGAAGTCCCCTGCCCTCCTCCACAATTCGAGCACTGGATCAATGGTCCCAGGAAAGAAGGGTTTTAATCAATTTCGTATAATTTTTAACACAACCAAATTGAGTTTTGAAAATAGATACACTTATTGTAAATAAACTATACACCGTACATTATAGGTACTCTCATTTTTTAGCACTTCTCAACCTAGTACGACAAATAAAAGGAAACAAATTACATATTAGATTAAAAAAAAAAAAAAAATTGACAAGCCCTTCTTCCTTAGGATAAAGATATATATATATATATAAATTATGTTATAATTTCCATTTATACTATATATTTAGCCCGCCCCCCTTCTTCATTGATAAATCTTGCATACGGCACTGACTAAAAAATAATGATACCTAATATTATTATTCGTTTATTGCATGGAGATATCAACTCGTGGCCATCTCGTATTATTCGGTATTATTATATACACGTGACGTCCCGTACGCGTATCTATAATAATATTTGGACACATTCCATCGTTTCGTTCTACTCGGATGACGAAAGCGAATTGAATTACATAAATAATAATATAATCTACTATACAGTATACTATACAACCGTTCGGGTTTAAATTACGTAGTTGCGCTGGAATTGTTCGGTATGCTCGAATGTTATTATTCTAGGGACCTATTTACGGACAATATTATGCATTAAATATACCGACTGTGAACGATTCGGACCATCATGTAATATTTTTTTGTTTTTTTTTCACGGTTGTATATTATAATTATCATTACCGAATTGTGATGGAAATATATGAATAGACGATAGGTAAATGAATTACGAGCGACAGGTGTGCGGCAGCGGTTGTGGCGGGAGGCTTGAATCGGGACCTGTAGATTTCTTCAAAATCCAAATATATCTACGGGGAAAAAAAATAATATAGTATTCAGACAGTGATAATTGTAGAAAATAATTATCGATAAAGAAATTGCAGGACATCTCATATCTACATCGGCTTTATATTGGCAGGATTCATATATATTTACATATTATAAATATAAATCTATAAATTGTATTTTCAAATGATCCGATTTCAATTATACCTACATGAAATATCATTGCATAAAGTTTATGCGTCGATTGTATATATCGCTATTGTGTTGGCACAAAATTAAAATGTACGAGTGTAAAAGATTTTGTCAATGTAGAAATATTCGCTACCGGCGCTTCGGAACGCATTTCCGTCAGTGGCGAGAGTAATATTTTGGGAAATTTTAACACGTTCGCAGCTGCGCGATTTTACGAGAAACAGTGCAATATCAACAGGTTTTCTCGCACGTTTAAATTATAGCGAATAGCTGTAGACACGACATACGGATTGTACACAGTTAAAGAAATGTCCTTTGGGCCAATATTATTGTTTCTGGACAGGTACCTACTATTATGCTTTATATTGGAATAATGTTTACTGAACCGATATAGGATCAATAAAATACAACGAGTTAAGGCTGGATAAGCTAACGGATGATAGTAACTCGAACGTGTGTTAACAAACGAAATTGTTTTATTACTTATTAGGTTATTTTTGTGATAACTAGGAGATAATCGTTTAACAAAGTTGTTATGAACGACCAAATTGAGCTTGTAGCTCTTAGAAGGGCTGTTTTTGCAGAGAAGGCCAGTTGGTCCGAAGCCGATTGACCATCGCTTTGATGACCAGTTTCGTGACCATATACATGTACATAATGAACTGCATTGCAGCTAGATAGCTTTAAGACATTCACTAAAATATGGCACATGACTCACAGGGAGACCACGAGGAGGTAAAACATCCATCTCCCCACCCTCAAAAAAAAAGTTTATGTTAGGTTAAAAGGTAATTTGGTTATTTTTTTTTATAAAGTTATTAACTTAAGTAATATTTTTGTTTGGTTTTTGGAACATTGTTATTGTCATAGCGAAAACGTTTAAACCTATTAGAGTCCGTAATTTTATGAGAACAAGGACAGTCGACGGTAAACTCGTGGATATCAAATTATACGTATCTATATATTAAACTCGGAATTGTATACACATAATCGTTTTATTGAGTAAAAAAAAAAAAAAAAAAAAAAACAAACGTATTATTACCGTAATATAATATTGTTTAATATGCGAAGGCCGAAGAAAGTTACAGCGCGATTCCAATTTGGATCATTCGTTCAAACATATAATAATAAATATCTATGGCACAGGCAGTAGTTATACCTACCGTTCGAATGTGTCGTAGTCGGTATAATGATATTGCGTATATATATATATATATATAATTATTATCATCCGCGTACGTACAGTAGTCTGATTTTTCATTCGTACACTGCTGCGATATTGTTTGAAAAATAAATAATAAATAATTAAATTTCGTGAACGGGTCTGCTAGAAAAAAAAAAAAAAAAAAACATCAAATCGTCTGTTTGATATAACCGGTTGAAATACGTACGTGCGAGATATTCTACGGTCGTTGAATGTTATTTTTTTTTCGCGTTAAACTAGTCGGCTCTAATTTACGACAATTACGATTGTCGTACACACGACCTTTAGGCNTATCTATATATTAAACTCGGAATTGTATACACATAATCGTTTTATTGAGTAAAAAAAAAAAAAAAAAAAAACATTATTCATACAATGATACCTATTATTCTGATAGCGCTTAGATCAATTAAAATGTGTACATTTAATGCAACATAATGACCGAATTAAAATTAACTTGATGTGATATAATTCGAAATTAATATAATCATCGTTGGTATCTAGTCGAATATTAACGTAAGCGAAATATCGGAGTTAAATGAAAACTTAATAAAAAAATCAATAAAATCAAAGGTTATTTAAAAATTTAAATTATCATACAGTGCCCACGCAACATCGCGATAACAGCGCACACTTAACATACAGTGTTAAGTACAATAAACATGTTTCCGAATAGATAAAAAAAAAAAAAAAAAAAAAACATCAAATCGTCTGTTTGATATAACCGGTTGAAATACGTACGTGCGAGATATTCTACGGTCGTTGAATGTTATTTTTTTTTCGCGTTAAACTAGTCGGCTCTAATTTACGACAATTACGATTGTCGTACACACGACCTTTAGGCATACTGAAATCGCTAGAAAAATACAAATGCGATTTCAGTTCAGTATTTAACATAATAATATTATCTATACTATAATAACACACCGGATACCCAAGCATAGTTGGTAGGTAAGTACCTATAAGTTTTCTCGGTCAAGAATTATGTACCTAGTATTAATTACCTACCTATAAAACAAAAAAATCTTACAAACGACACGATGTGTACGTACTTTTACCGCTTTACCTGCGTTTTGTATCATCAAGATTTTATATTGTTTTAACTTGAATAAGACAAAAACGTAAAATATTATCATTTTTAATTCGGACTTTCACTTAAGTAGACACAATATTATTATACCTACACATATTATGTCGAGGCGCGTGTGAAAAAAAAAAATGCGAGTAAAACATTTTCCGAAACGATGTTATATATTCTGCACCGTTATATTCAAATTAGAAAAAAAAATGATTACGTCCTTAATTAATTAACTAAAATGATTCGTAAATCGTAACTTATATACAGGGTGATTATTTACAGCAGTTAGCCTAATAAAAGGTTAATCTAACCTATTTATATTGGTATGTACGAAGATTTCGAGCAAATCAATTGATTTGTAAATTTTCTTTCAGACTCTAGGGGTTTTTAAACGGTTTTATACATTTTTTTCAATTTAGTAAAATTTGAAAATTACATTTCACCTAGTAAAACCATAAGACTTCCATTCACGTATCGCCGGATACTCATTTAAGGAGAACGATTTTTCGCTCAGATTTTCAAGTGTAGCACTTTTCTGAAAGGAAATTTTTGTGGAGTGGTACTTTAAGGAGATTTTTTTTGTTTTCCCATAGGTTTTCATAATAAATGGTTAGAATTTTTGTGCAAAAAATATAATATGCACAATGCGAAACATAATTTATAGCCAATGAAAGTACAAATAGCGATTACCTATCAATTGTCGTCTGTATCATTGATATGGGAAAAAACGTACCTATCTTTTGCACTAAATTAATGTCAAAAAGCCGATTAAAATAATTATTATTCGTGCAAACGACAAAAAAAAGAAAATACTATGTTGAAGGAGAAGTCGGAGGGGGGGTATTTGTCGCCCTTTTGCCCCCCTCCTCCCTGTAAATACGCCATCGTGTACAATTAATAGAGCCGGTGATGCATTTTATTACGGAGGCGTTTTTGTCGACGTTTTGCGTGTGTGTCTCGCGCAATGGTCTCGTGACCGACCAAATAAGTACCTATAAGGACTCGATAAGCGTTTTTCCTGCAACCGACCCGTACCTTTATATGTGCATAATAATATAATATTATGATAATCGCGGGTAAATCATGAGGAAGTTTTAAAACGGGCGTATTATATTATAGGCGTGAATAATAATTGCGCTCGGTAATAATAATTAGTTTACATAAGAACATAATATATATTTTTTTTTTTTTTACTTTTTTCTCACTTCCATGTCCCGCGAATCGCGTTACATACGCCGGCACTCTATTATCGTGCGTTTTAATCCGAAATTTGTTTGCGAACGAATACATAACCTATAAAGGCACCTACTTTAATATTGTACACTGGACCGAGTTTCCTCCGGGTACGATGCCGACTAATTATATATACCTATAATACTATGTACCTCTATACAATATCTCGTGTTAAACATCATTTTTTATTAGGTATACGCGAAAAAGTGTTTTTATTCTTATCATATCTCGATTCGCATGAACGATTACAAAAAAAAAAAATCGAAACTAGCACATTCGTCCGCAGTTGTACGGCTACATAATAATAATTTTATGTGTATAATCCGGCAATAAAATCAAAATAATACTTTTTTTGCTATGTAAAATCGTAAATTTCGTAAAATTATTACATATTCGTTACGTATTTTGTTATCTTATCGTTCAAGTTATTCGAACGCTTCCTTGATTTGTTTTGTTTTTAAGATAGTAATATTTACAGACAATTTTAGGATATTATGTATAGGTAATTCAAATCCAAAATTTGTTATTCTTTAAATTTTCATTAAATCGTAAGTTCAATCTTAATCTGCTATAGGACAGTTAAATGGGAAAGGACACGTAACTCTAAAAAATACACATTAAATATACAAGCACTCAAAAAACCTAAAATATTCTCTAAAAACAGTCTCTATAATATTTCGTTTGTGATTTCATTATTTTTTTTTTTAAAAAAAAATTGTCATTTTGATAGGTTAAAACAAACGCCCCCAAAAAGCATACAAAATATATTAATTTTTTAAAAACAAAAATACAATATAATATTTTACAACATAAGTAGGGCCGGATTGGCCTAGTGATCTACTGTTCTAGATGATAGCGAATCTCTGTTTTTGGTCCTTGTTCCTTGTTATCTGGCGCCTAAAAAAAAATCCCATGGACTATAATTTAGGAAACAACGAGACAGATTCTACTCGCATTATTGTTTGTTTTTAATAATAATAAAAACATAAAATAAGTGCGTGTTTGAGCATAGATTGATAAATAAAAGAGAAAAAAAAAAGAAAAAGGTCATTAGCAGAAAAATCGATGTGGGCTGTTTTTATATATGGGACAGTGGGCTGGATCGAAGTCTGACCAAATTTCCGAATTTCTATCCTTTATAGTTGTCCTTTTTTTTTTACGACCGCGCATAACAAATAATAATCAAATGCCCTCTAGGCCCTTATACGTTAGTCATAAAGATGATACATTTTAAAACATCGAGTCAACTCGCGGTTACAGTGATATTATTAACGAATGTGTAATAAAAACGTTTTCCCTCTGGATTCTCTATTTCAATTCCTGCCACTATCATTGCAGTTAACCGTTGTCCGTGAATTTTTAAAAATGCATTTTCTTTAATTTTCTTTTCAAACCGTATCATTCGGTTTATGCGGTTGCTAAGCAATACAAAAAATACCTATAATTATATCCTATGATTTATTATACCTATGATTATTTCGTATCCTGCAACCCAGACTGCTCAAATATTCAACTACTGCAGGTTAGGTATATATACAATTTCTATACTGGTCAGATCGAAGATTCCACTAGCTTTAAACCTTCTTCGGACAATTCTGACGATTTTTCGAAAAACCATGCGTGAATCGGTTCAGCAGTTTCGGAGATATTACCCATTACAAAAAAATTCCTTTTTATGTACAGGGTAATTTGTTTATCGTTGAACATTCAATATTTCGCCTAGTATAGACCTTTTTCAAACAAAAATAGTTTTAAAATTTAAGAAACTAGCTTATCTAAAATCTTGCATTTCTATTATATTTTGTCACCCTTTTTTTTGGGGATGAAACGATACTATTGACTTTTGATTATCAAACGGCAATCGGTAAACTTATATCAAAAGTTTCGTATACAGAGTATTAGTTTAAATAAATGTCGGTGTTTAAAACTTTTGATTTCCATCGACCTTACACGAGATATTCCACTTTTAAATTTAGGTAGGGGGAGTGTAATGAAGTACTATTCAAACGCTGTGCGCCGCGTCGAATCACCTCCGAAAATAAGATCGACAAAAAATAACGGCGATGTAATATTTTAGATCTGGTTGTTTTCTGAAATGTCAAAATATTTTTGTTTTTTTTTTTGGGAAAAAGTCAAAATTTTGCAAAATAACAAGTTCTTAAAGAATCGCCCTATATGTACAGGGTGTCCCACGACGATCTGCCACTTGAAATAACTTGCCCTATTCAATATTTTTGATTCATGTTTTTTTTTTTAAATAATTGTAGTATGCTTCTCTACGTTATAGTTTAAATATGAACATTTTTTTTTTAGGGGGAGGCGGACTTAAAATTTTACTATAATTTTTTTAAAAAAAATCTTCTTATCCATTAGATAATATCTTTTCACCATTATGATAATAAAGGATAGACATTTTTTTTTGAAAAAGTAAATTAATAATGGTCATTTATGTTGATAAACACATATAACAATATTGTTATGGTTGAAAAGAATTTAAAAAATCGTAGAAAATAAAAGACCATACTTTAACAAAAGTTTCAAACATCAACAATTTTCTAAAAATCCATTTTAAAAATTGGCTATTTTGAATTTTTTTCAAAAAATTATAGCGAAATTTTAAATTTTAGATTCCGAGCGTAATGAGTGAGCTATAGGTTTTACTAAGATGTTTCTTTTTTTTCTTCTAGTCTGTGGGTACGTTTTTTTCTAGTAAACTTGCTCCGATTTTTACGTGTAGCAACTTTTCTGAAAACTCAAGTTGTCTAGATGGTACTTTAAAAAGGTCATTTTTTTAATAAAAGCACATTAGTAAGAAAAAACTAGGAAAACGTACAATTTCACGATTTCATTATTTTATAAAAATACGACGTTTTCTACCATACAAAATCACAAGACACATATTTTGTTACCTTTTTGATTTAATTTCTTATGGTATTATCGCCAAAATGTTTGAGCCACTTTTGAGCTTTTAAGGAATTTTAATTTTTGGGAGTTTTTGCTGTAATTCGGTTATAAATACACGTAGAGACTTGAAACTTTGTAATGATATTTATATTGGACTTACCTAGACGTGGTAAAATTTCCAAAATCATCGGACGACCATTTTTTTTTCTTAACAAGCTTTTTCTGAATTCAAATTTAAACGAAAATCGCAAAAAAAATCACGGCACTTTAAATTATGTACTACCGAACTGCGCTCGGAATCGTTTTTCGTTAAGCAATGGTTGCTTACAGATATGAATGAAATAGCCATACTCGTATGTATCCTATCTTCCCAACTTTTCACCTACAACAGTGGCCGCTCCCATACCCAGTATCAGCTCTTTTTTATTTTAAGTCCCCCTCCACCCGAAAAAAAAAATATTCACTCATAAACTATAGATAGCACAGAGGTATATTAATTATAAAAAAAAAAAAATTCATATGTCGAAAATATTGAATAGAACAAAAGTTATTTCAAGTGGTAGATCATCGTGGGACACTCTGCACATAGAAGATACACGGTTATGCCAAATATTTCCGGACATGTTTGATAAACGTAATGCAATTAGGTAATGACGGGAAACGCACGCGGGAAAAAAAATAAAACTAAAAATTATACCCGATTTATAATAACAATTGTTATACTATCGTTTTGCGTTTGTGAACATGCGAAGTTATCCGAAAAACGCGTCCGTATATTATTATGTACTGTACACACGCAGATAACGCGTCTGCTACGGCTAAATTAATTGTTTTTTTTTTTTTTACGAATAAAAATATTGCCCAACTAACTATGGTTCGCCGCCACACATACGCGTACCTTACAAATTATTATTAACATTGTATCATATTATTATTATTGTTATTATGTACGTATAATGTTTATCGCGTTGCGTTAAAGTCGTCGAAACAATCGGCTCGGAATTCGCGAGTTTTGTGGCGCGCGCGCGTGCGTGCGGTGCAGTTTACGCTCGCGCGTTCGCGTGATTCGGGAGGGGGCGGTGGGCGAGGTAGGGGCGGGGGTTACGTTAGGCGGGTACACGCGTAAAACGTACGAAAAATCTAAATCTAAAAGTCGTTTCTACACGATACGAGCGCGCGAGCACACGGGGGGGTACCCGTACGCGTTGTACGGGCGGCGGATGGCGCGGCACGCTGGCGAGCGGAGCGAGAGAGACGGCCGGACGCGGTATCGTATGCCCGCCGCCGCGTATCGCGCGCAGAGAGAGAAAAGAAAAAGGGAAAAAAACAAAAAAAAAAAAAAAAAAAAAAAAAACGAGAGAGGGACGGCGGGAAGAAACGCCGTAACACACGCGCGCGTATAAAAACGTACCCGGGCGCAGTGAAATCGGAAGTGTATAAATTATTTTCGAGTCCGGAGAGCATTTTAAAACGTCCAGCGCCGCCGGTCCGACGTTCAGTGTGTTTCACGTGTCCACCGCGACGTCGTCACATTGCCCACACTCGACCGTAGCGTTCATTCGCGTTCAATCGTTACACCAGCCCAGTACGCGTCCGAGCATTCCCGTCGGTCCACAGTAAATACGCACGGAGGCAGGCACCCTGTAATACCGTCCGGGCCGGACAGCGACAATACCTCTGCGTACGTATCGTTTTCCAATCGCGGCGTTCCGCGTTGTTCAGGTAAGAATCCGGGATTTGTTTTCTCGATTCGCGCGGTGCGCAACCGCGGCGTGGTGTTACGGTATCCCGGAGCCCCCGGGTGGGTTTTCGGCGGTTTTTTTTTTCTACAACTCCGTCTCTCGCTTATAATTCCCCCATTTATTTTTTCGGGTCTAAACGACACGCGATTCGTCGCCAGTCGTGTTACGGGTATGTTCACCGTTTTCTGCGACGCGCGTTCGTAATTATACTATCCGAAATTGAAATATCTCGCCACGAAGCGTTTGTATTGTATTATTACTTCGCGCCTGGCCAGTAAACGTTCCGTTTGCCCGCATTGAAAACTTGCCCGGGCTCTCGTGCACCCGGTGTAAACCAGATGTGTAATAATTTCACCCATATGTATAAACTATAGTTTGTGTATAATATCGTGGTAGATGTGTATTATTCGTTTTTTTTCTTTTCTATATGGTGATGGTATAAAATCAAAAACGTCCAACAAAATCTCTTGTAACGCTATTGTAAACTAGTTGGAAAAAAAAAAAAAAGATTCGAATTAAAATATCAACTTGAAACTCGGTCATTGTGTCACTATATTTAAATCTGCGCAACAGGTTTACGTTCCCGATCATCCCATCATCCCATCATCCGATTTAAACGCTATAGCGACAGTTACAAATATGCTTATTGTACGTATACGTACAATATGTATGTATACAAATATGTACATCCAGTGCTTTAAACACTAATTATGTTTCCGTTGTATTTTACTTACCGTCTTGTTATGTCGTGTTTTATACAGGTATATCGCGGTTAAGGACGAAAGATAGTTTTTTCGAAGAAAAAAAAATATTAATAATGATAACCTACTCGAAAATTCGTATTCAGTTCTCACCCTTAACCTTAACCGGACGTTTATGTAAAGATCGAAAACCAATGTGTGTACGTATGCTTAACTAGTCAAGTCTCGAGTTCAGGAGAATTATAAAAAGACGAAAATAATTAAAACAACTATGGGTAATAGTTGTGAAATCTAACGAAACAATATAAAAAATCTATTTTACAATTCGAATTCAACGCGGGTGTAAAACTCAGTGGCGGCGCTAGGTTTTACGGGACCCTGGACAGTGCTTTAGTTCAGTGGTAACCGACCTTTTTTTTTTCTTTCTACAGATGGCCGTACAAAATAACAATAATTCTTGGTGGGCCAGCATTGTATTTTATTGTAGGCACATATCAATAAAGGTACAGCGATTTATCTAATTGTTCATTATGTTTCGGTTGTTATGAACGAGTAAAACATGTAAAGTATTATAAACATGTATTTTTTTTTTTTTTAACGCGAGTGTTAATTTTCGAGATTTGAAGTTATTTTCTTTTCGATTTAATAATACCTTTGGTGGACCGATTAAAAGCCGAAACGAGTGCAGGGCTGTGGGCTTATGTCCCGTTCGCTGGCCTACCCTAGCGCCGGCACTGTTATATTGAAACGGTACAATTTCAGTCGTATTTGAAATTCGGAAATCGTTTACCAAACAGACGCAATCGTATAATCACGTTAATCGATGTAGCTGTTGAATTCCGACATTTATGGTGTTTACACCTTTGCGGTGTCGAGGGCTTTCTTATTTCCGGAACTACATTATTTTCGTTTTCCGAAAGATCTGTACGCGTGCGCGCGCGTGTGTATAACTTTCGCGCTCTAGTACTACGATGGCTAAATAATATAGAGGCCTGGAAAATAATAAATACAAAACGCGACGAATTACCGCGCGTTATCCGATGGTAGATAATCCGAGAAATTATATTATTTGTTTATACATTCTACGGCCGTAGGTCGGTTTTGATCAAAGTCACGATCGACATTAACGACCGTCACTGATGCGAGTCATCGCACGCCCCGAGCAAAACGCTCGGAATCCGCTCCGGTCCGCGGTCGTATTTATTATTACGATTTCGAAATGACGTTTCGGTTTTTTTTTCTGTTTTGTTTAGCATCCTCGCCTTCCTACCGTCGCTTACTTTGTAAGTGCGCGCGATGGTGACGTTCTCCCCCGGCCGATAAGGGAAGTACGCGTACGCAGCTTTCACCGTACGAATTTCGGACGCGCGCGTCTTCATCTCTGCGCCGTTTTTTATTTCTATTTCCGAGCGATCACGATGACGTTTTGTTTTTTATTCTCCGACCATTTTACTACCCGTTACTTGGCCCAAACGTGTTGCGTTGGAAACTTTCCGGTAGCGTTTTCGACCCATAACTGGCGCGCCGAGGGGGTAATTTCGTTCGGATTTTCTCACGGTCTTTCCAAAACGAACGGGGAAAAACTGACAATTCTGTTTTGCATATTATTTTCGTCGGTTTCACGGTCGACTCGGCGACGGCGGACTAACGTAACGCCTACTCCGTTCAGAATCGTTTTTCCCCAACGGCGGTTTGCCCGTACGATGTCGCATTCAATTACCGTTCATTTCAGCTTTCCTACCGAAAAAGTGACACACCGACACGTGTCAACAGTGTCTCGGCATTTTGACGTTTACGAATATTTTTTTTTCTCCGTCCAATTAGATCACGTAATACATACGTCGGTAACAGTCGATATAATAAAAACTCGCACAAGAATATTGCACGATCCGTTATGCGTGCATTATAATAATGCGCACGCTGTGGTAGCCGTTTTCTGTAGATATTCGTCCATCCCCCTATCATCGATTTGTAACGGTACCCGTACCGTCCAATATCGTCGGCTGTAGACCACCCGAGAATGAAAAAAAAAAAAAAAATAAAAAAACGAAACGATATTTCGTCCGTCGTCGCCGACGGTTTCCGACCGTCATTATAAACAGATCGTTATTTATTTTTTTATCGTCAACGAAGAAAACGTGTCAAAACGCAAACGCGCATTTACATAACGCCGCAGTTACGATAGTTTTGGCGAAAATCAAACATTGTTACCGACTGGCATAAATTATGTGACGGCCGCGCACGTAACATTGGTTTTGTTTGCGGCACGTCCGATACGCGTTTCCGTATCGCCACTTGTCGCCACTGTACGCGGACGAGAGGCGAAATTAAAGCCGGCGTGTATCAAACACAGTCCGGTGACGGTGCGCCCGCGGGGTTCAATTCCACGGGGCGGGCTGAGCTTAAAACAATTTCTAAATAACGTTTTCGAAATTCATAATCCGGTACAATGCCGATGAAATTGCCGATTATAATGCACTACGACGACACTTATCCGGCCGCAGTCGGTCAATTATGTCTTTAATGTTAATTGTACCCGTTACTGACGGATGTATACGAGTTTCCATTGTACACCATATTAAACGTGAATACTTGTACGGTTATTTTTTTTTTCGTTAATTCACGCATTAATTACAGGCATGTAATTTAAAAAAAAAAAAAAAAGCGCGAATACAATGGTGATTTTACTAAAAAATAATTCCCACTCTTTTAATAAGACACTGTATTGTTAGATTAAAAATTAAACGTATCTCGATGTAAAAAAAAAAAAAAAAATATTAAAAAAACGATTCGTTACATACATCTCGTTCATACCTCCTACAGGTGAAATACTCTTATTTGCGAAATGTATACAAGTCCTTTGGGCGCCCTAAAATCGACCGAGTTGCCAGTGCTTTTGTACGTTTCGTTAACCGCAGACAGAGAAACTGTACAAAGGCGTCTTAACGCGTATTCATTTGCGTTTTAACTTCTTCCTCGTAAAGTTACAATTGCTTTATTATTTTTTTTTTTTTTCGTTAATTCAGCTCGAATTTTCATATTTTCATTAACGTATCGGCCGGCGGGTTTCCGCTGCATGTCGACGAGTAGCACGGGCCGAAAAGGATTTCTGTTCGGGGCGGCCATTGTGATAACGTCGAGTACATTTATGCGCGACGCGAACGAGTAGCGGAGAACGGAAATGACGAGCGAGAAAAACCGTCCCGACGAAAGACACGGCGTGTTCGGGGGTGGTGGAGAGGGGTTTTTCGATTTTGGAGAGGGGGGGAGGGTGCGGCGGTATTTCGCGAAAACCCCATAGTTATCGTTTTCAATACACGCGGTCGCTGTTTTTCCGCGCTCCGAAAAGAACGCGCGGTTCGCGTCGCGCGCGCGTCGGCCCCGCGGAAAATTCGGCCGCGCCGTGAAACCCGGACGGCCCGAATCGCGTCTTTGTCGTTGCGCGTGTGCGCCCCGCGATACGACAAGTCTCCGTTGCCCGTCGCGCCATCGCGCGACCGTCGACAACAACAACAAAACGACAATAATGTGCGGCGGTACGCGTTCCGTAAACGCATTCGCGCGGTACACCGCGCGTCTCCGGCCGGTCCGCGAACGCAAACAGACCGTAAATGACTAATAACGTTGTTTTTAATGAGTTTTTTTTTTATTATTTTTTTTTTTTTCAAATAACACACCGACGGCGATATATCATACGGCCGTATATTATAAACGTGTTTATTTTTTTTTTTTCTATTCCGCAGACCGTCTTCGCCGCCGCCGCCGTCGCCCGTAATCATGAGACCGTTGGCCATCGTACCGTGTCTGCAGCTGTCGGCCGCGTTATCGCTGCTGTTGGTGGCCGCCGCCGTGCGCGCGGGTCATTCCGTTCACGATCCGATCGATTATTACGTAAGTGCGCAAACAACAATAATAATAATACTACAATTATTATTACAATAGTAAAATTATTGCCCGGCCCGGGCACCAGTGTAAGTCGCGGGCAGTACACCGCAACAGTCACAATCGCGTACGGCGACGGCGGTCGCGCCCCATTGTTTTTGTTGGGTTTTTTTTTTTTTTTTGTAATTCCGCCGCCGACGCCTTGGATTCCGCGCGGCACTCCCAACGGTCACGCCCGCGCGATGAATATCGTTGTTCTCGCTCTTCGGTCAAGAAGTGGGCAGCCGCCGGTTTTGTAAGGGCCGGGACGCAGGACCCCCGAGGGCCTCTCGGTTACGGCACGCGGTTGTTTCACGTGTTCCGACGGAAACTGTTCGCACTGCGGAGTGAGTTTTCGTAAAAATCACGTTCGACCCTCTCTCCCCAATGCCGTTTTCGCAATAATTTCCGACGCCAAAAGTCCGCCTCCCCCCCCCCCAGGGCTTCTAGACGCCGCGATCCGGCCCCGTTCCCGAAGCGGTTCCACGGTTCAAGTACCGCGAAAATTCCGAATTGTTTTCATCGTGTACGGCGAAGCGAAAATTAACGTTTCCAAATCGCACTTCGGTTTCTCGTTTCTGATCCGATAACCGCACGCCAATAAAATGACCGCGCGCCTCCGAATACGCGTACACGCGGTGCCTCGAAACCGCGCTCGACGCACACGCCTCTCCGCCGCCGAATAAATCGTTTCGTCCTTCGCGGTCCGCGGCGCGACTACCGCGTTTCACAACCGTCCCGGAGACGCGCCCGGCGTACACGCGCAATTACGCGACGTTTAAGTAAAACACGAAACGCGTGCGGGGGCGTTTATTGTAAATGTGCAGCTGTAATGTTACGTTATTGGCACTCGGTTTTTTTACGATTCGGACTTCGAACAATAAACAATAATAACAGCGTACCCGCGCCGGAAGCGTTCCCGCGCTTATAAACGGTCCGTGCTGCGGTGTAAACGCCCGACTGCCTCGGGGCACGTTGTTGTTACTTCACCAACCGCGTTTTCACGGGGGTTTTTTTTTTTTTTTTTATTGAAATTTTCGTTTTGTTTCATTCTCCGCAGAGTGAACCCAACTATCATTTCAATTACGGCGTCAAGGACTTGCACACGGGCGACCTGAAGAGCCAATGGGAGCACCGGGAGGGCGACGTGGTCAAAGGTTCGTACAGTCTGATGGAGCCGGACGGTTCCATACGGACGGTGGACTACACGGCGGACGCCCACAACGGGTTCAACGCGGTCGTGTCGAAGAGCGGCCACAACGTGCACCCGGCGGCCGCGCCCGCCTACCATCGCGAGCAACCGTCGCCGTTGACGTACAAACAACAGCCGTTGTTGTCCGCGTACAAACAACAGCCGTTGCTGTCCGCGTACAAACAACAGTCGTTGCCCAAGTACAAACATCAACAGCACCGTTTCGTCTCGGCGTCTCCGTCGTCGGCGCCCGAAACCGTGTACAATAACGAGCCGCCGTCCAAGTACCCGCCGCCGTTGTACCGCGGCCTTTACAGCAAGCCGTCGCTGACGGACACCGCGGTCGCCGTCAATTTCATGGCGTACTCGAACGGCGCGACGGGCGGTCCGGACGCGGCCGCGGCTTCAGTGACGCCCAAATACTACGCCGCCCCGGCCGAGTACAACAACGCCGAGGCCGCGCAACCCGAGTACAACAACGCCGAGGCCGCGCAACCCGATTACGGCAACGCGGACGCCAGAGCCGAAGCAGTCCCGGATTACTATTACTACCCGTCTGCCGCGACGCCCGAAGCGGACGCCGAGGTCCTGTCGCTGTCCCCGTCCCCGTCGCCGACGCCCGATTCCGCCAAAGCCGGTCCGGTGCTGTTCCCGGCCGACAACACCACCGCGGCCGCGGCCACGTCCTCCGAACGGCCGCAGACCGCGTCGCCCACGCCTATAACTTTGCTCAAGTACGTACCCGAAAACGGACAACAACAACAACCGCAGCAACAACAACAACAACCGCAGCAACCGGTGTACGCCGATTACAATTATTACGCGTAGTCCGCGCGATCGTTTCATTTTGGTCGAAAAAATTGGTAATTTTAAGTCTCGCTTGCCGTATTAGAATTAATTTTGCGCGTAAATTTTCCGAGAAAAACATTTTTTGTTTCTTTCTTTCGGTTTTCGACTATTTCGGACAAGCGTTTTTTTTTTTCTAAATTTTTTCAAACCTCGTTATTCCTTCGCGATCAATTATGCGTACAAAACTATTATTCCGTCGCTCAAGCGGCCGCAAATCGTTATTACGTTAAAGATCTACTCGATTTCTCGTCGTAATCTGTAAAAAAAAAAAAAAAATAAATAAAAATCTACAATGTCGAATCAAAAAAAAAAAAAAACGTATCGTCCGCGAATCGCGCACTTGTAATGTATTTACCCGTACAAATAAACGGGACAAGTACCCGGTAGAGTGGAACGTGAGAAGACGTGCGTGTATTAGGTGTATTTTTTAATGTTAACCGCGACCAAATATATTTTATTTTTGTATTTTTTTATACGTATAAGTTAAGATAGTAATTATTGTTTTTTTTTTTTTTAATTATTTTTCGATAGTCTTGTTCGTAACGAAGTGCAATATTTTACTTTTAAGTTTTTTAATTTTAATTTTTTATTTTTGTAATAATGTTTTACATATTTTATTGTGACCGCGAACCGCGCGTATAAATCGTATTTCATTGTCCTTAGCTCGTATTATTATTATTATTATTATTTATAATTTAAAACGCGAGTTTTCGTGTAATTATACGCGTATCGAATTGTTTGACAATAAATACATTACGATTGTTTTATAATATTTGTGTGTGTATTTTGTCCGTACTTAAAAAACACGTTGTCGTCCCGCACAATCGTTCTACAATGGACAATGTAGTAGTACCAGACGCGAACATGAATCTGGCGAACGGTTTCGTATACGACGACCGAATTTAAACGTCTACGGGTAAAAAATTGTAACGACGGGCGCTATTATGCCCGATGGTTTGGATGCCGGTCACCGCGGGGGGAGGGGTGGGCGACAATAAGGCTGGGCGACACGTCCCCAACCAGGAAAATATAGAAAACCCACAGAACGATTTGTGTTTTCTACCCTTGACCGCGGATACTCACTCTCGGAAAGGAGCTAGTTTTTTTTTTTGCGCGTGTTTAAAGACCCGGTTCCAGTTTATCCCTTTCCTGAAAATTATCTTACATTGGGCATCCACGAGTGTTTTATAGATTAAATATGTAATATAGATTTTCCGACGGCCAAAATGAAAACCATTCGAATGGTTCTAAATCTATCGAACGTTTCGAATACGATCAACTGAACAATGTTTAAATTTTAATTTTATTGTAGTCGTAGTACGAATTGTTTTTTTTAAAGGGGGGGGAGGTTAAGTGTACCTCCCATTTGTATTTGAAATTATATACGAAAACCTCGGAATATAATTAGTTAATTTTTTTTTTCTATTATTATCAATGCTATTTTCGTAAAAACTTGGTGGTTTTAGATGATTAATTTGAGAGTTATTGATCAGATTCAATGTTTGTCCGTTAACCGAATTAACTAAATTTATTACTAATTATTCACTTCATTGTAACTATAAAAGTGTATTATACACGTGGCATACGATAAGATAAGATATGAGTGATAATATGCCATTTTATGCATTTAAAAACTACATACCGCAGTATGGTCTAAAAAGCGAAAACTGTAAATTATACGAATGTATGTAAAATACAATTTAGGGTTTCGATACCTTACACGACAAAGAGTATTTATGTTTGACTCGGCTATTTTTGTAATCTTTCAAAAACAATATGAACATGCTGTGAAGTCCCTAACCCTAATCCAGATGAAAACCGGAAATCTCAACAAAAATTATATAGCGTCTTTTCTCCCGAAAATCAAAGCGTGTCCCTTGAATTACAAATGCGTGTACCAAGTTGTATAACGTTCATATTAATTATAGAGATAACAAAAATTTGCGATTTCATCACAAATGTTTTTTTTTTTTTTGAATCCCAATTTGAATTGTTAATAATTTGCTCGTCGTCAATCGTATACGAGTATCATAACCACCGTCCAGGTCAGTTTCATATTTCATGGTTGTATGTAAAACTTATGTTCCTGCCCGCACAATTAAAGATTGCTTGTACCAGCATGTAAAAATAAATCCGCCACCGGCATCGGAACGTATTCTAATGGCTGAACAAAAAAAATCACGCTACCGCGGCAAGGTGTACGAGAAAGCCACCGCCCAAGATCGGTACCCCGGGTATTTTTACCTCGAGCGAGAGCTGATAACGAGCAGCCGGCCAAAGAAACGATCGATCACTTTACCCAACCAACGTAAATTTGGATTTTATTTTAAATCGTGTTTAGTAAAATCGTGTTCGAACTGCTTCGTTATATTGTTTAATTTGTGTTGATGATTTTCGGCGCGAACCTTTTTTCAAACAATATCACAAATGTGGCGTATAAAAGAACAACGGCGCCCCCCCTTCGCATGTTTATGTGTTTTTTTTTTCTTTCACGAATACCTATCAACGCGACGCCGGTCTGCCGAAATCCGACGTGTTTCAGCCCCCCCCCCATACAGGCGCGTGCCAGTTTCAGAACGTGTCGGATTCGGATATTACGCCGGGCGAACCGCGCGCGAAACGTCGACGCGCGACGTCTGTCGAACATCGGACGGGGCTCGGACGTGTAATTAGATAAAAAAAAAAAAAAAAAAAAAAAAAACGGGTATAAACGCGCACTGATATAATATATTATTATGTGTCGTCGCGCAGTCGTTTATTTCAATTTCTCCGCGTCAGAGATGTTATTACCGCCGTCGGATTTCGCAACCACAGCGACTGTGTAACTGGTCCGCGATTTCCTCTATACCGTCCGTCGACCAGTTCCGTTCGGACGTCCGGCACAGCGAGTTTACAAACGCGATAACGCAACGGTACGCGCGCGGTCCCGTATTTACGATGATCGGCGCGCATCGCGTCCGGCGTTTTTCTTATCCCGACAACAACGGACCGCGGGCGTACCGGGGCACACGGTGATAATGCGCGCGCGAAATCGAAAACCGTACGGTCGGTCGGGCGGTACACGGATGACTGCGCGCGGGCGGTAAAAACCGATAATAATAACATTTCCGATGAAAAAAAAAAACAAAAAAAAAAAAAAAAAACGGATTCGTCTGTAACGCCGCCCGCGCCCCGGCGGCTCGAGGAAAAGCGGGACGTTGTCACGGTTTTTACGGACAAAAACAATGTACTTGCAAACGCGCGGCGCGCGGGCGGTTGAACAACGAGAATATTCACCGATACGTTTTAAATTCGCGCGTAACTCGACGTGTACCCGTGTCCTCGAATTACTCGTATCGCGGAGGAGTCCACGTTCCGCCCGCGGTCCAGCGTTCTTCCCGTTTCCCGAAGCATCCCCGGCAGCCTTCTGGAGCGAGACCCTGGCAATGCCCCATGTTAAGGTCGAGCCTCGGTCCGAACATCAACCGTAGGGCCGTTTCATTTCGGGCCGAAGTCTGGTGGCCGGCCCGAACGAATAATTCACTACAGAAACGAAAACCTGAGCTGACAAAATAATCGCGCGGACATATAATGTCCGGGCGGTGTTTAGCATTTAGGGCTGTAGTTTTAGGACTCGATTTTTAGACTACACGCGGCCTAGAATATAATTTCTACGATTCAATATTTGTGTAATACTGTTGAAAACTATTGATCCGATTGTGAAAATTCTTTCGCTTAAATCAATAGACCTTATGGGGGGGGGACAGGTGTGCAGACATAGCTATATTCGAACAAAGCGATTGAATTGAATATTACGCTATTCCCGAGTGACGCAGGCTATTTAAATTGTTTGCCCCGCTTTACTCTCAACTATTACAGTTATAATATAATATTAAATTGAAAGTACGTCTGTTCGCTGTACAAATAGTACAGATAAAATAGTAATTCTATAGTTATTGTTATTCCGATATCGATGATACTTTCCGCACGCGACAACAAGAAAAACCACAGTATATTTTTTCCATCGAAATTTAACTCCTAATAGAAAGGCGCAACTATAAGGTACAAATTCTGGGGGGGGGGAGGGCTATAGCTTCAAAAAAATTTATTCGCTTGAATTTGAAAACATAATATTGTATTACGTTATTGTAGTCATAAAAACAAATACAAAAAATGATCATAAAATATTTATAAAAAACTATATTCGTCGTGACTGGGGGTACTATTCGGAATACTGGAGAGACTTAGCTTCCTCAAGCCCCCCTTGTTGCATCTATACCCCTAAAGGGCGGTTCTCACACTTGATATTTTTATATTTTAATATGAACAAAAAATTAAATTTTTTTTTTTGGTTGATTCCTGTTTTTTAAAAGGTTTGGCAATTTAGCTTTAGTTAAAAATCTACAGTTATTAAATTATACAACTAAAAAAAAAAAAAAAAATGTTATTAGTCTTCGCCTATATTATGCGTTACGGTTATAAAGTTTCATATTGTGAATTTGCTTGTCAATTTTTTTGGAACCTAAGTAAGTACCACGATAAATATGATTGACAAAAATCTAAAGTTTTTAGATTCCGTTATATACTAATATAGGTTCCGGACACGAAACTAATAATAACTATAGAATTTCTATAGGTAAGTGTAGGTAAAAGTATACGATAAGCCAAAACGGCGTTTTATAATTTTCCGTGCGTTTTCGTCCGAAATACATATATTTGAATGTGAAAGTACCGCATCGGATGAAATCCGAATAAACAAAACGTTCGGGAACACGCCATCTATAGGCATGTCTTATAATACCTATTTGTATTACAATTAATATTGACTAATTTTAACGTTGATTTGTTGTTGTTTTTTTTATTCAGGCAAGTCAACAATTTAGAGGTCCGGTACCGGTTTTTTAAATTGAAATATGAACAATTTTTTTTTAAAATTTTAACGACCACCTTAAAAACTGTACTATTCCGTTAATCCCATTTAGAGGGAAGGGCAACGGTCGTTTGTGCAGTCGAAAATGATTTCGCGGTAATAGAGATAACACGTTGTCATCATGGTATTTTCGGTGTCGGTGAATTGTGGTCCGATTCCTAAATCAAGCACGAGTCGTGGCCCGGGTTTATGAGAGACACGTACGAATTGCGGCCACATAACACTTACCATTCAACATCAGCCTATTAGCGTTACTCAGGTGACACCGCAGGGACGTCGGCAGAGTTGTCTCCTAAAAATATAGATTTTTGTATTTTTTTTTTCTGCAAAGTTTATACAACTATCATTATTTTTTTTTTTTTTACTAATAAATGGATTTGACTAAAATGACCGTTAAGTATTTGCCTGTTTAGGATTTTATTGTGGTTATTGTGATTAGCGTTACTGACAACTGTTCTATTTGAAGGAGTGATTTACCGTGGAATTACAATCGTAATATACCGCTGTACTTGTTTTAAAACAATATTCTACACAATGCCGGTAAACTTGTACAGCAATACTGTTGATAACAGTGTCACAAATGTTGTACGCGGCACTGATGTTATGAATTACGATCGCGGACCAGGCAGCCCGGGACCGCGGCCGTTGCCGTACGTCGTAACCGGCCGGTGAAAAATTATCTAACACGGCGGAGAAACGAATGTAATAATACGGTACATTTTTATCGTTAATACCGTCGTGTTTTTTTAAGTAGATACTGGCAAAGCGAGAAAAACGTACACGCAGAAACCGATATTACGGAGTTTATTACACGAGTACGTACGAAAATCACCGCCGATGAATAAATACGCCCCGAAGAGAGTTATACGGACATAGGCATATTATTTAATAATGTGTGTATCGTATACGAAAATTATAATTTTTTTTTTTTTTATAGTGGTTTACAACCTGTATACGATATACAACTGTTTTCGGCAACGAGAAAACCATTAGATTTATAGACCGCAATCATGGGGAAAAAAAAAGATGGAGAGTTTCCGCGTTTAACTGGGCATAATAACACCGTGTACACGCGCTTGTATAGGTACGAGAGAATAATAATATTATCTCGACCGAAAACACGAAAAAATAGAGTACCGCCTCGAAATCTTCGTTGCAACCGTATAGGTCCGATAATATTACAATACTTACCTAATATTATTATTTCTTAATTTCTCGTATGTGTAACGGGCAATGCGGTCTTGTGCCCGGGTAACGTGAACCGCATGTAGGCAATTTATTTTGACGCCAAAAACGCGTGAATGTGATTAACAGTTTATCGATGCGTTTTTATTTTTTTTCTCCGTGTGTGAATTATGATATTATATTATTCCAAAGGAAAACGAATTAATATTATAATATTTTTTTCGTATTACTGCAGAACAGTTTAGATTTTAATAAAAAAAAAAAAAAAAATGAATTAAAAATCTAAACATATATACAATCAAAGGGCCCTTGCTCCCCTAGACTTAGACTATAGAACAGTTTTCACTTCCACAAATAGTCGTTAACGCATACGTAATACTAAATTTGCATGGAAGAAAACCGGAGTGGAGCGTTTGAATGTATTGATTGTACTATGTTGTATATTTAGTTCTTAATTTTTCCGTCTGAAAAAATTTTCTACCAGAAATTTCGAATCGTAAAATAAGCTAGGAATGGTTCATCGGTGTTTACAGATGTATAAATTAAAAATAATCTTACGTGTCCTACCTTCTCAACTTCCCAACTACAACAGTGGCTAATGTTTTTTTTTTTTCTGCTAAGTATTAATTTTTTTTTTTGGGGCGCCCCCCCAAAATTCAACACTGGATCCGCCACTGTATACAATATCCTGTTTTTTCCTTCGCATAAAAACAAATGTACACTGAAATAACGCAATCGTTAGAGGGATCAACGTCAGTCAGCTGCATTCCCCTGCATTATATAGCCAACTCGAGTTAAATTATTTTAAATCTGTGCCACGGTTTTCTTTTCTCGATTTTCGGCCGTAAACATTTGGCGAGCACGTTTTATTGCGATTCCGATGAGACCTAATAACAACATTGCGCAAGATATTCGTATCTGTTTTCGTATCGTGCCTATAAAATAACTGCGGCTTTTACAGCGCGCGCGGGCCGTTATAATATTATTGTACATAATATACGCCGGACAGATTACTAGATCGGGTCTCTTATCGACCCCATCGATAGATTGTAATCGGGCCTACGTCCTTGGATCCGTATATCATTACTCTGTTATTCTGTTCGCCGATAACCGTATAATATAACATAGTATATAATGTCGAAAAATCGAAATAATTAATATCGTGAGTACAGGCGGGCGAGGAGGCGTACTGCAGGTCCCGTAGAACACGACACCGCAGCGCGTTTCGGGGGTTTCAAAATTAAATCGCGGCGCGGCGGCCGGTTTTATCGCGAGTACGGATCGCTATCGTACTTACGGTCGATCATGCGGCCGATTGCGCGGCGGCTAATACAACGACAACGGCGATAGGGACCCAGATCTGTAATATAATGCCATGCGATTTGGCCGACATGCCGTTACCGTTATTCAAAAATTATACGTTTCTCATTGGCTCCAATATGAACACACTGCACCTAAAATTACAAAACTTAAAAATGAAAACTGCAATTGGCCCTGACGGACTCTCGCCTATTTTTCTGCATGTTTGTAAATTTGTCCTTTCCCCTCCTATCTTCCCGTCTTTTTTAACGCCTCTTTAAACAATAATTGCTTCCCATCTATTTGGAAATCTACATTCGTCAATCCAATTTTCAAAAAAGGAGATAAATAATTTATTTCTAATTATCGCCCTATATCCTTGATCTTTATCCTCCCGAAATTGTTCTCTAAAATCATTAATGCTAAACTCACTTCCCTCTTCAAAAATGAACTTATTCCGCAGTTACACGGTTTCCGAAATAACAAATCCATAATCATGAACCTAATATCCATTAAACAATTCATTTTTAACTCTTTTTCTAATAATCAACAAACCGATGTCGTATATATACAAACTTTGAAAAAGCTTTTCGATAGAATTGATCATAATCTTTTCGTAAAAAAATTTTTAAAATACAAAAATTTAATTTCCCATCTAATTTCAGTTATGTCCGGTGAAATAAAATTCCTTTCCATGACCTCTACCCGTTAT